AAATTAAATCTATTAGAGTATTATAAAGTATACCCTATAGTATTAACTATATAACTATAGAAACTAGCTTAAGAAAAGAATTTTTATAAAAGAGAATTATAAAAATCTAGTCTAATTAAATTAGATAAGAGAATAGATAATATATATAAGATTAAATAGATATTTAACTATAGAAAGATAAGAGATTATTATATATAAGTTAAATATCTAATTTATTAGAAAGATTAGAGAAGTAAAGATAACTCTTAAATTAAAGAGAAAGATCTAGCTAAAAGTATTTAAAAGCTACTTTAGAAATATAAGATAAATAAATCTAAGATTTTCTTTAATAAGAAAATAGAGTTAGTATACTAGTATAATATTTAGTCTATCTATAGATAAAATATACTATTAAATAATATAGAGAGTTTATTTATAAAATAATAGCTATTAATAGCTAATAGATAATAATAAAGCTAATATATTAAATATACTATAGTTTGCTTAGACTTAATAATTTCTCTTTATATAAAGTATATACTTATTATTTTTATCTTCTTTAGCTAATTTCTAATATCTAAAACTAGCTATATTAAGATTAGAACTCTTCTAAGTAAAAACTCTAAAGTATTATAATTACTAATTAGAAAGTAAATAAGATTTCTATATATAGAATATTTAATTTATTTTCTTAGTTTTAATATTCTTAAGTTTAGCTATATTAATAAACCTTAAGTTTCTTAGATTTAGAAATAAATTATAATTATACTTAAGAAGTATCTAATTAATAAGGAGTTTAGTAAAAGAGATAAAAAACTTAATAATATTATTTTAAAAAACCTAGTTAAATATAATTATAAAATCTTTCTATAAATAGTTAAAGATAACTTTAATTAATTAGCTAAAAGTAAGTTCTAATAAGATTTTTATATTAAGATATATAGAATTATAAAATAATTAGAAGAGTTATTTACTATACTTTAATAATTACTTATACTAGAACTAATTATCTATTAGAAAAGAATCTCTATTATACCTTCTAAAAATATAAGATTAATATCTTATAAGAGTAAAGGGAAAGCTTCTAAAACTCTAACTAAAAAGGCTAATAAGAAATTATTAGCTCTAGCTATAATATCTTTAAAGAGTAAGAAGATATAAGTAATAGCTCCTAATAAGAGCTAAGAAAACCCTTTCTATAACTCTAAAGAAACTAAAATCTCTATAGAGAAGAATAGTAATAATAAGAATATCCTAATAGTAGTATAGAAAAAGACTATTATATTAAAGATAAAGATAATTAAAATTATATCTAATAAAGAAATAATCTATTTCTCTTCTAATAAGAATAAATAGTCTATAATAGAAACTAATAAGAAAAATACTAGTAATATATATCTATTAATAGTAAAAAACTATAGCTATTATATAAACTAGATTATAATCTATTAAGATAATAATAATATACCCTATTAAAAGATATATTTTAACTACTACTAAGTAAAAGATAGTAATAAATTACTTAATATTTTAGCTCTTAATTATATTATAACTAGCTTTTAAAATATATTAGATTTTAAAAACTTAAATTATCTCTTTATAGAAGAGTTTTATAAAATTAAAAATAAGATTAAAGAAATCTAGAAAGAGATTACTAAAGTAAAGAAGTTAAAAATAACTATAGAATAAAAGAATTATATAAATAAGAGTATATAGATTTACTATATTAAATAATAAGTAGAAACTATAATTAAGATATATATTTAGAATAGAATTAAATATACTATTAATAAATATAATATTAAGAATCTTAATAACTAATTTCTAGTTAAAATTAATATTCTAACTCTCTATTATATTAACTCTTATATCTTTAATAAATAAATTATAACTAAATTAGTATTTTTAGATTATATAGATTTTATAATTATTAGTAATATATTTAAAGCTAAGATAAGAACTATCTATATATAGAAAATATATTTTAAATAGATTAATAAAGATTTTAAATATAAAATAGAATATTCTAATTATAAAATAATTAATTAATATAATAATAAAATATTTAAAAAGCTTAAAGAGAATATAAGCTATATTAATAATTTAGAATAAACTAATATAGTTTTAAAGGAGAAAAATACTATTCTAAAGATAAGTATTACTACTTTATAGCTTAAGCTTAATATTCTTAAGAAAATTAATTATAAAGTAAATAAAACTTTATCTAAGTATAAAGTATTATAAGTAATTAATAAGAAGTAAGAGTTAAAATTAGATAGAGTTAATATAACTTTATTTAAAGCTCTAATTATATATAATAAATTAAAGCAGATTATTAAAATACTATTAAAGAAAATATTTATTAAAGTAACTCTAAGGAAGTTAGCTATAAAGATAAAAACCTCTTCTAAGTATAAGCTAGAGAATAATCTAAAGAGATCTATAAACTAATAAGCTAAGTAATATAATTTAGAGATATAAAAAGAGAACTAGAGAAAAGTAATAACTACTATAATAAAGAAAAAAGTATAAAATAGATTAAGTATAAGAATAACTAAGGAAATAATAAATATAGATATATAATTAATAAAAGAGAAATAGAATAATAGAACTTTTCTTTATAGAATAATATATACTAACTAAATAGTAATTAATTAATTTTTTATTAGGATTTCTTTTATTTATTAAAGCAGACTGAATATAGTTAAACTACTAAGAGTAATAGTATTTTTTTCTTTATTTAGAGTACTTATTATACTATAAATAGGAGCTATATAGAGCTCCCTATAAAAGAGCTATAAATAGCTAGTAGATAGAAAGAATTTAAATCTTAAGAATTATATTATTTTATATATAAATAAAGATATTATAAATCTAGATTTTAACTATAAGCTATCTAACTATAGCTATCCTATAGTTAATAACTAAGAACCTATCTATAATATCCTAGCTAGTTATAGCTAGTTCTGAGTATAATAATAAGAATTAGTTAGATATACTATTTAATATAATATTTAATATACTATTTAATATATTATTTAGAATAAATAGAATAGCTAGTTAATTTAAATTAATAATATACTAGCTTCTTAGTATATTAGAATATTAAGTAGGATAATTAATAGATTAGATTTATAGTATATATATTTAATTATAATTTATTTAGCTATTTTAACTAGTAGCTTAATTAGCTATATTAATAGCTATTTATTATTTAGCTATTTTAATAGTTTTTTATTCTTTCTTAATAGCTTTAATCTTAAAGTTTTTAATTATTTAATTATATATAATTTCTATAAAAAAGTCTTTATTATTCTTTATTAACTTATAGAAATAAATATTATTTATTACTATTCTTTTTAATCTCTTTAGTAATCTATAAGTAGAAGAAATTAGTAAATACTTATTATATATTTACTCTAACTTTCTAACTATTTTAAATAATAAAGATACTATTTATTCAGAGTATTTATTAGAATTTATTAGTTAATAGTTTTCTATAGTTAATAAAATAATTATTAATTTATTCTTTAAATATATTAGATATAATCTTATAAAATAATTAATTATAGTAATCTTTATTACTTTATTAAATAAATATATATAATAAATAGAATATAAATTATTTAAATATAGTAATTACTAAATTAAAATTATTAATATTCTTCTAAATTAATAAGTTAATATATAATTATAAATAGTTAGAAATAGAAAAAACTAATACTATAGGGGAAAAAAATAGACTAGCTATTTAACTATATATTTAAGATCTATTATTTATTAGTTTATCTAGTAGTAAACTAAATAGTTATATTATTTTATTTATTATCTTTAATAGATAATAAATAGATTAATAATAATAAGAGATAAATATTAGTTAATAATAAATAGTTATATATAATAAATAGTTAAGTAGATAGGCTTAGAATTAATAGTTCTAATAAAAAATAGAGATTAGAATACTAATATTAATAATTTATTATAAGTAAAAGAATAGTTTAATTTTATTATTATAAGAAAGGAATTATAATAATAATAAATAAATAAGTATAAAGATAGAGAAAATAAGTAGATAGAGAGATAAGATAAATAAATAAATAGATAGTTTATTATAATATTAGAATATTATTAATATAGATAAATAGTTATTAATTCTTAAGGTTAATATAAGTATATTCTTCTATAATACTTAGAATTAGATAGATAGATAATTTTAATAGATTTATTAGTTCTATAGTAGTATAAATTCCTTTATAAAATATAATAATTAGCTTCCTATTAATAGAAATAACTAGTTTATAGAAAGATATATTATCTATTAATCTGATCTATTATATAATCTTTCTAAACTAATTAGTATAAGTTAATAGGGATTTAATATAGCTATATAATATAATAAAGTAAGTAAATTAAAGTAAATAATTAATTAATATCTGAGGAAAAAAGCTAACTATTATATAGTCAAACGGAAGGTTTATATAAGTAGGTTTGCGGGTTATCGATAAGTTGATAACCCGGTAAGTTATATCAACAGTATAGGACCGTCCCAGCTCTTTCAAATTAAAACTCAACCAAACAGATGACCTCGCGCCTGTAGGCATGAAATTCTTCAGCAAGGCTTAGACGACAGCATCAAGCAATCCTCAATGCCGGGCATACACAGAAAGGCAATCCGCCATTGAAAAATAAGCTTAGAAGAAATCATTAGATTACATCGAAGTAGAGATTATCTCAATGAAAGAAAGAAAGAAAAATCGTATTCATTGTGTTGAGATGTTATAACTTTACACCCAAACTCTTCCCTATCTCAATGTAAATAAGGAGAAATCCCTCATAAAAATATTTTCGATAGTTGCTCATCTTGACGGAAAAACAGAAAGACAAAGATCAATCTATAAATGACTTTGAACACCATCCAGAGATGATATGCAAGCGTTTGTTCCAGTACATATTTCAGCTGCGAATGCTCGGAGGCAGGCAAACGACCATCTTTCCATGGTTCCGCGCTCATTTTGGTGATGTTATACCCTGTAGAGTCGGACAACCATGATAGAAAGCTCATTCTCCCGGCGGCATGCAGCAAAGCTTTCGACTAAAGCTTCAGCAGCTTGATTTAGAAGTTGACGCCATACCGGGCGGTCCATCTCTTCATTTCCTGCTTCAAAATCAAACCTTTGAAGTTCCGAATTCCACCTCGCGATTGATCTTCCAGATGGCTCATACTGGTATGACGGATCGAAACCATCCGAGACAGGCTCTAGTGCCGTTTCGCTAACATACAGTGCTTCCAGATCATGGGTCTGGGACATCTGAAGAAGGGCTGGTATGGCTTCCTCAAAAAATGAATCCGGAATAACAATGCGATCAATATATGAAGTAACCGAAAAGCTATTGTTCATGAATCGCATATCATCGGGAGCCATTAGTTCCTGCACAAATCTGTCCCATCTCCCAGGCGTAACGTAGAGAGTATCTTTTTCAAGACTGTACTGGCGAAGGAAAACCAGTTCTTGCCGCTCTTGTAGAAAGCACAGTTGAAGGTGATGCCCCTGTGCCCAGCGTAGTTCGGCCTGACGGGCTTCGCGGTTCACATCAACGATGGATACCGCCAGCCATGTCTTGTTGATCCTTGTACTATCAAACATCGCATAACGGTTATAATCCGGATCGTCCCGCTCATACTCGTCATCAGTAGGACTGAGGTAGCGCGGGGCCCAACAGCCTGCTCTAAAGAAGTGTACCCCTGGCTCCAGAGTAGGCAGCGCGCATTCCCATATCTGACTGCGGATCTCGGGTGGTAGCTTAGGGAAGAGGTGAAATGTTGACATGGCGGGTGGACTTTCCGCGTGTCGCAAAATACGAGTCCCACGTAAAGCACGATGGATGCCAAACGTTAGGTAGCTCAAGTGAGAATGAGGCGACAGGAACTTCGTAGGGACAGCGTCGAAAGGAGTCGAAGAATTCGCGGCATTAGGTCCTGAAGGAGGGCGAGGGTTGTAAATCCTTCCCGTTGCAACGGCAAAACAAAGGTCTTCCTAAGGCCAGCTGTAAACCCCAAAATACCAAAATAAATCTTGGAGCTGTGGACTGGTGTAAGCTGAACTCGGCCGGTCAGCCAATGCGCGAGAGTGAAGTAGTTTAAGCGATGTAAATGAGGGGAGAATCCATTATTACTTGGCAGAATGCACACATTATTATCGTATGACGACCTACAGCTTATTGTCCCTCAATACTACCTAACCTCCGGTTTTTACTTTCGGCGCGGTGGCGCAGCGACAACCACCGAATCGAATTATTAATTCCATGTTGCATCGGTAGTGCACATGCTCGATATCCTCTTAGAATAGTACTATTTTGCAGTTGGCATGCAAAAAGGATGAAGGTTTACAGTATGTAAGCAACCAGCAGCATTAACTCTCAGTCGATTGGAAGCACAGATTGTTACTATGACGGACTAAGACGAGATATACGGCGAATATGCATTTCAATTTATTGGACAGTAGAACGTCTATATAAACTGGCACCGGTACAGTAGTAGAGACAGGATAGATTCCAACAAGACAACCGCAAACAACAAGACAACCTCAAATCAAAATCAGCACATTCCTAAGAGAACCACCACTAAGAATAGGTACCCTTCAAGATTCTCCTGGTTTCCTGCATTATTATATCATCCAACAATATTTTGTCTTACTTTCATCTCTCATATCAACCTCGTGGATCTGCTCAACCAAAAATGTATGTTGAACTCGGACCTCTATTTTTGACATGCCTCATCTGTACGTCGAGTTGGGCTTCTGCGACTGGTATACATTTCCGTGCTTCCTTCACACAAGGAAAAAAGACGACCGCAGACTCCACCACTCGCGAAATTGACGACAAACTAAAAGAATCAGTGCTGAAAGGGATGTCAACTTGGTCTGGGGGCAGGTACAAAGCCAGTATTGGTGGTCTTGGTCGTCCAGTTATCCAAGTTCAGGTCGTCCAAGAGGGTGTAACCAGAACGAAGGAGCAGGCCAAAGAGATAACAGCGGAAATGGAACGGCTCGTCATGGCCAATGCTAAGTCATCCTCGCCTCCACCCTCCCCTGGTAGGAGCAGATCCGCCTCCCCAAAGTCCCGAAGGGGATTCCGCGGCAAGAAGCGATCTAGATTTGAGAGAAGACATCTCCAGCCTTAATCAAGATTGAAAACCAACACGGAAACTCCTACACAACGGTTGAGTGCTACCATCCTCAGCTTGTTGAGCATGGATGAATCGGGCGATGAACGCATAGATCAGAGGTCATGCGTCTATTATCTTCCATTTGTCAGTCTCTCGTCTATAGGGGAGAGATGTGTAATTTCAGGAGCTACGCTTGGTTTATGACGGGCTGCTAGTATGTTGGGTTCGTCGATCGTGGGAAAACAGCCAGGCCCCTTCGGAATTTTATTAATTGCGAAGTTATTTTTTTGAATAGACCTATCAAATAACTACCACATCCGCAAATCCTTCGCCGTTTTATAAGCACATTCTCACTTTTCAAAATTCCCAAGCCCCGGATTGGCAGTTATCTGATCACTTGTAATGTACGCTTGGAACAGTTCCATCAACTTGTCGTCCATAGTCCGGTGCGTTATCTCGCCTGCCGCGCTTGGCTCTTCCACTGTGGCATTAGCATGGGCTAATTGGTCTCTTAGCATTCTAAAATTGCCACCCTTCAGATGTGTCATGGATATCCTGGGCTGAGACCTCAGGTCTGGTCTGTGGAATGTCTGTCGAAGTGCGTCAAGAACTTCTGCCCAACTGCCCTCTCTCAACAAGACAGTATCCAACGACATGCGCCGAAATTTCGGCCCCAGACCCTTACATAACCTTATCATTTGACGCTGGTATATAGACATTTGCACAAGGGAAACAGTGCTTAAATGCGCGCAATGGAGATTTGAGACAATTCTGCCGAGAAACCGTGTACTTCGCCGTCCGGGTACGCGTGACCATGTCATGATTGGCCCAGTCACATCGACTTCCTCAAGCAGCCGGCTTGAGAGAATAGTTTTCAAAAAGTCGCCTATTGACGTATTGGCCATCCGGAAGTCTCCGGTGACACTTTCTTCGGGACGCTCTCTGTGCTGCAGGCCTCCAAATCGAAATCTTCTCAGATGCTGGCAAGCACCGCGTAACTGGTCAACTTCGTGCCCTCTTGGCGGCAAAGACTCTGGACAGAGAAGCCTGTAGCCTTTGTCTGCGACCAAATGCTGGAGCTCAAAGCCCTCCAAGATACCCCCTGCTTCATGGATGGCAATCGGAAGGTCCCAGATAATGCTGAGCTGGCTGACCAGGTCAGCCTCAATTGGTCGCTCAATTAGTCGAGAAAAGTCTTTCCAACCGTCCGGTGCCTCAAGCTCTCTACGAAAGTTTGGATTATCTGGAAAAAAGCGACGACCGTTATTGCAGCTCTTATCAGAAATCCTGAGGCACACCCGGCGACCTGGGAGAGATACCAACTTTGCCAACTCGTTGACAAGCGACTTCGCTGTTGCGATGCGATGCTGGTCATGATATTTTACTCTGTAGTTCTCATACGCCACACGAATCACCTCGTAATATTGCTCGACAAGATCTGGATCAGGTCCCTCAGCTGGTGATTCAAGCCTGGTGTCGTGTTGAGTCGATTGCTCGCCAACGTGTCGCTCACACGCAGAAGCGAAGGCTCTGCTTCTTTGCCAGCTAAGTTCGCGCATTTCATGAACCTCCTTCGAAACTGCCTGGCCAGATCGTCTGGCATTCGCTATGTCCAAAATTTTAAGGTGCAAAAGATAGTCCTGCATGATATAAAGATCGATCGAGCGGTATCTAACGAATTCTAGAAGGCTAGCCGCCACGACGTTGAAATAGTATCTGAGCTCTACCTGAATGGCAAGAACTCCAGCCGCGACGAGCGGATTTCCGCGGAGAGCCAACACACGATCGAGGGATGGTTGATCTACTTCAACACGGATGATGGGCACCAGCAGCGGAGACGCCAACGTGTTGAAAAGTTGGCACGAAAGCCGCAAGTTTTGAATGTCACTAAGCTGATCCACGCCGAATTCCATTCCTATTAATTCCAGGTTTATACTTTGCCCGACAGTAGCTGGGTGCTGGAAGAATTCAAAAACGCCCCTCAGGACCTCGAGGGGCAGGTCGGTGATACTGATGACGCGACGTTGGGTCTGGGAGGGATTTATCCCAATAGGCCGGGATGCCTCACTGTGTAAACCCATTTCCCTTTTTTCGGGTGCCACACCATCTTGACCCTGGGCTTCATGAGCCTGTAAAGAGTCTCTTTGGGCCATGTGCTCTTGGTTCGGTATGTTGCAATCCTCTGCAACATTGCCAAGCTGGTCAAGTGCGGTCGGTTCGCCTTGAGCTGCAATCAGACTCATCGGGGATGTGGCATCGGGGGACGTTTCTCGCAGCATACTATAACTCATCGAGTATCTCTCTGCTATCTTTCCTGTGCAATGAGTTTGATTTGTGAGAGGATTGAAATGCAGAAAAAGAACGAGGGAGGGGGGCGCAGCGCGGGGTTGCTGAATATGATATATCATATTTGACTCAGCAATAAGGCAGCGGTAAGGCAGCAGTTGATTTATCATTTGGCCGTCGGGTGTGACCAGCACACTTGCCCGTGAAATGCAACTTGACCTATCATAACTGACCAACAGTTGGTTGCATTGAACTGCGCGACGTGACCTGCTGTAGGGATGTGGCAGATTAAGATTTGGAATTCAGAAAGAGAAAACCAACCTCAACTTGTCCCAGGGGATTGAAAAGCATATTCAGAAGTCAACTTTGCCTTCTCATATAGCAAATTAGACAGTAATCAGTTTTACTAATACCATTTGCATTTCGTGTGATGAGAATTGTCGTCTCCATCTTCAAAGTTACTCAAACACAGGTATGCTGTAGAGGCAAAACAGAACGCAACTTCTAGGTACAAAACAAGATGCGAGCGAATCCACCCTGCCATATCATTCCTAGAAATAGATCAATCAGGATCCTTCTAATCACTTACAAGCATGCCCCTTATGTCCATCTGGGTTTAGAAGCAAGCAACATCTCCAGCAGTCAAAACACCTGCCACTCCCACTTGTCTCGAAACTCTAGCCAGGCGAATTCTTCCCAGAAGTTCCAACTGATACAAAGACCCAAATATTCAACAAACCTATAATAACGCTTGTGCCTTCAGTCAACAACGTTCGCGGTCATTCCATGCGGCGCTATCAGCATGAGCCTCGATTGGGCTGCTCACATCATCACAGAAAACACTTGGGCGAATGGTTTAGTGGTATAATACTCCCTTAGCATGATTCAGCCTATGAAATCTTGGGAGTGGTCCAGGGTTCGATTCCCTGTTCGTCCATGTTTTGGAGTCTTCCATGACTCGTGTTTTTTGAACATGAGGCTTTTTTTTTTCTCCTGTAGCCCTTGTAGCTCCATTTGACTGGTGGAGGCATCTACCAAGACACTACACGTGCGACGAGGTGACATTGAAATTATTAATGCATCCAAATAGCATCCTGCGGTATTCTTAATAAGTCTGTGGCCTGTAATGTCTCATTATTGAGGGCTAACACTCACTATCCAAAGCGAAAGGCATAGCATGGTCCCTCATATTCAAAACAAATATCAATTTGATATCTCTACCATGGACGTCTAATGAAGTACGCTAATGAAATGTGGCACCAAGCTCAATGTATGTGCAGAGGATTGAAATTATTTTATGTACATGCTGATGAAGCTCTTGGCGACAGATTCGGACAATCGCTCTCTATTGATAGCGTTAGTGATAGTCGAAAAGAGCAGAAGTGTTGTAGGGGAGTGATTTTTTGTTTCTTCTGAACTAGCCATCAAAGACGGCAGATGATGTCCAGTTTCGTTGCTCTAGGCTCACGAGAGCTTAGTATCATCTTCGTATGGCTTCTTTCCCATATGTCTCCAACAATTTGCTGCCATGAGTTCCTCAGCCTTTTCCCGGCTTTCAAAAAGCAATCCAGACTCGTCATCGCCGATATACCCAACTGAGCGATCCTAAAAAGACATGTTACATTAGCACAACTTCTTGGAAAGATAGAGGATGTCCCCATACCAAGCCTAAGGTTAATTTGATAACGCCATCGCCCCAATGATTTTCGTAAGTATTTTCTGGAAGTCTACCTTGTGCTTCCAGGAGAATATTTCTGGCCACAACGACTGCTTGGCGACTTGCTGATCGGGCGTTTGGGTTCGGTGTCTTGGTGTCTGCGACATCACCACATGCGTAGATGTTGGAGAAGTCTTCACCTTCCACTTGAAGAGTAGGTCTAACTTTGATGTGGCCAGTCGTAGAAATAGAAGTTGGCGAGAGTTGAGCGATAAGATTTGAGCTAGGCTTTTGACCAACACAATTTATCTGCAGCATATGTTAGAAACCATGACTGGGAAATTTGCCAGAGAAAGTCTCTTACCATGAAATCACAATCAAGCTCTCGGCCTGATTTCAAATGCACAGTTTTGGAACTCTCATTCCGTCCGACTACGCGGTCTTCAAGAATAACCTCAACACCCAGCTTCTCCGTCCCTTGGAGCGCAGCTACTTGCAGCTTTTCCCCAAACCGATGCATCAGCGCATTTCGGGAGTGGACCAGCGTAACTTTCTTGTCAGGATACTTTGCCTTGGCATCCGTGGCTACCTCGACGCCAGCTGCACCCCCACCCACCACCACAAGATCCTTGGATCTTTCTATCTCTTGCTGCATCTGTTGCAAGAGCTTCATCCCAGCACTCTTCTCGGTTTCGTGAACCCGCGAAGGGAGACCATGCTTGACATTAGATCCAGTAGCGATGACCAGGTGGCTGTAAGGAATGACCTCTTTGGAGTCTTGCAACTCAACGCTCTCTCTGGTAACGCTGACAACACGGTCCTTGATCCATCTCACAGCCCCATCTGGCGCAGCATCGGTGTAGCCCCCATAGGGCACAAACGCCTTGTGTTGATGCCCTTTAGCTACACAGTAGCGTGGTAGAACCCAAGTAAACACAAAGTGGCTGCTAGGCTCGATCACGATGACTCGATAGGGGCTCCGTGGAGGAAGGTTATTAGCGATGATACGAGCCACCTGGTAACCTGCGAATGACGCGCCGACTATTACAATATTAAACCTCCGGTCTTCGAATGGTGTGCTCCCAAACCAACGGGCTTGTTGGCGAGTGACAATGCCGCCGGCGATGTTGCGGATTTCTTCTCCGGCGAGGGCGAAAATGAACGCAGCGACCCTCGCATACATGCCGATATTCTCAAACATTTTCAGTAAGAAGCGCGAAATAACTTCTTTAAAAAATGAATCTTGTATGAAGCGAGAAAAGGATTCGAAAGCGGAAGTTCCGGGTTCAAGAGGTCTGAAATATTCTGTAATCTCCGAGGCCGTACGTCCGCCCCGTGGGAATATCCCGATCGATCGGACATACACGTTACTTATCAATCTTATCATTCAAGATCTCTGGACAAATCAGGCCAACATTATCTCCGAAATCATCTGCGGTGGCTAGTGCAGCCATATCATAAGTGAGACTAAAGAGTATACAGCGGGCTCAACTGAAGGCTGTGGTTACCAACCTCGGTCTACGAGCTTTTCTCTATTTACCTACACCTACATACAACATCGTAAACAGGGAAACAAGAGGAGGGGCATCGGCGACAAGATTTCATTTGTATTCAAGTATAAAGGAAAGTATGGACGAAAATGAATTGCAATTGAGGCTTGCCGCCCGACCACATTCCAAGTCAGAACCAAACCTCAAGGGCAGAGGTAAAAGGGTATTTCGGGAACATGTCGGTCAGTCATGCGAAATAAATATTGCTAATCTCTTCGCACTTGATTTTTTTTTAAAGCCCAGTGGCTGATAGATCAATAGACTAGCAAATTTTTCAATCTAACGCACAGATATTATAATTGGCGAAACCCTTGAAGAAGATTAAACCTTGGACCGACATCAGTTTGGTGTGAAGTACACCAAACTGGTTGGACAAGAGTGGAGTTGGTATGAGAGGCCTGCAGCACAAACCCATGGTTCGTTCGACTTCCCCATACTCCCCACAGGCAGAAATCTTGGCTGAACACTGTTATAGAGAATTCTAGATTGATCACTTATTAACTTATTGATTTGTATTACACGATTTTTCTTCGATATGTAGTTTTTATTTGTCAAAGCCCATCTCCTTCTTGTGGGTCGCTCGTCAACATGTTTTGACAGGGCGGAAGTGGAGAACACAAACCAGGCACGAGCCAATGGCATGTTGTTGTTGAGAAAGCTTCGAACGCCTTTGCCCGACAAGTTGCATGACATGTAGAGTTTGTGAAGTACTAGATAATAGAAGCAAACTCTACTAAAAGCTTGTAGTGGCAGTTGATTTCCTGTACCCTCCTTACCGTTTCATCGTTACCGTTGATCTTGAGCATTCCTCCAAGATGGATCTTCATATCAGTAGGAGCAGCAGCGACCAGCAGGCATACGGCAGCATGTCAAATCAACACGAAGGAAAAGATGTCGATGTCGAAAATTCTAGCACACACTTGGAGAGAGGCCTCCATAACCGTCATCTGCAGTTCATTGCCATCGGCGCAGCTGTCGGAACGGGGTTGTTCTTGGGAACAGGAAACGCCCTAGCCACTGCCGGCCCTGCCTCTCTTCTCATTGCATTCATATTTATCGCCACTATTTTATATAGTGTTATGACTGCACTTGGGGAGATGGCTGCTTACATCCCAGTGGCAGGTGCTTTTACCAACTACGCCTCTCGCTTCATCGACCCCACCTGGGGGTTTTCCATGGGCTGGATCTACTGGTTCAGTTGGTCGCTTACCTTTGCGTTGGAATTAACGGCAGCGGGTCTCATCATTCAATATTGGAACAAGAGCCTGAGTGTCGGCATCTGGATTGCTGTCTTCTGGGTCGTGTTTACCCTGGCCAACTTCATGCCTGTTCGGTGGTTTGGTGAGTTTGAAATGTGGCTGTCCAGCATTAAAGTCGTCACCATCATCGGGTTTCTCATTTTGTCCATCTGCATCAATGCGGGAGTCGGCAACTCTGGTCAGGGCTATCTGGGATTCAAATACTGGAATGATCCCGGAGCCTTTGCTCAGCATTTGGTAGATGGGTCGGTGGGATCGTTTGTCGGTTTCTGGGCGGTCCTCATTACGGCCGGTTTCAGCTTCCAAGGATCAGAACTGGTTGGAATCGGCGCCGGTGAGACCAAGGACCCTGAAAAAAGCATTCCATCAGCTATCCGAGGGACCTTCTAGGGCGTCTCAGGTCTCTTCATCTTCACGGTCTTCTTCCTGGGCATCAACATCCCATATACGAATAGCGACTTAACGAGTGACTCACAGGACGCTTCAGCATCACCGCTCGTGTTGGTGGTGCAACTAGCTGGAATTCCCGTGTTGCCATCCATCATCAACGCCGTTCTTCTTACTGCCGTTCTCACCGCCGCCAACTCTGACGTCTATTCAAGCAGTCGCATCCTCGTCTCCCTGGCTGAGTCTGGCCACGCCCCTTCAATTTTCAGAAAGACGAACCACCTGGGTACTCCCTACTACGCAGTGGGTGCGTGCTCTTGCGTTGGGTTCTTAGGTTTCATGAATCTGTCAGAGAACGGAACAGTTGTCTTCAACTGGCTCCTCAACATTATTTCGGTGGCGGGCTTTATTGCGTGGGCAATAATCAACTATTGTCACATTCGCTTCATGCGAGCTCTGGCAGCGCAGAATATTCCTCGATCAGACTTGCCGTACAACGCTCCCCTGCAGCCATACCTATCTTGGTATGGTCTATTTTTCAACATCATCATTATACTGACAAACGGATTCGAGGTGTTTATGAACTGGGACACGAGTGCCTTCTTCACAAAATATGTGAGCCTGATTATCTTTTTCGTTCTTCTTATTGGGCATAAACTCTGGAAGCGTACCAAGCTGGTTCCTCTGAACGAGGTGGATCTCATCACTGGTCGTTTCAGGTCCGAATAACAGCACCGTAATGTCGATGTTGAGACTGCTCATTTGTAAATGGGCTTTATGCTGGACATGAGCTATCTTTATATTTATCTAGATATCGTTACGCTCAATCTCGAATAAAAGTCAATAGAAAGTCATTCGTTCTATAGTCTTTCTACGTGGCTCGTCTTTCGCTTCAGTAGCCGACTTATTCTATGCATGGGTGTTAACCTACATATGATCCGGATTTCTGTCTGAGATTAATAGTAAGAGACTCGATATCCTGACATAAAGTGACTGGCTATTCCCGCTATGGCAGGAAAGTGGAAGCATGTGCAGTGACGGCGTAACTGGAGCGCAGCGGGAGATGGTGCTGCAATTCATCTTCCAATCACATGAGCATTTGTGCTACACTTATTAGGGAAGGACGCAGTTTTTTCCGATGAACAATATACCTTTGCTAAACTCCAAACAAAGCTCAAGACCTTCCATTAAGTTGTTGCTTTAGAAACAAGCTACAGATAGAATTCCTCCATGGCTACAGGTAGTTGAGGCAGTGGCCACCGACCGAAACTAGAAGGGTCGAGATCAAACTACACTCTCACTTGCTGCCCATATATATTATGAAAGAAATCACAAGTAGACATATTAGAAGCAAGGAAGGAGCAAGCCAGCACAACCAAAACAAAGACTCAGCTCGTGAAACTCGGACACTGCCTACTCACCTCTACAACACAAACACCGCCAGCATCCATTTGGAGCAGCCTTACCATCAACGCTCGTTTCGTCACTTTCATTTCATACCCAATATCAAGGTGGACTATCCTTGCCACCCGAGCCGGGGCTTACTCCAAACTGAGACCTCTATCTATTTGAGCACCTCCCTCAGCCGTCCTAGCCTTATCCCAAAAGAGAGCAACATGCCCGGCCTCTTCCACTCTCTGAGCTATCTGCGCTTGAAATGCGAAGCTTGTGTCGTTCGGAGATTTGCGAATCGCGCGCAGCGTGATGGATACACTCCTGAGCTTCCAACTCAGAGGCAACTTATCAAAATACCTTCGCGCGATACCGGTCGCCGGATTCGCATCTGGGTCTATCCCCACCTCGACTGGAACCGCTCACCGAGGAGGCCAGTCATGATCAACTGGCATGGTAGTGGGTTCGTTGCTGGAGGATTCGGTCTCGACCACGTCTGGTGCACTGAAGCGACGTACGACCTTGGCATGTGGGTGATTGATGCCGACTACAGAAAGGCGCCTGAAAATCCATTTCCAGCAGCTGTCCACGACGCCGAGGACGTGCTGAGATGGGTTTCCACCCGGCCAGACCTCTTTGATTTGGACCGTGTCGCCGTTTCGGGCTTCGCCTCTGGCGCAACCTTGGCTCTGGTGGCTGCTTCGACGCTGCGTCGGGCAGATCATGGACTCAACATCAGGGTGCCAGTGGTCTTCTATCCCATCACCAACTCCGATGTCGACCCTGTGCGGAAAAGGCCCCCTCAACGGGAACATTCTGTACCTCTATCTATACGCATCACACGCTTCTTCAATGAATGCTACGTGCCGAACCGAGACGACCGGCTTGATCCGCGAGTCTCTCCGGATCTTGGCGACCTGGAGTCGTTTCCCGACCATGTAGTTTTCATCACGGCGGAACACGACATCTTTGCGCCCGAGGGGATGGCTTTGGCCGACAACTTGCGCAACGGTCACCGAACAGTCATCAGTTACATGGTACAGGGGGCAAACCACGGTTTCGACAAGGACCGCCGCGGAGACGATTTTGAAAGGCGGAGAGCCACTGCATACTCGGTAGCCAGAGACCATTTGGATAATGCTCTCCAAGCCGTCGCTCTCGGATTTCCCCAGTTGGCTTTGAATGCCCCCCCGGGAGATGCTGAAAGACTGAGGGATCTTCTTGTATCGGGATATCGAGGGCCCAATCGACATCGTGTCCGACCGTGGTTTTTGGACTCTGCACCTCGACCTCGACCTCCAGCGAATTAACAAATTTTTATTGGCTTGCAAACTCAATATCGCTACCACTCTTTACTTTCGTGTCATTTCAGGATCTTCACGTTCACCGATCGATACAGTTTGGAGCTTTCGTACTCCATGAGCAGACTTATATTATTGTCGAGCGTACTCGATAGAAAGCGTATACTAGGTTCAAAATCAATTTTCTTTGCTAGTTCATTCCTGTCCAACTACTCAACCTAAGGTCATCTGATCAATAGCGTACCACCCAGGAGAGCATCCATCGCACTGTCGATGTGGGTTTTAATTGAGCAGGTGATCTATGTCTCCTCACCTCTATCCCACCATCTTCCCGTTCATTGCTCCCCATGGGTTCATCAGCGTCACCCGTCTGGTCGTGCATCACAGGTTGATTATCCACGTCCCCTGATCCAATATTCGGATCAAAACTGATTCTTTTTTGTATCAAAAGAGATTTGATGTTGTTCCTTTCTACTACCAGAAATTCCGGAAAGTGCTTCTCAATAAGAATGGTTACTGATAGTCTTGGATGTCCTTGTATTGAACTATGGTTCCGAGTGACAAGATCGGGGTTTGCTCCGTGATTGAGAAAATCACGGATGATCACAGCCCAACTTTTAGATGTTTCTTTCCATTTCAAGTCTGGTGGATGGTCTTTACACCTGGTGTGGCCGCATGGCGTGTGGTTGAAATGCGCAGCGGCAGACAGGAGCACATGTTCCCAAGGACTGAAACCATCATAGGACAAGTTCGGATCTGTGCCGTTTTCCAAAATTCGTCTTATGACAGCGGGATCTAGGTCAGTACGGGAGGTGATCAAATGTAAGAGCATATGCTGCTCTACATCCTGGTCCACGATGTTGGCAGACTCGAATTTCATGCTTGCGTAGTGGGATAGGCCGATGGCTACGGCGAGATCATAAAAGGTACTTGGCCAACCCGCGCATCCAAGACGAGAAACATCAACAGCTTTTGACCAGTGGTAGGGTGCCGAAGTCTTCCCAACAAGGCTTCGGCCACCAGGAGAGGGCGATAATGATACCTGTAGAATCCCAGACCGTGAAACTTGCCCCTGCCGGAAGTATAGTTCATTTTCCTGATCCTCGAATTCGAACACATCATCCTGGTCTCTTGTGTCATTAATAAAGCTCGAGTTCACCGAGCTGGCCACAGAGGCTGGCTCTGGTTCACTGGTGAAGAAATTCTTTCCAACTCGCCACTGGTACGAAGCTGCAATGTCCAATTGATCTAATAGCCTTGGAAATCCGCTATTCAGATCCTTTTCGGCCTCAACCGCAAATTTTAGAGCACCAGTGATGAGTCCCATGTCTAGCGGAAAGGAGGGGCCTATGCTGGCACTTTTTAGCTGCAAAACGCAGGACTTGAGCATTGCAATATTAGGGCTAAACGACTTCCCTTGCGTATGAGAAGTTATACCGCTCCAAACCTTGGGCTGCGTTATCCAATCTGAGACCGTTCGGTGTAGGAAGAGTACCTTCGCGTCGGGAGCGATGTCTGAGAATCTAGTGTCGATTGACTCAAGAAGGCCGGCGCATACACTCTTTAGGCGAACATCCATCGCTTTACATCGATTTGCAATCCTGTTATGAGGGAGTGGCAGGATCGGGGCCTTCTCCGCCAAATCTTCGTCCTCTTCGTCCGCCCATGATAAACTCAACAGTGTCAACTGACTCGGGCAGTGCTGCTGAGCAGCTCGATATATTTGAAAGATCTTCGAAGCTTGTTCATGGTAGAATGGATCTGTCATCTGTAGCATATGGGCGTATAAGGCCTCCAGGTCACCAGGCAAATATTCGACCCGTCTTTGGAGATCTGAGATGCGGTTGTAGTCAGATAGACCACGTAATAAGGACCTGACTACCAATTTAACCCATAAAAAGACACCACGTGCTTTTTCAACAACGTCGCTCACCAAATCAGACACTTGAGCTGGATTTTCCTTTGAGAGGGCCATCGTGTATTTATGGCGGTACAAGTTTTCTTTGACGTAGTAACTTATGTCTCTCGCCGTGAGATCTTGTAGCTTCAGGCTAGGCTGCTCCTCGAACGCTTGCTCGAAGGCCAGGAGCGGTCTGCTGGACAAACAGAGCTTGATATTGGAAGATTGAGCGATTTCTTCAAACATCTCAGCGATTTCGTAATGGTCTCCGTCGTACTCGTCCAACCCATCAATAAATAAGCAGAGCTTAACCCTACTCTCCAACGTTTGGAGTAAAGTTCGAAAGAAACCCTTCAACTGTGTCATATCCCACGGCTTCGGGTCAGGGCGTAGCATCGGATTACGAAGTGAGCCGCTATTTGATATAAGGTAATCAGCTCGCGAGGACCAGGCCTCCCAAGCTTCAGGCATAATGGCGGGAATTAAGTCTCGATGCTGTTGAAGAATATCATGGAGAAGCGATCTCAGCAATCCCTTCTGAGACTTTTGGTATTCATCACCATTGTTCCAGAAGAAAAAGTGACAGATGTCCAGAGGCATAGATCCGGCCCACTCATTCAACCCTTCCCGTATCTGTTCATTGTCCTGGAGATATCGCATCAAGGTCGACTTTCCAGAAGCGGCTTTTCCATTAATCCAGTAGATCCCAGAATCTTGCCGCAGCCACGTCATAAAGTTGCTCCACGGCCTTTCAATCGATCCAGGTTCGTCGAAGATCCACTTGAAAGTGTTCTGGAAAGGCACATCCACACTATCCTTACGGTCATGGATCGAATCGAAGCTCAAACTGCTAAGGACGCCATTTTCGATCATGAGCAGTCGGATGCTCTCTTCCACCTCGTACGCACGGGCTGGAAGCTCCTCTATGCTTTCTTCATCTCTTTTCGCCCCTTTGGGATAGTGGAATGTTCCAGCAAGCTTCAGTTCTCCCTTTAAATGTTGTGTCTGATCTTCCGGTAGCCTTGCCCTGATATCACGTTTTGAGATCTCAGAGAAAACCAGCTTCTCCACCTGACCCCGGAGTTGTGTCGCAAGGTCATCTCGGCTATATATGAAGCTATCAAGAATAGCCCGGGTTGATTCGGTCAGTTGCCGAGAAAACTGTGATTGCTGGACAACGAGCTGGCTTATTGTTGCTCTACCCCCAGTTAGCCAGCTTCTTGCTTGCTTTGATTCAGGTTCATGGCTTACCGAAACATTACCAGGATACGAAATTCAATTTCGGATCTAAACTCCCGAAGTGTCGCGGCCATTGCTTCGATTTCCTCTTTCCTCCAAACAGCTTCCAATGCTTTCCGAAAAGCACTCCATTTCCTAAACATCTTGGACTTCCCCTTTGCACTGGGTTTCAGCATGGAGCTCCAGTTGCCCCGCTCCAGCTTATCTTGAGACTGGGAGTCCCGAAGACTGCCTCTGCCGACCTTGTCATCCTCAGACGGTTTTGATTCATCCTTGCCTGAGACAATTTTTAGCTTGTCGAGGTGTGCAATCAATTCCTCCGCGATCGCAACGCATCTAATGCAAAGCTCATCCAACGCTTTCTCGTCCTCCGATTTATCCTCCTTTATCTCGCGATAAAGGGGCAATTTGCGCTCCAAGCTCTTAAGTATGGTGGCGAGGTCGGTGGTAACTACCTCCAGGTCGATATTCTCGGATAAAACACCATCTGCGGATCGATACAGCTTTCTAGAATTAGAAAGCAGCTTACTCCCAAAATCCAGGAACTGGATCACACCGCCAGCGACTTGGAGAGTATTGAGTGCCTCCATGGCTGATAGATGGCATTTCACAGCATGGGGAGAGATGGATTCTCGACATGATCAATCTCTCCTTGTAGTAAGAATATTACATGTACATAGGACCAGAGTGGATTATATAACCCGACCAACGTACCCCTAGAGCCACAGCCACAGTTACAGGCTGTGAGGCCATAAGAGGGTAAGATTGGCCAATCTCACACTGACCAAACACCTATCGCGCAGGTTCTTACCTGCATTAGTAGAGTTGTCTACGTAGTGGAAGCACAACGGTTGGTTTGACGGAGGGCTTCGCCACCTGGCACTGCCCCCTTGATAGGTGAGCCAATGAGCTGACCACATCAAGTCAGCACGCCCCAATGGCCTGGAGGTTGCATATTACTGCATATTCATCTTCCTTATTCTTGTTATTGACTACAAACATAGCGGAATCCGGTTCCTTTGTCAGCTAGTACCGCCTAAAGGGAGGCAATGTCAGCCCCAAACATCCTCTGAAAACCCTCCCACCCGCCTCCAGCTCGTCCACCACTCAGCGTGATTCTCGAATCCAAGATCCGCGTTTGCCTTCAAGGCATCCTTCAGCATTGCTGCCACCTCTCTCGACATGGCCGCCCGTCCACACACGTAAATCCGCGCCTCCTGCTGAGCAATCATCTTACTGAGCTCTTACCCGCGAGCAACAGCGTCCTGCACATAGCCCCTACCCGCCTTGCCAGGGTATTGAGTCCTCGAAAAGGTTGTGACAATCTCAGCCCCAGGTAAACTAGTGGCAGCCTGCTCCAACTCTTCTTGATATATGTAGTCCTCCTTGGGATCTCTGCAGCCAAAGAAGAGGATCGTACGTCCGACAGGGCGCGACATGGCGTGAAAACGGGCGCGCTCCAGCAAGAATGCGCGGAAGGGTGCGATTCCAGTTCCCGCACCTTTCATGATGATGTCTTTGGTTGCGGCAGGCGGATGGGACTTAGATTTTCGGATTGCTACGTGAAGGCTAGGGAAAAACTCGTTCTTTGATGATACTGATACCTTGTGTCAGTGAGTGGATGCTAAGCCGGTGATGGACTCTGCTGGACGGTTGCGCAGGGGCTTTTCGACCACAAGAGCTGTGATCGCTGGCTTCCGCGGCGCGAGCATACTGCTACTGGAAATTGAATACAACCTGGGTCGCAGGGCTTCGAGGACTTCGGCGACGAATGATAGTGAGAGGTTGGCCCAGTCGCCGTCTTTGGACAAACCCCCCTTGATAGCAGACATGCGTAGCAGGCGTCCCAGCGTCAGGTGGTTTTCTTCCGCGAGCTGGATGTAAGCTTGCCTGTCTTTGACGTATTGTCCCAAGAACAATCGGACAGTTAGAGATGGAGCGGATTGAAGAAGTGAGCCAAGGGTGTCTGCTGACACGGCGGCGCTGATCTCCAAATAGTGCTTGAACAAAATCTCATCGAAGTCGGGGTTGGGACCGGGATTTTCTTCGTGGAATCAAGAGATTTGATGATGATGGGGATATTGCAGCGATCACGTAGACCAAGTTGACGGAGCAGGATATCCACCTCCTCTGCAGGGTTAACAGGCCAGACAGCGATATGATCGCCCGTCTTATACGAAATGGTGGGATGGGCGGAGAGGTCGACGTCCAGGTGTACGCAGTTTCGAGATGAGTTTTAGAACAGGTCTATCGCGTGACTTATAGGCGCTGATACCACAGCACTTGAGGATTTACTGTCGTCTCTTGATATAGGTTCACCCGAATACAGGTCAATAACATCCAGAGACTTGTCCTCTTCCACCTGCAACTTAGGCTCATATAACGGCTCTCTCTCGGTAAGGTCCAGCCTTTTCTGTAGAAACCGGAGGGAAACTTCTCCTCAGTGTTTCCGTCAGCGTCATCAGCCTTGGTCACAAACATGAGTGCTCGAGCTCCCAGGCCGTCGATAGCAGTGACTACCACGCCTACTACACGGTTGTAGTGTTGGTAGTTGCTGTTACCAAGGCCGAAGGCAACATACTGAATATTGCCGAGAAGGCTTATTTTGCAGATAGCGATAGAAGCCGGTAGCATTGTCGCTGGGGTCTCCTTCTCCTTCTCAGTGGTCATCTACTCACATTTCGGATGTCTGTGTTGCAAGTGGGAGGAGAGTTAGACTTTTATGGAACCAATAGCGAACTCAGTTGTGGGAGACTACCTCAAACGACAATTCTAATGGGTGTGAATTGGTCCAATTAGTTGATCATCCAACCCCTGAAAAGACATCGGACATGGAACATACATGGCAGCTCGTCAAAGAGCGTCGAGAAATCTGCTTTGTGGGCGGCGAAGCTGTACTGCCTCTCCCTTCTGGCATTGTGGGGGTCTGTTTTAGGCAAGTCGAGACGAAGGGAGCATTGCAAGAAGGGGGAATGCTGGGGAATGCTGGGGAGTAAACTATTTATCCCATCGACCATCAATCTACCCTACCCCATGAGCCTTGTGGTTAGAGGAACTCCCTGGAGGGGATAGTGCCTGCTCCCCGCATGCAAACGCCCAGAAGGGGTCTTCCGGCGGGTCCTGCGGCGTTTGTGGGGAGAAATCTTGGTTCGATGAAGAGCAAGGAACGCTTGGATAAGGCTAGCTAGCCATTTTGGATTACTCCTCCCTCCTTGGGGCAGAATGGCGACAGTTCTCTCTTCGATGTCTGGTGGCATACCCTAGAGCCAATACCACACAACGTCATCACGGCAGCCCCAGACTTAACTTTATCTACCAAGTCATAGGGTAAGATCCTAATTTTTCCTAGAGTTTGATAGGAAAGTATTTCGAGGCCATGGGTGTATCCGCTGCCGGGAAAGTTTTCTCATTATGTAGGAGACAATCAACTGGCTCCTGATCAATTTTGATTCACACAACTGGGCATGAACAAAACCAAAACTTCTTGTTGTTAAAACAGCGAATCAAAAGGAGTAAGCTTTTTATACCACCTCAGCAGCTACTATTTATATTGGATATTTGAAATCGAATCAGCTTGCTTTGCTGATTACATGGATATTTCCAACTAGCCCGTCATTATCCTCAGCGACAGGATTGTCTGTGTAGGGTAGCGGGATCATGGATACCGAGCGGTCTCCACCAGCCAGTCTCCAAGCTCTCCCAGCTTCCAGGCCCACAGCTGGAACATCCTTGGCACAACAGTAAGCTGCCTTTTGTTTTTTGGAGATGAGGCGTTATCCACCGATTGCGTCCCGTTGGCCTGCATGGCTAGCCACAGTACAACCACGTTGACAGCTGGCAGTGCATATTGACGGTTGCCGGGCGATTTCTTCAGGTACCCCGCTGCATGATGTAGGCGAATCACATGACTGTGTGTTCCTCGTCCAACCCAGCTGCGAATTTCAATACAGACGAAGCTCTCACAGCTTCGTCACCCTCTCTCCAGCTGCACCATGAAGCTTTCGCCATGGACGACCAACTGCGGCTAGTGTACCGTTACCTCGATGCCGACCTTAGCGACAATGCCCTCTTCCTCGCCAGTATTCTGCATGCATTGGACCCCGAGAATGGCACCTGGGCGCACCTCAAATCACTGGCCTGCCTTCGTCTGGGCCAGTACGGCCTCGCTCGTCAGTATAGCTGCGAGAATGGCTTGACTGGCGACCACCTGGGGTGCTCATACGTCTTCGCATTGGCATCCTTGTCCCAGGGAAATTACCTCGAGGGAATCTCAGCATTGGAGCGAGCCAAGCCACACTGGCAGCTTCGAAATCGGGATGGCAGTGCGCCCTTGGCTCCAGATGCTCTGACCCAGCGATTCTGGCCTGACCGTCCGGCAGTCAATTGTCTTCTGGCCAAACTGCATAGGTACAACAAGGATAATAAGAATGCAGCAAACCACTTCACTGAGGCTCTAGAAGCAGATCCTTTGATGTGGGATGCCTTGACCAATTTATCTGACATTGGTACCTCCCCCTCCGTTCTTTTTAAGAATACGAGCTGCTTCCTGACCATAATTTCTTCCAGGAGTTTCCCTAAATATGCCGAATATATTCAATGTCGAGCGCTTCCACCCAGAACCTACCTCGAAACCAGACCGTCCCGTTTCGAAATCGATGGTGGCTAATGCCACAACGAGACAGACTCCTCCGTACCCAGAACAACCATCGAGCTATAATACCCGAACCCCCCCGCAAGGCGTGAATATTCAGAATGTGTCTCTTAGAAAAAAGAATGAGAAGCCTACGAATGACACTGATAAGGTCAAGACAACATTGCCGAAGAAACGTCAGCGCCCAGGCTTTGATCACTCGACGGAACAGCCAAACCCTCACAGTGGCCCAGTTCTTGCAGAAACGGATTTTACTTCCCGGACGACCGCTCCAACTCCTTCCCTTTGCACCCAACGCAGGAGTGCTCGATTACACAATCGTATTGCAACTACTGCTGGCCTCGCTGATCGGCCAGCTTTCCAACCCAGTACTAGAGAGGCAATAAGGCGCCCTGCCAAACCAACGACTTTAGTTCGAGATCGCCAAAAGCCTGCGGCTACAGCTGCAGCTCGACCTGGCCCGGCGCAAAAGAGAACTCTGCCCCAGCGGAAGGCCGCCGTTTCGCCGACACCCACTCCCGAAACTGACCCCTTAATCAAGCTTGAGTCTATAAGGGTGGAAGCGATTGCGGAGCGAGAGAGGACCATAAGATTGCTTGGCATCCTCCAGTCATTAGGTGCCGCCTATCAGAGCTTAAGCAAATACGAGCCCAGAGCATGCCTAGATGCCTTTGCGACCCTCCCCATTGAGCTCCAGGCAACTCCCTGGGTTCTTTCCAAGTCAGCGCGCGCACAGTACGAGTTAATGGACTACAAGAAGGCGAAGCAAACTTTCCAGGCGCTGCTAAAACGTGCTCCTTCGTGGATTGAGGATTTTGAAGTGTATTCTACCGTCCTGTGGCATCTTAAGGACGAGGTTCCATTATCGTTATTGGCACACGAGCTTACTGAGAGCCATTTCCAATCTCCTGAAACATGGTGTGCAGTAGGCAACTCGTTTTCTGTGTGCCGATCCCGAGATGAAGCGATCAGGTGCTTTCGACGCGCCTGTCAGCTTTCTCCCCAGCTGCCTCAGGCGTACTCTCTCCTTGGATATGAGCTCATGGAGCAAGAAGACTACTACGAGGCTATCGGAGCTTTCCAGCGCGCCATTCGGGTGGAACCGCGCTTCTACACAGCTTGGGTCGGGCTTGGACGTGCCTATGAACGGCTGAGTCGCAATGACGTGGCATTGAAGCACTATCTGACGGCTGTTGAGATTAATTCATCCAACCCCATCATCTACACTTATGTCGCCCGCGTATGTTACATTGCCCCCCTGTTAATTTGGGTTTCTCTAACAATGCGGTCCAGGTCTTGGAAAACTTGCAGAAACGACGAAGTGCGATTGAATACTTGCGACGAGGCATCCGGCTCAATCCCCCACCACTCACCATGGCGTTGATAAGGATGCAGCGCGCGGGAATCTATCTTTACGCTGGGCAGCCTGGTGCCGCTCTGGAGGATCTTCGAGCTGTTGCGCTAATCGCCCCGGATGAGCCTCGCGTTCATTTGCTCCTTGGCCAAGCGTATGCCATGCAAGGACAAGATAAAGCTGCGGCATTAAAATCGTACACTACGGCTCTCAGCCTTGCTCCTTGGGTGAGTTCATGCCCTCTTTTCCATCAAGGTTTAGTGCAAACCACTAATTCGGCGCAGAGCAGAGAAATCAAGGACGCGATGCTGTCCCTTGAAGACGATGAATGATTTCATGAACATATATGACTAATGATATAAACCATACCTCTTGGATGAATCAAACTTTACCTCGTATTTCCACGATTTTCTGGATGGCAGCTTTGTTTTCCCTGACGGTAGATTGGTAGATGCAATTGGTGGCTTATGATACTTCTACCTTTACTCCCATCCAATTGAGCTTCAAACCTGTACGTTGAAGGCCTTTTTGCCCACCCCTAAGCCTCTACATGTCATGATCATACCCCCGTTCGGGAGTGTACTGTGTCCCAGTGTTGACATCATGCTCCATCCTCCCACCACCGCCTCCTCTTTCGCAATGAAGTCAGCACTGACGGCTGCTTTGCAGACGGCGGAGCGGCATCGCCATTGGCCATCTTAACTGCATGACACGCATACGCCAGGTCATCGACAATGCGCTGCCCCGAGCAGATCCAATATTCATGCCACATGCCGCTTTGTGGATCGCCCAGCAGAGACAGCTCATCGCCATTAGCGGAGAATTGAAGCTCCCGGAGATTTTGTGCATACCAGCGGGTGAGTGCCCAGTCAATCCCCCTCTCGAAATAGCACAATGCCTACGTGTGGCATGGCCACTCCCACCAATCCCATGCTTAATGCAAGTAGCTACCAATCCCTTGATGACATATCATCATCATCTCAGGCAACGTCAACTCTGTTCGTGATTTATTTCTTCTTCTTTTTTTTTAAAAAAAAGGAAAAAAAGAGCGACAGAGAAGGAGAAAGAAAGCCGGTTACTGTGATTGATACGTCTCTCAGGCAACTAAACGAGGTAAGGCTGTAGCGTGTACGATTGTTTGACCACCCCAATAAAGTAGTGAGCCACGAGAATCGCGACCGAAGAAACTGTGGGTGTCTCCGACAGAGACATCATTGAAGAAATGCCATGACCCCGGGACTTGAGGTACATCAGCGTGTCCCGCTAGCCACTTTGTAGTCGTAGTTCACTGGGACTGATACCGCCTGTCTGCATGCCCCACACAGCCTAGCAACGAGGTGTTCGTCCGATGCAAACACAGAACGAATATCTCATAACATGTTGCTTGGTTGGAGGCTGATACCGCTGGTAGCATCCTCGCTTCCTCGTATAACGTCCAAATAAAGCTTGTCTTTTGGGTCCATCTGAGTTTTTATCTAAACGCCTCCCAAATATCTGGGAGTTTGCCATAAGGCAGAGATCGCGATATCTCAAGACACTGTGAGAGGTTCGGATTGAGGAGCATTCAAGTTCAGCCCGCGAATAGGATAACTTACCCACGCTGATCTATTACGATTGCGCATTGATAAGTATTAAAATTCATTATAGTTTGCATGAAACTGCCTATAACGGATGACACTTTGATAGAGTTTTGCTCTTGTTGAGGCGAGCGAGGGTAAAAAGAGTGTCGGATGACTAGGTACGGAAAAGTTTAGGAATTTAAGACGTCTGACCTAAACTAAGCAAAGCTCTACGCGATATCGGATCGTTGCGAACTGAGCTATGACGCCAGTTCTACTCAGAATCTGGGGAGACTGATCGTTCAATCCCCTGGCTAGCGGCGATACGTTATGCCCCATGGGGAATTTTCCGATCCCGATAAATAGCATATAATCATGCTTGAGATCAGATGAACACGGACGCCATAACGGAGGATAATCCTCACGTATCTGTAGGACTAATCGCAGGTGTGTGTTTGGACGGTAACGTTTGCCGTGATACGCGCGGTTGGGCGTTGCTGCCTGTGATGAGGCAACGAGATGACGTCGTTGCGCCACAATCAGCCACTTTTCGTCGCCGCCGACGCCCAGGTGAAGTTGCACCGCCATGTGGCGCGGTAGCATTGGCCCCACTGCTGCTCTGGGGCTGAAGCTCACCTTGGCTCCAGCTTCAGGAACACGCCGCCTGGTGACGAAATCCCCACCTCGAGCTAAAAACGACGATTACCCTTCCATCCCCCACACCGAGTAAGCGAGATCTTGTTGACTGGATGATCCAGTCTCCTACTGCTGAGCAGACCTGCTGCTCTTTGTTTTCCGAACCCCTGTGAATTCTCCCGTTGCTGGCCTTTGGGTCCGGAATGCGCAACAACTGGCTACTGCGCCCTGTACCGACTCGAACGGGCGACTCGAATATCTCCGACGTATGACGGCCTCGTCCTGCGCCGTCTCTTCGTTCAATTCCACCCGCGAGAGAGAACGCTCTCAAGACTCTGAACTCGACAATCGAAATCGCTAATCGGCCAGTCTCCCACGAGGCCCAAACCAGGGCTAGCACCTCAATATGAACCACCCCGGCGACGTCTCCCAGCCTCCTGCCTACTCCAACTCCGACCAGTCGAAACCACCGCTTCGATCGAGAGATTCATGGGAATATTATTCCACGGATGACGAGGCGCCTGAGCCTAGGCCCAAGCCCAGGCATCTAAAGTCGAATCGCGATCGTTCGCGACAAAACCCTCTGGAAGCTCCTGCAAGTTTGAGGGTGGGCGGGCCGCCTCCGATTCCACAGGCAGCAGACAGCACGGCCCAAGTGGTCTCTACCCCCGCTACTTCTGGCGATGCAAGCGATCGTACCCCATCGATCCCAGAAGCTCTCCGACCTGGCGGTGCGCCTGGCAGTGCGCAACGCAAGCAAACAAACCCGTTCTTGCGAAAGCCCGTGCCTGCAGCTAGCACCCCGCCGACCGAGCAATTGTCCAAGCTGGATCTGAGCGAGGACCCAGTGCGACCCCCAGTATGGAAGCCAACACTATCGAGGCAGCAGACTGAAGCCTCATCCATATACTCCCAAGCATCCGGGCCTCCCCCCGAGCTCCCTCCTTCGACCTCCTCCTACCCCGATGGTGGCCCCAAGGCTTCAACCGAAAACATTTGGGATGCCTTGCCTCCCAACAAGACGCAGTCCAATGCAGTTGCATGGCCTGGACCACATGATGCAGCCGCGGCGTATTTGGACTCTCCTGTCGAGCTGCTGGATGACCCGTGGGCCGCGCCATCGGCCCCTCCAGGCCCTCCGACCAAACAGCCTCCGATAATACCACAAGCCGAGACCAATCCATGGGCATCAACCGCTCCATCGTCTAATGCGCCATCGCAAAGACCATCTCCACCACGGCAGGCATCCCCTCTCCCGGCTCAAGGTAGTGTCGGGCCATCAAAGACGCCCCCGAATGTGCCGCCGCAGTCGTACATGCAACCTCCCCCGCTTCCAACGGCGAGCATGGTCTCGTTGCCATCCGATGATGAGCCTGGCTGGGGGAGTACGAAGCGCGACATGTCTAAAAGTCCTGTCCGACCTGCCGCAACGGTTTCAGATCTTAGCCTAGCGGAAGACCGAGATATTTGGGGAGATGTTTCTGCTCTGGACAAAGACAAGGATAAAGGCAAGGCACCTGCCATTCCACCACAAGAAATGGCTGGGTCGAGCGATTGGAATCTCATTGACGTTGAGTCTTTGCCTGGTCCCAATGGACCGCCTCCTGGATCCTCTCGTGGTCAAACACCAGGAGCAGCACCCTCAGAAGATAACCCGGCGCTGCCCACTCGTCCGACCGAGGATGACGCAAGATGGACTTCGCCCAGACCGCCAGTAGATGCGAAGGCGGAAACGTACCAGGTGAAGAACATTCGCTGGCAAGACTCAAATTCTTCCAATGGAGACACCCGCGTGTCGCCCATCCTTGTACAGAATGCCAACGGGCCCTGCCCATTGGTGGCCCTGGTCAACGCCCTCTCCCTGACAACCCCGCCAGATCACAGCGATGCTACGTTGGTGGAGGTTCTCAGATCGAGGGAGCAAGTCAGCCTCAACCTTCTTTTGGATGCCGTCTTCGAAGAGTTGATGTCTCCACGACGACTAGGAGAGGATGGCTCTCTGCCTGATATTACTGATTTGTACGCGTTTCTGCAAAGCCTACATACAGGGATGAACGTCAATCCACGGTTTGCTCCCTCTGATGCTGTGAGGCAGGCGTTTGAGAGAACCACCCTGACCCATTTGGAACCTTCCGAGAGGGGTACCTACATTCCGGGTACCTTCGAAAACACGCAAGAGATGGGTCTCTACGCTACCTTCAAGATACCCCTTATCCACGGTTGGCTCCCCCCACTCGGCGACCCGGCTTACGAGGCCATGGAACGCCAGGGAGCTTCATACGAAGACGCGCAAAACTTGCTATTCCGTGAAGAAGAGCTGGATCGCAAACTCTCAAACTCGAGCATCGGTCTGACAGAGGACGAGCAGCAGCTCTACCAGGATGTTTACACAATCAAGGGTTTCCTGGAGAGTTCGGCCACGCAACTCACATCCTGGGGTATCCAGGTTATCTCCAGAGCTATCCGGCCTGGCACTTTTGCCATTCTCTTTAGAAATGACCATTTCAGCACGTTATACTGCCACCCGCAAACGAAACAACTGGTCACGCTTGTGACGGACTATGGGTACCGTTCCCACGAGGAGGTTGTGTGGGAAAGCTTGGTGGACATCAATGGGGAGCGCACCCAGTATCTTTCTGGCGACTTCAAGGTCGTTGGGTCGGACGCTTCAAGCAGTTTTGGAGGTTATTCTGAAGGACAAGGTTCAGAATGGACTACTGTGTCGAACAAACGTGGAAAGGCACGACAAACAATAAGTGAGCCTGAAGCGGGCCCAGCACTATCGGCCGCTGAGCAGGAAGACCGAGATCTTGCCCTGGCATTGCAGCTGCAGGAAGAGGAAGACCAAAAACACAGGGAAGAGGAGGCTCGCCGTAAGAGGGAGCAAGAGCTTTCAAACCGCGTCATCGAGCAGCAAGGCCGCCAGCCATACAGAAGCATATCTAACACTACCCCATCTTCATCTGGCATGTCAACAGGCATTGCTCCCGCGCGACGCAGCTCCAACAATCTTAACGTGACTGTTGGGTCGAACAACACCCCTCGGACACCTCCCCGCCCGGTGACACAGCAGATCCGCCCCATGGTCCCTCCGCGCCGGAGTAACGTGCCGGCTACGAATAGAGCCCAGGAGGAGGGTGCCGATGCGCCGCCACCGTATGAGCAGGCGGCCCAGTCAGAGCCCTACGTGCCTCCGCCTGGACATCCCAACCACCCCGGGAGCTCACCAAACATGTCTCGGCAGTCAACCAACGCCAGTAACAACGGCGCGTTCCCTCCACGGCAGGGCCAGCGCCTGCCGGGCCAGGCTGCGGCCGCGCCTGCAGCGTTTAGACAAAACCCATACGGAACACGCGAAAGGGATAGGGACTGTATCGTGATGTGATTGTGGGAGACCTGTATAGATAGACACGCATGATCGGCAGCATTAGAGACCTGGCAGATACGTTGGTGCGATGGCCTTTGGAAGCCGATGACATTTTTCTTTCTCTATTTCTGGGGTTGCTTTCCAACTTCTTATATTTTCTTCTCCCCTCTTTGAGACTCTTCTATTTGTGCTTATTTGGGTTTATATGAGGGACGGGGCACGACAGAGAGCATAGTTTGGCGTTAGAATAATGGCGAAATGGGACATGAGGCATGACGGGATGCGGCATGTGCCGACCTGAAGGGAAATTATAAATACAGGCGGATGGAATGCATATTTTTTGCCACACAAGAAGAGTGACTTGCCTGTGTAACTGGCGTGGTGTTGAACAACAGTTCTCATAGGATTTTATCTGCGCCTTGCAGCCATCGTGGATGTAGATCTGACGAGTCCCAGGGCTTCACATTTGCTGGACGAACAGATGCGTAACAAAAACCCAACCCATGGCCACTCCCCGGAATGCACATAACTCGGGCATAGTACCTTCTTGAGTAGAAATTTTTACATCCTGGTGCCAGGAGCCATTGATCGGTGGGTGTGAGACGGAGGATTTGGCTGTGGAAAGTGGAGACTCGGCAATTGGGATAGACAACTTCCAGCGGACATCTGCTGCTCATTGTCCTCTTCCTCCTGCATCCTCGAATTGTCTCGTCTCGTCTCCTGCCGTCTCGTCCCCCAAGCTGGCCACAATGTCTTCGGTCCTGGGACTCAACATCGCTACTCTGCGGGAATGGTACCCTCCAGTGACGAGGGAGAACTGGAGGTTCCTGCTCACCATCTTCCAGTGGACGTACCCCATTGTGAGTTCCCTCCAGAGTCTCAACAGACAGCCAATTGTCTACACGACCTTACCTATGTAGCGAGGCCAGTTTCTCTGGACATTAACTGACGGCTCTCTCGCATTGTAGCTCGGCGCGGTGCAGTTTGTCACCACGTTCTACCCCATGGGCAAAACATCCGTCGCCAGCCGTCTGAACCTGCCCGGCCGCCTGGGCTGGTTCACCATGGAAGTGCCCGGCTTCCTCACCCTCCTCTACATGATGCGGACCTTGCCAGCCATCCACGGCATCGAGGACCTCCCCTGGCAGAACAAGGTGCTCGCCGGGCTGTTCGTACGTCCATCCCGCTCCCCAATCCAATCTGTATGACGTGCACCATCCCGCTGACAAAACCCCACCACACCTCTCCAGGTCATCCACTACCTCTACAGAGCCGTGGCCTACCCGTTTCTGCAGCCGTCCATCTCGCCCATCCACCCCACCGCCTGGCAGGCCGCCCTCCTCTTCCAGCTGCTCAACGGCGTCAGCCTGGGGGGCTGGCTGGCCGCCTACGGGCCCACGACCGCCGCCGCGTGGGAGCAGGCCGTGCCTACCCCCCAGTTCGTCGCCGGGGTGACCGTCTTCTACCTGGGGCTGGCTGGCAACTACTTCCACGACGAGGAGCTGCGCGAGATCCGCCGGAGGGAGAGCCGCAGGGGGAACGCGGCCGCGAAGCACTACCGCATCCCCCAGGCGGGGCTGTTCAAGTACATGCTGTTCCCGCACTACTTTTGCGAGTGGGTTGAGTGGTTCGGCTTCTGGATGGCCTGCGGCTGGGGGTGCGTGCCCGCGCTGACCTTTTTGATTAATGAGTTTACCACCATGCTGCCCCGGGCTGTTAGCGGGAAGCGGTGGTATGCGGAGAAGTTTGGCGAGGAGAAGGTTGCGAAGAAGTGGGCTGTCATCCCGGGTGTCTGGTGATTGGGGAAGACGAGGTGCCGAGACCGTCAGCATTACATCTTGCCATCTCACCAAGCCTACCATGAGATGGCCAGCCTCCAGCATGTGCTGTATGGCATAGGACTTCCTGTAGCTATTTGACCTGTGGTTTGTACTGATGCCTTAGTGCTTGGCCGTGAGCGACGGGGCACACTAACGAAGGCTGAGCTGGACAGGCTGAGTCGAAGCTGAACGATCTACTCCGTATGTATCTTGGGTCCATCAGCCGTCTCAGGCCTAAGCCGTGGGAGTAGTCCTACGTTAGAACGAGAGGACCCAGTAGAAAAGCATCGGCTTGGTCCTTGACAAATTAAAACATTATAAATCAGTCTCCTTCCGTTACATATCGTGGATTGAATTGGCTTCTTCCACCCCACTACCCATCAGATAGCGCAGATCTCCCGCCCATCACATCAATGGACTTCCTCCAAGGTGCGACCCGCCGGCTGACATCCCTCCTCCAACAACCACCCCCAGGACCCCGATTACAGATCCTCTCCGACATCCACCTCGAAGTCGGCGAGCAGTACCGCACCTTCACCTTCCCCGCCACCGCGCCCTTCCTCGTCCTCGCCGGCGACACCGGCTACCTGAGCCACTACGATGGCTACCTCGCCTTCCTCGAGGCCCAGGTGACCCGCTTCGAGCGCGTCTTCCTCGTCCTGGGCAACCACGAATTCTACAAGGGGAGCTACGAGGAGACCATCGAGGCGGCGCAGAGGCTGGAGCGCGAACCCTCCCTCCAGGGTAAGGTCGTCCTCCTGCACCGCCGCCGGTGGGACTACGACGGCGACGACGAGAACTTGAAGAACTTGACCATCCTCGGGTGCACGCTTTGGTCCGCGCTACCGGACGACTCGCGCGAGCTGGTGCAACTGGCCGTCAGCGACTTCAAGCACATAAAGGACTGGTCGGCGCAGCGGCACCACGACACGCACCTCGAGGAGGTGGCCTGGCTGCGCGGGGAGGTCGAGCGGGTAGCGGGGGAGGAGAAACGACGGGAGGTTCTCGTGGTGACGCACCACGCGCCGTCGAGGAGGGGGGTCGCGAACCCGCACAAGACGGGGAGCCCGTGGTTCGATGCGTACTCTACCGAGCTGGTGGATGGAGGGTGGTCGTGGTCGGAGAAGTGGCCCGGGGTGAGGGCGTGGGCGTTTGGGCACACGCACTACTCGGTCGACTTTGTGCGGCGGGGGATCAGGGTGTATGCGAACCAGAGGGGGTACGTGCTCCCGAACAGCACGGACGAGAAGAGGGAGAGGGAGCAGCTGGAGGGCAAGGCGGAGAGGAAGCCGCATGGGTTTGATCCGGCCGCGAGCGTGCAGCTGTGGTGATCTACCCGCTGTGCTCTCGATGGGAGGGTTGGCAGTGCAGATGGATAGAGCCGCTTTTGTGGTCATTCTAGTAAGAAACGAGGTTATGACAATTGCCAAGTAACATTAATGATTTAATAATATGCCGACATGTCCGCTATGTCTATCTGCCTCGGTGTCGTTGACTCTCTCCATCCTCTCCTCGCTCGTCTTGATGCCTGTGCCGGTCCTATTCCGCAAGCGACTTCATGTACAGATAGAAACAGATTGAACGCCCATTCCCATGATCCCGACTCCCTCTTCCAAATAGTATAGACATTTGACATCCAGAAGCCACGCGCGGCACAAGTCTCACACAATCCTTTCGGCTTCCATCAATCGTACTTTCTTGGCCGCTTTAGCTGGTTGATCATATCACATGCTTTTGTGGGCAACGCATTCGCCTTGGCCATCTCCTCCACATCCTGGTAGAACCAGCCCTGGGCAGCCTCCTGCTTTCTGCGCTTCACCATGAGCTCGCGCTCGCACTGATGTCCGAGCTCACGGAACCGAGTCTCCTCCGCTATTACGTCGAGCCGCGAAAACTGGGCCGCGGTGTAACCCTTGATGTCACCCTCGTTTACGAAGTAGTTGATCTTGAAATTCGGTGTGACTCGGCCGTATGTGTAGGGGGTGGTGGGTTCTTCGAACACCATGCGTGGTGTTGACGGGGTCGAGGGTCCGAACGAGAACAGGGATGAGAGCATGGGTACGACGAAGAAGAGGATGATGGGGAGGAGGCCGATGAGGTTTTGTAAGGGGTTCTGTTGCTGCTGTGGCTGGCCGTTGCCTCGCGCGTTGCGGGGTCGTGTTTGCGGCCGACCACCGCCAAACTGATGGACACGAATACCTGGGCCTCCGCCGAAATTGAATACGAATTCAGGTCCTGTAGAGAAGCATTGGGGTTAGTTCATGTTGCGATCCACGGAGATGAAATTGTTTGGGGAATCATCAGTCTCTCACCTCCAAAGCCGCCTCCGCCAAAGCCGCCACCTCCAAAACCACCTCCGCCAAAGCCTCCGCCAAAGAACCGTGCAAACATCTCCTCCGGCGTCAACTCCTCCTCGTACATGCCGCCGGCTGGCCTACCGCCGCCAGCCTGGCGGAACCCGGAGAAGGGGTTCTGCGCCTGTGCACTCTGGAAGCGACTGTCGGGGTCGCCGCCAAACTTGTCGTACTTCTCACGCTTCTCCTTGTCTCCCAGGATGCCGAACGCGCGGCTGACCATCTTGAAGGCCTCGTCGGCGTGCTGGTGGCCATTCTTGTCGGGGTGGGTGAGGAGCGACTGTTTCCGGTACGCCTTCTTGATCTCGGTCTCGGTGCACGTCGTCCTGACCGACTCGAGGCCGAGGATGTCGTAGAAGTCTGTGGCGCCGCAGCGGCGGATGCGGATGACGGCCGCCTCCTGCTCTACGGTGAACTTGCGGTCCTGGTTGCCCTGCCTGTGCTCGCGGTGCCGTGTGGAGGAGCCATCGCTGGCGTTGGAGCCAGAGGCCTTTGCGCTGGACATCAAAGACGTGCGTGGGCGGATGCGAGGACTGGTGGATGGATGGATGTGTCGCTAGACGGTGGCGGGCTGCATGTAGGTAGTCGGGGGAGCGTGTGTCGATGCGATTGAACGGAGAATTGGAGGGTGGAGCAGCGACTGTGAGGAGAGGGCCCGAGCGGGATGTTGTGATCTGACGGTAGGTGATTTCTGATGGGGTGCTTTTTCCCTCCAACCAGGTGCTGCGCGGATATCGATATTGCGAGGGGGGCGCAGCGATTCTTCGTATGCAAAGGGGTAGAGTGATTCCTCAAGCGAACAGGAGATGGGCGACGGTTGAGCAATCGGCCCAGGAGCGAGGTGGAATGGGCGATGATGGGGTGTTCTTCTGCAGGTTGGATTGGCGGATTACGAAAGGACAGGTTGTGATCTCAAACTGCTGTAGCGTCCATTGAGCAGTGTACGTACTAACTTCAGCGCCTGGCGGACGGTGGAGGCAGTGGAGGGTATCGGCCAAGGGTCTTACCTGCAGCGTGGTGGGGCGAGGGGACAGCGCTCGGTGAACACGACTCTGTCAACACTTCCAGCAGGGACCAAACAAACGGTTCCTGGTAGGAATCTAGCCCAAGTCGCCAATTAGCATACTTAGGCCTATTTCCATTCCCCGAACGCCTGACTCGATGGAGAGTGGATTGCCACGGACGCCGCTCTGGAACGTGGTATCCAAATCCAATGTCGCTTATCTTTTGTATTTCCTATCTTATCTCACGTGATGTGTCGCCTCACCTCGTTTCCATCCCAAGCAACAACCGAACTAAGCAACATTCTAGCGAGGTGAGTATGAGCACGACTGCCTTCGGGACATTAAGCAAAAAAATAAAGGCCTCTAGTACAATTGATCCTCAGAGGTCATCTCGGCCTATTTATGACGATCCGCCTATTAAGGAGTTTGGGTACGGTCTTAGTTGCTTCAAGTCTTTTCTATGATGCAAGTTTTCTTTCCAGAGGAATCCGGCCCACCTGTCCGGCCTTTTTGCCATTCTTTTGAAGAGTTTGTCGACCTCGAATGGGCAGTCTTCGTCTGTTTGCACCCGCCTGACGACTGTCCGCCGCTTTGTCTTCTCCATCCATTTATTCAACGGCCGAATCAGCGCTGGAGCCCTTTCCTTTTTCTTCTTGACCCTCCGATGGGGCCCCCTGTAAGGGAAATGACGCCTCCCGCACACTATATTGATGTCGACTTCGTAGAGTGTCCGATGTGAGGGATCGTGGATACCGAAACGAAGTGGATCGCTCAGAGTGGCCATGTCTGTGGGTACGAAGATATACTGCCTCCGAGCCCCAGCTCTCCGGATCGCTCTGATGGCTTCCTGGATCATGTCCGCCGCGATTGCTCTGTCGGGCGTGGCCGGAAGACCGAGATCGAAGACGACGTGGTTGTTATGCAGGAACTTCTTGGCTATTATCCTCCAGAACTGGTACAGTTCATCGGCGTCTCGGAGGCGTTGCGTCCCATTGACTACCTCAGGCACAATGGCCACAAATGGGGAGGGACCGGGTCTGCTAAAGGGGGCTGTTAGCACCTTTGAGCACTTCTCCCAGGTCTCGCCCGAGTCGCGTATTTGTAGATGTACCTTTTAACGATGGCTTCCACGACCGACTGCAGGTTGTTCAACTCCGTTTCATTGACAGGAGTGGTTGAGTTCTCAATAAAGAGCTGGTTGAAATTGAAAGGAACGCGGAGGATGTTTGTCTTAGCCCCGGCCTCGATCGTGTTGTTTTTCTACAATACAGGATGCAAGAATCAGCCTTGATTATTCGCTGTGAGTGAAGGGCCACACCCAACTCACTTCGAGCAACTTGTGCATCCCCTCCCATTTTGTGGAATTTGCCGTGTTAGGGTAGTTGTAGAACTCGCGGAGCTTCTTCGTAGCAGTCTTGTACTCGACGCCGACGAACTGGATATGAGCCTTATCAGGAGGGATGACTACCATCTCGCGTTTGACTTCAGTGACGCTATGCCACGCGTAAACGGGCGCAAGAATGGTTGAAAGCGTCAGAATACTGAAAAAGAAATGCATCTTGTCGACTCTTACACAAGTGGCAGACAGGGTGGAAAGCAACCATCAATTCCACCATGAGGAAATCGGGCTGCTTATAGACTTTCTCCTAGTTGTGCGTCATTTTTTTCGCAAACAAGGATTCGTGCCGAAGTTGATTGTTTATTGGATCGATTCGAGATATATCATTCGTTGGAAGATCACCCAAACTGTAAGTCAAAAAGAAGGTTTGCCCATCACGCGTCGATAACGCGAATTTCGAATAAGCGGAAGAGACATTTGACTTAGCTTCCGCATATTTGTGTTATCTGGCCTTTTCTTTTTGTTTAATACGAAGAATGATGACAAGATGAGATCACACCGTGATATAATGACTGGTACCATCGTTATGATATTACAACTCATCGTAGAGGCAACACTTGTAAATATCGAACATGATGATATGCCGTCTCCAAGCCTTCCGGTTTTGGAACAGCTCTAGTTTATCATCCATGAAATAGAATGAAAGAAACGAAAACGTTAAAGAAGGCCGTGGGCCTCAGCGTGTCGGAGCGGCATCTCGCACACAGCCTAGCTTCGAAGGAGGCGTGTAATAAATCTCAAAAAACCTAAATTCCTCTAACTAGGCACATACACCTTACCAAGTGAGAATAGGTGAGGAGAGGTTATCTACGCCTCTTCTACTCTGGAAACCCGGGCTAAGCTTCACTATCTATGTATTTAGTTTAAAACAGGTAGTTGTATGTAGACGTCCTTTACCCCATCGAGCGATCTACCGACATTAAGCAATAACAACAACAACAACACAACAACAACAATAACACATGCCAGCCAAGTTCCTCCTATTATTGAGCAAGCTCCAACTACAGCCCGATATAAAATCTAGCCAGATCTCACTAATTAAGTACGGAACATGGCCAGCCTAGAGAGTCTATACAAAATCCAGTTTTTTGACCCGGAACTCCTTTAATTGATCGTTATTCATGCACACACATATCTCGACCACACCCATCAAGTGCGCCGTTTAATTCCGAACTTTATCATCCGATCAGTGTATGCGATTGCGAGACTCGAAAAAGGAAAAAACAATGAAGGCTCTCCTTTTCCTCCTCCTAGTTATCCCAGAAATCTCTATCTTTGCACTCTTTGACCCTTCGGACATGGCAACGTACACCACAAGCCGTTACGGACCCCCGCCTGCAATCGCAACTGCAACCCGCCGCCCAATTAATTATAGCTACTATAACCCCTTTGTTAAATATCGTCCTATAGAGTGGCTCGGCGATACCGGAAAGGAGGACCCTAAGTGCATGGTATGTTCTGTCATGTCAATGTCTCTCATTTAGTCATCTTGAGCAACCGCGACTGATTCTTTGGATGAACTTCGCCCGCTGAAGAAAAACTTTGATCAACAATGGAGCGAATGTGCCATCCCATGCCCTGAGACCTGTGACGAACCGGCCCCTCCCTCTTGCCGAAGAAAGTGCAAGCCTGGCTGCGAATGCATGAAGGGCACCGTGCTTAGAAGGGTATTTGCCTTCCGTCGACGCCTCTCCATGTATGGGAAGATCATTTATGTGCTAATTGTCTGTTAGACTGGGTATTGCGTTCCGAAATCCAGGTGCAAATGGGATTTTTGGAGAGCGCTCCCCGATGGATATCTTTATTCCGACTTTGAGAGGGCGGGACTGGAAGGGCCAAATGACGGAGTTCCACGGCCTGAGGAAGAATCCGAGAACAAGATCGAGGAGAAGGGCGAGAAGAAGATCAAGAAGATCAAGAAGAAGATCGAGACGAAGATCGAGGAGAAGGTCGAGGAGATGATCGGGGGGAAGATCGAGGAGAAGGATAAGGCGAAGAAAGCCGCGGATGAGAACAATATCTCGGAAAAAATCAACGAAAAAGAAACCGATCAGGGAGAGAACTCCTAGGCTGAAGAAGAGAACAAGGACGAAAATGAAAATAACGATTAATGGGGCTTGTTTTGAAATGGATCCAGTAGATACCTTATTTTATCAACACTAATTCATTCAATGAGCAGGTTATCGCCACGCGTGGCAACACTCCAGAACCAATTATTGACGTTTATCCGGAGTGGTAAGCACAGCGTATCACTCGCATATTCCAGTTTAGCCTTGTATGCAGTGTGTTTTGCTCTCTTTTGTTAGGCTTCGCCTTTAGTAATCAAACTAATGCCTCAAATCCTTGACTTTCAAATAGTGATAACTGATCAGGGTCACTTGAAGTTAGCCTACCTGTCTCGTTGTTCTGATTCTGTGAGAATGTCTGTTCTGAAAATTCTCCCTTTTTCCTGCTCCAGCCAACTTGTACGTCGCCCCCTTTCAGCATGCTGCGTCCCAAACTCCTCGTTCTCCTCCCGAAACTCCGAGTTCCGAGCCAACGTCCAGCACCGAGATGGAGTCAAACACTATCCTGGCCCAGCACCTCGGCCTCGCCATGTGCCACCGTCACCAACCTCATCCCCAATGGCGCCTCATGGACTTTCACGACACCGGCAACTCATTGACGACCAGTCCAGTGCTTGCACGATCTGGCGGTAGAGCGGTGTAATTACAACTCTTTCTACTCGTCTGTAAACAAAGCAAAGATCCTCAAAGCAACTTCTACTCTCTCTACCATCACGAGCTTCTGCTAGATGAACTGAATTAGCCGGACTCTTTTCCCTGTCTAGGGAAGCTCATACGCTCTTCGCTGCGGGTAACAAGCGATGCGCAATGAGATGGACTAGGTGTGGGGAGGGGCTATGTTTACCGCGTCAGCGTGACATATAAAGAACTCAAGTTCTCGGATTACCATGAACCAACCAGACCAAGCTCCTCCTTCGTTATTCTCCGCTATTTCGAGCTAGGCTTTCCCTAACACCAGCTGGTATGTATGTAGAACGCCGTCAACTCCTCTACCAGTATATCTACTCGATCAGTGCTGACCGAGAGGAAACCTTCTACTTTTTACTGTCTCCTCACCTATTGAAATATGGCAACCGAAAGCCCACACATCAACCCTTGCCATCAAGACAACCATTTCGGTCCGTTTGCGTGCCTTACGCACACATTGAGTCAAGATGACCGAGGTGGAAAAAAAGAAACCAGCATTACTGTGCGCGACCGTGATATAGTCGTCTGCGTGTCGGTCAACGAGTTGAGTGTCCGCATATTGCACCTACAGTGTGTACGTGAGGACAAAGTTGCAACAGCGCGGGTCGCTATTGAGCAGCTCTTCGATGAGTTGAAGGCCATAGATAACAGTAACGGTATCCCATTCAAAAGAATGGCGCTAATAATGAAAGATGTCACGGATATGGTTCATCACGAGTTTCATGAATTTGTTAAGGCGCAGGCGGAGAAGCGCGGCCTCGAATTTACCTGGATGGAAGGGGGCTATTCACAGGACACATTGCGAGCTATTCGTGATTAGCTATTCTTGGAGCTGAGGTTGCGCGAAGGCGGCAGTTGGGATGCGAAGACGAATCGACGCCATGGAGTTGGGTCAAGGAAATTCGAGGCTAAAGAGCAAGAGGAGCGAAAGCAGCGAAAGAAGGGAAGGACGGGGCAAAAGGGACCTTCGAGGGAGGAAAACAGGGCTGCAGAGCCGCAAGTTGGAGAGTTATAAACGCTCTGGTTCGATCTAGCTCTATCTCCGGGACCGGAACATGGAAAAGAAGTGATAATGGCTCCAGGAGCCAAGTTAGGGCCTCCAATTCTTCCACCAAGAACGATTGCTTTGCTCATGATGAGGCGGACGACGTGACGGTCAAGCCCCATGAATCACAGCTCAAGATGGATGGCGATGCACAACACAAGACCCAACACTATGCACCTAATACCGGGGAAATCCGCGGAAAACACACGAGAGAAGGATAAGAGGGATCATGGTAATATACAAGACCCCCTCTAGAACAAAAATAGCCTCGGATTCTTTATCTACTTAAGGTGCCTAAAGCTGAGAGTCCTCTCTAGGCGATTGTAATTCCCGTCAATGGCAGCGTTCTGCATAACCTTCACAGTCTAGACCCCTAGTTTAGCCTTGAGCCACGCAGCGACATCTGACCAGATGCGCTCGTTGATGTCAAGCCTCTTCTTCTCCCACTCATCGCTCCCCTTGATCTCCTCCCAAAAGTGTATGAAGCAGTGAGGCATCCCCGGAACAAATTCGTACCGCACGCTCTCCACCTCCCATGACTCCGTGGAAACCTCATGGGGGTTGACGTTGAGATCCAGCCCAGCTGCCTTGCGGGCAAACATGCAGCCCTCTTCGCGCAGGCAATCGTCGGCCGTGATCATGAACAGGGGCTGTGGAATGGCTTCGCGCGCAGCGTACCATGGGCTCAGCAGCGGATTCTCAAGGTCCTGCCCAACAGGAACGTAGGACCACGCGTACATGGGCAGCACAGATGGTAGGGGATCGACCTTCCCCCAAGGCGTCTTCCGGACGGGCCCGTCCTCGCGAAACAATCCCACGAAGTCGACGAGGGGGTAGAACGCAACGATGGCATGGATGTGCCTCTGCAGTGCAGGAAGCTGTGCCAGGGAAAGAGCCAGGCTTCCGCCACAGGAGAAGCCGACGAGGGAGACCTTTGAGGTGTCCAGGTTGAGCTCGCTGACGAGCTTGGTGTCCCCGATGGCGCATTCGATCAGGCCGGCCAAGTCTTGGATGGGACTCGGGAACGGACGACCGGGCGAGAGGCCATACTCGAGCCCCATGACGCAGAATTCATGCTTAGTTGACAGTATGTGCGCCTGCTCATCGTCCATCTCGGCATTGCCAATGGTCCAGCCGCCGCCATGGATCATGAATACAATGGGCCATCCATTTGGCGGTGGCGGCTCGTCGCTGCGAGACTCTGGCTTGAATAGCCGGATGCCCAGGCCTGGATGCTGCGGATACTCAAAGATCTTGGTGGGCTGACGGTCAGTCCAGAAGTCGGGTTTCTGGCGACGCAGATATGGTAGGCCATGGTTTGTCAGGCTCTGATGGAATAGCCTCTGAGAGCGCAGCACATAGGATCGAGGCCACGAGACGGCCTGCTGGACCTTCTTGGAAGCATCCGTCTTACTTGCCATGATAATGTCTGAAGATGGTGTACGAGAGGGGTATGGAAATATGGCTGGAAGATGCATGAAGAAAAGAGAGAGGAGAGGAAAGGAGATTTATAAATGGACAGGCTAGCTTACGGGTAATCTAGAACCAACCTATAAAGTCTGCCTGGGCTCTTGGACTAGCCATATGTTGTCCAACCGACTCGGGAGAGTGATGCACCAGGGCCCCCTGCCCACAGTCAAAGATATGCCTACATGGCTTAGACAGTAGTCAACGTTCCTGTGAGTCTGTACTCAGTATAGCGGAAAGATTTATAACATGACGTCGTTTGTGCTTGTGCTAAAGTGCTGTGACTAGTCTGAGATTGCTTCGTCGAGATGTCAGAGGAGAGAACGGCATCCATCTCCTATGCCATCCTTGTCGTCCACTGTGGGGCCCCGCGATCACGCCTTGCTCCTTGATTCGCTGCCTCGGAGAATGAGGCAGTCTTGTGATAGCGGCTGCCGGAGTGCCGAGTTGGCAGTGTCCTCTGTCAGTCTTGTTGTTTCGGGTGCTTGGAGGCCACACAAATAAGGGTTGAACTGATAATTTATTAGTACTCATCAAGTTCAGTAGTTATTTAGCTCTGAAATAGGAGCACCCTTTTATAGGAAAGATTATAAGAGGTAGGTCATACTTATAAACAACCAAACCCCAGAACTTCATAGATACCACTTGCCTGCTCCGGTGAGGATGTTGTTCCTGTTGTCAATCGTTTAACGCTGTGAGATCTTGAAGGCAGCTCTTTTACAGATATTGAACTAGACAGGAAGAGTGGCAGGGGGTTCGATGGGGGAGAACGAGAGTCGTCACTCCAATAAGAGGTCAAAGAAGCTGGAAGTTGTAGGGTAGGAAAGGAAAGGGGAGGGGGTTATTTCGTTCGTGAGGGAGAGAGGGCGAGAGACTTCAGGGCCAGGCTGGGCCGTATAGGTATAAGGCCGCCATATCAAGATATACAGAGCTCAGCTAGATCTTAATATTATTAGGAGTAAGATCTTATAGGTTAGGAACCCAGCTCGTACAGCCGAGGAGAGGACAGCTAGTAAGAACAAATAGTATAACTCCGCAGTGAGCAATACTGAACTTAATATTTTTGGTGAGATGGTTATGTGGAAAGAAGTTCGTTGGGTCCCTTGCGGGATGAATGTATGAGATTAATTATTCCATTGCTAAATTGAATCGTAGATGCGCAACAAGACAAGGAATGTCAACCGAAAAGTTTATGATAAAAGTGCATCATATTAATCCTCGCCACAACCCTAGGCTGAAATCGCACAGCGCGCCTCATTATCGATCATCACCTTATATATTCCTGAAAAAAAGCGCCATCATGCCGGTGCTGGTGCCCGAACCGACGACTGACTCTGATCTCGCCCAGAGAAGATAATCTCCTCGCTGCCGACATCCGAGGACAGTCTCGTACCCCGGTGATCTTTCCCGTCAACCCTCCAACCGCCCTTATCCTGGCTACGCGACATGAACCCCGGTGTCTGAAGACTACCTCCAATCGTCCGAAGCTCGTGAGAGCTCCCCTTGCCCCCGCTCTGGTAGTTTCCACCCTCGCCCGTGGACCTGAATCGGAACCATTTAGACCGGCTGAAGAGTGGCTTGATGCCCGGGATGCTGACGGCGACGGCGGCGACAAAGGTTTCGCGCGAGGTCCAGCCTGCGGCGACGGGGAGGGTGGTGATGGACTTTAGGGAGTAGTACGACCGGAGGATGGTGGCCACGACGACGAAGATGCCGGAGCAGAGGAGCACCGTTAGGAGTGCTCGTCGCCACACGGGGATCTTGGCTTTGAAAATGATGGGTACCGGAATAGCGATGATGCACAGGTCGGAACTGGCATTGAAGAAGCTGACCAGGTAGTAGTTCAAGTTTCGTAGGGCGCAAGCATCTGGCAAAGGAGTCAGTTAGCCTTCCACCACCCTAAACTCGGATCGGACTAAGATGAAAAGAGTTGACATACCTCCGGGATATGGCACTACCTGCCACGACTTATGAACTGGGAGACAGACGCAAATGTGCGAGATTGCAGCTCCGACAAAGGCCACAGCTGTATACCCAATGACACCCTTCAAAATCCTCTCTTCAAAGCGAAGTCCCTTTGTCAACCTGGAAAACATGACCAGCAGTGTCGCCTTCAGAGACCAGATGTACACCAGGTAAACCAGCCAGTCTGCAAATGTGAGCTTCTGCCCAACGACAAAGCTGGCGACCATCTCCTTGGGGAGGAGGTACACCGACTCGGGCGTCTGCCCGATTGTGCTTCCGTAGACTGTGATGAGGTGAATCATGATTGTGACGGCCGTGTACGCGAGCAGAGCGATGAGCATGAACAGATCTTCGAGTTGAAGATTGGTCACCCCCACGACCTTGATCCGGGCGAAGAACCGGAGGCAGATGAAAAGGGCGCCGACAGCAAACTCCCCCCATAACTCTTCGTTCGCCATTGTTTCCGATGGTTTCACATTACTCTTTCTGGACTCTGGGGAGAGAAGCAATGTTGGTTTTCAGAAGCTGGATGTTCGTGAGGAAAACCAAAAAGAGAACCACGTGCCCGAAAGGATTGAATGGAAAAAAGTAAGGGGTGCAGGAGAATTTGGCATTCACCCAGGTTTGCCTGTCTCGCTGCATGGATTCTCTTAAGACTAAAGACATGCCAGTCTGCAGGGACCGGAGTACGTTTCTTGATCGTCGGTGGATTTCCAAGCATGGCAAAAATCTGGGTCAATTCAACTTGCCGTTTCCCCTGGCTCGGGCTTTCTTCCCACTTTTGAAAGCCTATAGTTGGACCGTTAAACTGCAGGGTCTGGGACTATTGCTGGGGCATGGAACATCAAGGATCGCACGATTATGAGGAGATTACCGTACTTGGTCAAGGGCGTAAGGAGGGGCCAAATTTCAAAGAATCAGGGCTGCTATAGAGGGCCCTCACCGGTATATTTTTGTTTAAAGCGCAGTGTCATCCAGGTCAATTGATCATCCTAGCGTACTTACTGTGTTGAGAAATTCTATGTATTCTATTAGTATGGCTTCTGATAGCTACTTGGGGGGCCTCAATACGCCCCCCTGGAGTCCTCCCAAGTACCCTATGGATGAGTTTAATAGATGGATGATTATTGGCACAGTGTATCCATAAAAAAATGGTGGCCTGTACTTTGAAAGTTGGCTTCTACCCACGCCGATTCCCAAGTATCCTTGAGTTGATATGCTTGGAAAACAGAGCTTGCAGATGACAGTTTACTGAATTTTCCCAATCAAACTTGCGACTTGATCCCGGAAATGTCTGCTCAACGGCTTTTAATAAGCTTCTATGCTTCTTTTTTCTTTCTAAACCTTGGTCTAGTTCGCTTAAGCCGCAGTTGGTCGGCGCAAATTTCCTAGTCCAGGATATGACACGCCACTATGTATCTATACCCACTCCTAAAGGATCCTTAGCTTGGGGGAAAACACTCCAGGTTCCCCGTGCCTTGCAAGCAAACATGTCTTTACTCAACGAAAGATATTAACGGCCGCTAGCACCACGATGAAAACCCCCGAGCCTGAAGAGCGGCAATTCCATATACAGACCCATGGGAGACTTGGTTCTTGGACTGTTGCCCGGCACCGAGACTCTGTCTCCCCTTTTGTACATCTTAGTTTATCTCGTAGGATGTGACCCCTTCTTCTAGTAAAAGAATTTCACAAACATAGCCTATACTACGTGCAGTTTTCTGGGTTTCTGCTTCGCAAGCAATATGCTTGGTCTCTTTGGGCTCTCTAGGCCCACTCCCGAGCCGACTGAAGGGCCAACTGACAAGGTTATCCCACTCCACTGGTTCGAGGATGGGTTCATGTGGAAGAAGGTCATTGTCTACACGCTGTTTGTCTTGGACGATGCGCTCGAGCCTAGCAAGCTCCAGCAGTCTCTTGAGAAGCTCATCCATCGCGAAGGGTACCAGAAGATTGGTGCCAGGCTGAGACGGAATGTAGGCTGAGTTCACTCCTTTCTGCCCCTTTTCTCTGACCCCTCGCAAGTTTTTTTTCTGCACGAGTTCTTACCGATGGGCAGCAAAATGGCAGAGTAGAGTATCACGTCCCTGAGAGCTTCACTCCCGACCGCCCCGCGGTGGCTTTTACACACGTCCATCACGATCAGAGCGTCGATGACCACCCAACTGCTTCAAAGATCCCCAAGCCTGACGGCTTGGCGGGCCCAGCCGTCGTGGGAGACCCAGAAGAACTGTCAGACCTCGTTCGCCCCGGCGGCACAACCCTTTCCCTCGACGACTATCTCAAGACGGACCGACAGACGCTAGGACTGCATGTCACAACGTTCCGCGACTCAACATGCATGTCTCTATACTGGCCCCATCTCGCGTTCGATGCGATGGGCAAGAAGGCCATCGTCGAAGGGTGGACAAAGATACTGCAAGGTCGTGACGATGAGATTCCCACCCCGATCGGATACGAGACGGATCCTCTGGCCGAGTTTGGCAAACACCCGACTGAGACTCACTTGCTCGCCGATAGGAGAATAGGCAACTTCGGCATGGCAGGATATGCCCTCCGTAACATCGTTGGGCTGGCCGGGCCCAAGGAGATCCGCATGGTCTGCATCCCCCGTGACTTCTGGGAGACGATGGTGGCCGACGCTCGCGACGAGCTGCGTCAAGAAGCAGTAGCCAAAGGAGAAGAAGAAGTCCCGTTCGTAACAGAAGGCGACGTCCTGGTAGCATGGTGGACGCGCGTCTGCTGCTGCCACCTCGGCCCAGACTCGACCACCACCGTCGCCGCCCAGAACGCCATGTCCCTCCGCAAGGTCCTCGGGAACGACCTCCTCTCGCCCCCCGACCGTCCCTTGATCTCCATGGCCCTCGGCTTCCCTACAGTGCTCCTCCCCGCGGGCGAGATCCTCTCCAAGCCCCTCAGCTGGCTCGCCCTCCAGTTCCGCAAGGCCATCAACGAGCAGGGCACGCGCGCCCAAGTCGAGGCCTACGCCGCGCTGCAGCGCGAGTTCAGCGCCGACCTGCGCATGCCCATGTTCTTTGGGGACAGCGGCATGTACAACCTCTTCTACTCCAACTGGCAAAGGGCCGGCTTGTTCGAGTTCGACTTTGGCGCGGCGGCTGTGGCACCGAGGGATGGGAAGCCGTTGCGCGCGTCTTACATACAGTGCGTGCAAGATCCTGCATTCCCTGAGGGCTGGCCGATCAGCGGCAAGGATGAGCACGGTAACTACTGGATCTCTGGGTTCAGGGCGAAGGGTCTTTGGGCCAAGATTGAGGAGGAACTGAAGGGTCAAACTAGCGGAGAGAAGAAGGCCTAGTTGGAGATGAGCTGAGACTGATGCTGCGGATAAGCAACGAACCCCAGGCACTTTTTCTTAGCGCTACCTTTTCATTCTCCATTCTTACCCTTTCGGGAGTTGTTGATTCGCTGCCTCGGAGAATGGGACAGGCTTGTGATCGCCGCCGCCGGAGTGCCGGATCGGCCGAGTCTTAGTCAGGTCACAGTCTCGGCGTTTTAGGTGCTACTGACGGACTTGCTGATTTGCTGCTTCGGAGAATGGTATTATACAGGCTGATCATAAAATCATCATCTATGTTACTTAGTAATAGCAGCAGCTTGCGGTTGGAAAAGACGCCGACGTGATATAAATGGCCACCATCTCGAACAATACTTGTCTCTGCCATGGCGTAGATAATCACACGTAAAGCAGAAACTCTTATTCTTGTTACCTTACAATGGGTGTCGACGGCTGGGTGGACATTCACGGGCACTTCAGCCCCCCCCTGTCCGAAGAGGCACATCGGTCTTTTTTTGATCTCGCCAACAAGAACTGCTTCTTGCTATCTGAACCCTGGAAATGGACATACCAGGACACACTGTCGTACATGGACAAGGCAAACATAAAGTTCCAGTTCCTCAGCAACATCCCGGGATCATATGATGCTTTGAAAGCATCCAACGACTACGGAGCGTTCATCGTGGCTCAGCATCCATCAAGATTTGGCCTGCTCGCTGCAATACCCACCGAGAATCCAGAAAACGCACTCTCTGAAATTACTCGGGCTCAGGGACCCCTCCAGGCCGACGGGTATGCTGTTACATGCTGCTACGACGGAACATACCTGAGCGACCCCAAGCTAGATCCTGTGTGGGAGGAATTGAATCGGCTTCAAGCGGTCGTGTTTGTCCATCCCAATGCCGTGGCGCCGCCGACACTTGGACGGCCCCAACCTCTGATAGAAGTAGCTTTTGAGACGTGTCGTACACTCGTTTCCATGCTGTATAGTGGACACTTTGCAAAGTATCCCGACATCAAGTTCATCGTTGCTCACTGCGGAGGCGCGCTGCCAGTTCTTGCCAGCCGTCTTCAGCTCCTCGGCTGCGCGAGCTGGGTTCCCAACCCGCAAGGCCTCACTCCCGATGACATTAAGACCCAGCTGAGCTCTTTATACCTTGACACGGCTGCTTCATGCCCGTCTGGCCTCGGCCCGGCCCTGGAGATGACATCGGCTTCACATATAGTGTACGGCGCTGACTGCGGTGTTGCCTGCTCAACGGAGGAGACAATGGAGGCCAACAAGGCTGCTCTGCTCAATTATGAGCGGCTGAGCAAGATGGAGATCGATGCCGTCGGGACTAATGTTCTTGCTTTATTCCCAAGAGTTGCGGCTAGATTGAGCGAATCGAAGTAATGATAGAATCAATGCCTAAGTAGTCCATGTGCCCTAGGCCATCTGAATTCGTCAAACAGAAATCAAACTCTGAAACTATTTCATTGCCCTTGCATTCGACAGCACTGTGTTCGATGATAGAATATCTTCGGGAACTTGGCCAAAACTCACCGCAGGCTCCAGTATGATAATGGTCACCTGTCTCATTGACTATACAAACTGTTACAGTACTTTTAAATTGGTTAAGTTTAGTTGGCATGTGCGGCAGGTAGGGCCTTAGATACGCCAATTTCGCTTGACACGACTGCCACCATACACTCACTCAGCTGCAGATGAATGTTGTTCTCATGCCACTAATAATTCAATTCTGCATGACCACGGTGAGAGCCCTACAACAAATTTGAAAGTTTACTTCTTCCGAACCGAGGTTGAAACGTAGTAGGATGCGACCGTCTTTCCAATATAGTCAGCCAAGACCAACAGCTTCTCTTCCTGGAATCGGCGCCCCAGTAACTGAAGTGATACGTGTGCGCCATCGTAAATTTCGGGGATGTCTATCAGGTGAAAACGCTAGCTTCATCATACGCTGCAGATGCACATTTGATTTGGACATACATCCTTGCTGAACGCGTGCGTCAAAGTCGCTCAGGGGTGAGAAGCTCGAGTCAACGGAGTCAATATCTTTGTCGACAGTGGTTATGGGTATCGTTACCACGGTCCAGTCAAGAGCGCTTAGAGCAGTCGTAAAACCGCCGTACGTGGTACAACCTTGACGCGTCGCCGCTGCTTCACCTGCAGGCATGATGACAGCCTCAACTGGCCGCCCAGTGCCGGATGTCTACGAGGTGCTGTTCCAATACTCCATATACTCCTTTTGGTAGTCTCTCTTGGCAATGTTGTTGCGGGCAATGGCGCTGGCATTCATCTGTTCCCGGGCCTGCGAGCCGTATATCCAGCCAATCTGCTCGGCGATCGGCTCTCCAGACAGTCCAAAGCTTTGGTGAACATCTACGCCCCCATCATACAGCCAGCAAGTCTGCACAATGTCAACTGCTCGCGTATGAGACGGCGGAGTCCAGTCCATGGGGTCGTGGCATTGACTCTTCAGCGCCTCCCGCACAAGAGCGAGAGCGCGGAGGATGGGAGGATGAGGTTGCACTACGCCATCGCAGCTCATCATACCAAAGGCGAGCCTTTGGCCACTGGATACCAGATTCTCGGTAGCCTGGACAATGTCAGGTCTCCCAGGTATTTCCACGACAGCAGGGTTATGAAGCCATGGCTGTGCGACATGGGCCCAACAACGGACAGGACTGTATTTTGGCCATCCATCGAATTAGCCATGCCCTGGTAAGGGAGCCGGCCACTAGATGGCCGGATGCCGTAGAGACCGTTGAATGCGGCCGGCATGCGGATGCTTCCACTGTAGTCAGTTCCGAAACCGATAGGAGAGCCTCGCAAGGAGATGAGGGCACCTTCGCCGCCTGAGCTACCGCCACTGCTAAGGTTCCTGTTCTTGGGGTTGAACGTGTATCCGATGATGTTGTTCATGGTTTCGGCCGACATCAAAGTCTGCGGGACACTTGTTTTGCAGTAAAGCACAGCACCCAAGCCACGCAGCTCCGTCACGAGCTCGCTCTTGAATTGCTTCTCAAGGCCAGTCCCTTTGTGACCCTGAAAGGCCCCAATCCATCCCACATAGCCCATGGTTGTCTCGACCCCCTTAACGTGCATTTGGTCTTTGAGACTGACGGGCAGTCCGTGGAGCGGCCCAATCGGCTTGCCATGTTGGCGGTAGTACTCGTCGAGGGCAACGGCGTCTTTGATGGCCACATCAAAGAACACATCATGTAAGCACGAGACCTAGTCTTGCGTAAGCTTGACTTTCGGTTAAAAAGGAGTGGGTAGGGAAATGTCTAGCTCACGTATTGATGAGCTAGAGCTGCTCGATGACAGAAAGCTCGAGCGACGTTTTCAGCGCGCCATTCGCCATCCGCGACTTTCTTGACAATCCCAACCGCACTAGCTTCCGTGATCTCTATCTCATCTCCCGTAAGATACTTGTGCAGATACGGCCCTGTGATGTCCGTCTGTGCGTCAGCAGCAATTGGCTCCGGAATTCGCCATGATTCGGGTATGGTATCGGATATCGACGCAGCTTTGGCGGCAGCTTTGGCTTTCCAGCCCACTTCTGGTGACATGATGTGCTTGATGGGTGTAGGTCACAAACTGTGATACTTGAATTTCGAGGATCAAAGAGAGAGTTGCTAGATACTGCTGGCAAGTAGTTGCATTATCAAGTAAACAAGGGTAAAGATATCACCAAAGACTAGGATGAGCCGAATATCACATTATATATTTTCGATCTTCTGTAAACTCTTCGCGATCCCTCATCTAGGCGCAACTTCTCGCTCCAGCGAATTTTGCTGCGTAGGGATGTCGTCTGTTTCCATTCTCCGAGGCAGCCAATAATATATGAACAAGAAGCTCCACCATGAAGCTGCTGAGGGTGTTAAGAATGGAGGTATTCTCACTAATATGGCTGCTGACATTTAGCAGTAAGTGACTTGTCCGGAGCTAGCTACATGGGGGATGTGAGATTATCCCCTGCCCTCTGACTTAGCAGTGACGCTATCATGCGGACAATTCCATTCCTCTTTTCGATGTCTTGAGCGTGGACAATAGATGCTCAGCCGGCGGCTCTACCCACGGCACTGTCCACCAGACGCTCTGCTGCGTGCCAGAGCCCGTCACCATGCCGGGGGTCCCAAAGTCTTGTGCCGTCTGCCAGGCTCGTAAAGTAAAGGTGACGCGCAAACCAACCCTTGCCCCCTCCCCAGGCCTCACAAGGATTGAACTCACAAGCCGCCTCGCAGTGTGATAGAAGGATTCCCGCATGCTCTCAATGCGTCAAATACCAATGGCACTGCCATGGATACCCGACAGCGAGGCCGAAAAACAAGAGATCTAGGCATGATGGGCCACAAAGTAAGGAAGGCCGTCGCCTACCATTTACCGGAACAGTCATTCCGACTTGATTGGGACGAATGATGCTGACGAAAGCTCAAAGAAACGTCACCGAGAGAGAAGAGGCTTCACAGCTCGCCCAGCCTTTTGGATGCCTCGGCTTGGACTCAGACGAGTCCTGCTCAGGAGATAGTCTCCCTTCCATCTCCTACCGGTCGGTCGCGCCGATGCCACGTGTGGCCCGAGGAAAACCACAGCAGCTCTTCTCGCTCTCCTCGTTTGAATATCTTGTCGCCAGTACTCCAGATATCGCCAGTCGCGCTGCAGTTAGTTGACTGTCTCTCGTCAACCAGCCCAGCCTTGTCACTCCATGAAATCGGGACTTTCATAACTTTAGTACCCGCCAGAATTGGTGTGAGTGATGCTCTTGACATGGCGGTCAGGTGTCTATGTGCTGCATACACCGCTTTTGATTCACCGAGGCCCTCAGCCCACTCATCACACTATAACAAGGCGTTGAGCAGCTTGCGCAAATCGCTCTGCGATCCCACCGAGGCAATGTCTGCGGAGACACTCTGCGCTTCCATCTGTCTTTCCTGGTACGAGGTGCGTCAATGCGTTGAGAATGCGTGCAGTTCCCTTCCGTTGCTAACATCGTTGGCGGCAAAAACAGACCATGGTTGACAGGCGAAGCTCGGCATGGCTTGCACATTCCACGGCCTCTGCCGACCTGATTCAACTTCGTGGTCCAGGCGTACATTTGACTGGCTTTGACCGAGCACTTTTGCTTGCTCACCATGGCCTGATTGTGAGACGAACTCCCGCCCCCCTTTCTCCTTAACAGTAGAAACATATAAGAGTTGACTTTGGTTCCTAGTCGAGCCATGCTCTGATGCAACGAAAACCATCTTTCATGTGCGAGCCCGCCTGGATTGCCGTCGTTGATCCAACTGGAAGTGATGATGGTCATGGCTCCCATCTCCAACTGATTGTCGAGCATTTCCAACATCTCGACGGTCTGTCGCTTGTTCGAAACCGCATCAGCGACGTTATAAGTACGGGCGATTATGATCAGTCGAACCTCGCACAGCTCACCGAGACCTTGAAATGTTTGCGGCTCTCTTTAAGAGTTAATTTGCCAATACCGCAACAACATTTTGAGAGGCTACATTTTGGACAGCCGCTGCACATCGAGACACCGCATCCGGTTCTCCTTTGCAAGGATGCATTGGCCTCTCTATCTATCAACATTGAGATGTTGAACCTACTTGAAAAACTTCGATGGGCGGCAGAGCACAACCTATGCACGGCAGAAACTATTAGTAACGTCGTCTGCATTTTCAACAGTGATGAGAGGGAAGGGCACGACGAGGGAATTTGCGGCGAAGCAGCTCTCCAGATTTTTCAAGAGTCTTTGAACGCAGAAATCGAGGCCCTCTTCGCGTTGGCCAGCTATGCTTACCAGAGAGCGATTTGTGTTTCACCGTTGTCCTGCCGCCGCCTGGCGTTAATTTATCAAGCCTTGTACCGCTCTCTTCAAACAAGGGGGGAAGGGTTCCATCCAATTTGGCACAGCATGATGGAGATGTTTGTAAATAGGTAGTTGGCAGGTATTCATCGAAGCTTGTAGCACAGCTGAAGTCAAATGAATGTGTGTTTTTTCTCAGTTCAAGTTTATAGAAGGAGGTGTTGGGATTTAAAAATTTACGCTTTGCTAGACCTAAACGAGGGGCTGAAAAAAGGTGATTTATCAACAGACCCCATTCTTGTTGAAAGACCGCGGGGCGTTTTCTCTATCAAATGACTCTGTTAAGCGTCTGCCGTTGAGGGTACCCATAGAGCCTCAGTTTTCAACTAGAAATCCTCTTCTATATGTGTTCCTGGACTGCTCCCTACTCTCATCTCACTTCTATTATGTCTCCAAGATTCTCCATCTCAAGAAAGGGCAGATGGAATGTCTGGAAAGATGCGGATGATTTCGTAGTGCTCACTTTGACTCGGAAACCTCCAGCTCAGCCAAGATTGTGCGCGCTGCCTTGAGGCCGATCATGAATGTAGGCGCAACGGAGAATCCGCCAGGGGTGCGGGGGAAGACGGATGCGTCGACGACCCGAAGGCCCTTGACCCCGTTGACTTTGAATTTGCTGTCGACACAATACTCTGGGTGGTCCTTTGGTCCCATGCGGCAGGTTGACGTGACGTGGTGACTGAAAGCCTCATCCATCAGAGCTTGGTTCACGTCATCTGGATTTGGCGCAATGACCTCCACGGGCGTGTATGGCAAGCCAACATTTTGAAACACCTCAATGATGTAGTTTGCACCCTCGGCCATCGCTTGCAGGTCTCGATCAGCGATCTCCTGGAAATAGTTGAAGTTGATAATGGGGACATCTCGTGGGTTGTTGGACTTGAGAGTTACTGTTCCCGCAGTGTTTCCTGTTTGCATCTTAACAATAGACCAGGTGAAGACGGGTGGTTCAAACGCGAATGAAGTCGAGTAGCCAGGGAAAAATCCAGTAAACACGACTCCAGGTGTACCAAAGAAAAAGAGATCGGCGTCCTCGTTTACAGAACACTGGAGCGGTAGGTGAAGCTTAGGGGAGCGCCGGCTTCTCCGAGGAGGCTCTGGCCGTGCTCGAGCCACTCGTTTAAACACTCGTCCGAGCCCGAATAGCATCTCGCGTCATATGGGAAGTCCCAGTCGGCTGAAGCACGCACACGGACACCGCCTTCGTAGTTGTCTTGCATGTAGTTGCCCTAGATAAGTGAGTGGTCAGTCAGATTGAAAACGCTTCACGCACTAACGTAGACGTTGAAATCGGCAGGTTGACGTACCACGGCTTTCAGATCTTTGACCACTGGAAGATCCAGTTCCTTGAGTTCCTTGGAAGGCCCGATGCCGCTCAGCTTGAGAATCTGGGGAGTATTGAATGCACCCCCGGCAACGATGACCTCTTGAGATGCGAAGACTTTTCGAAGCTCGCCGCTGGTATTCTCGTCGTAACGTCTATCTGCGGCATAGAGACCTTCACCCTTGAGATATTCCACACCTACCGCCTTTGGCTTACCACCGTCCTGCTTGAACAAGATTTTGGTGGCGAGACTATGAGTGCTCAATGTGAGGGGATATGCCTGAGACCCGCCTCCGCCCTCTGTTTGAATCGTATCTATGACAAAGTTTCGTGCACCGCTTCGCCGACGAAGAGAATCGACATGAACTGACATCTGAAACCACGAGCCATTTCCATACATATGAGCATCGAGCGCGTTAATTTCTCTATGCAAAAGCTCAGAAAGATGAGTTTGGCCTTCAACGTCGATACCTTCGAGACGGCGAATTCCTTCACGGACCACAGCGGCTACCCCTGTTGTGTTTGCGACGTATGAAACATTATTGAGATTGCTCTGTAGGAAGTGGGTGAATACTGGTTAATCCTTCTTCGATTTGACTGAGACAATGGAATGAGATTCATCACGCATACCGAGATGTAGCCATCGAAGCCACGGCCAGGGGTGCCCGTAGGGACAGAATGGGCTCTTTCCAGATCGATGTATATCTGCCGCATACTTTCGGGCAGCCAGGAATCATCGCCAGTCAGCTCTGCAATATACTTCCAGTCATTGTCTGGAGGCAAAGCAAAGTTCATCGCATTGACTTGGGAGGAGCCTCCGACAGTATTGCCGCGAGGATAAAAAATGCCCAGTCTTTCTTATTGTTAGTTCGTTCAGCAAATAGTGTGAGGTAGGCTTTATATCAGGTTTCTTACGGCGTTGTGCCCTCGGGAGGATCGAGCCCGACATAGTAAGAGCCGTTGGGAAATGAATACGTGAATTTGGCATCTCTTCTGGCTTGCGCATCATCTTGATAATGGCTCACAAAGAAGGACCAGGACTGGTTGGCAGTCTCTGCCGCATTACCGCTACTGCAAAATCCGTGTTAGTCCTCGCTCGTATTTATTATACTTGGGCAGATCCACTTACAAAGCAGGCACTCTTTGGAGTACTTCATCTCCGTGGTCGCCTCCTGCTTCTATCAGGAAAACAGAATGACCAGCCCGGGCAAGGTTCGCACTGTCAAGCAACATTAGACTAAGCGTTTCAGCGGCATCGAGTCAAAACTTACGCCAAAGTTCCGCCGCCCGGTCCTGACCCAACAACGACATACTCGTACTCGCTGCTGTTACTAGTTGCTGTGGCTCCAGCAAGTGTAGCCAGCAAGATGCTGGAAATTGTCAAGTGATGGTACATGATCAACAAGGGTGATGAGACCATTATTGCTGCAGTAGTATGGATGAGATTCTTGCATGCACGCCCCCATTTCAAGAGCATCATAATAGTGATATTTATATCTAATCCACGAGATTGAGATTGGATGTACGTGGGCCGTATAATATCACGCAATGAAGGATTCTACTTCATGTGGCTAGAAGCTAACGGTGATGGCCTCTGATCGTCAGGCCGAATCCGCGGAGCACAAAATCCGATCTATGAAGCATATCTCCGACCGGCACCCTGTTGGTCAACTGCCGCACTTGCAACCCTGATACGTTGATTCGTGCCTCAGTCTGCTCTTCTGCTCTCAGGATCGAATGAATTGTGACTGTCTATCCTGGGATATGCCCGGCAAGTGGCACTTCACCGACTATGTCGGTTCTTTCCAAAGATACGTTGGGTGCATGGTTCCTGTTTAAGCATATTGCGAGGACATGCTTGCGTGGCCAAGGCGTGGACGGTTTTTTTAGCTACTGATGCTGGCAGACCGGGACGATCCGTTCGGATAATGTGGTTCAGTATTACCTGAATGACGGTAAGCATGCTCACTTCCCTAATACTTGATGGGAACTGTGTTGCATGCCATCTTATAACACTACAACCATCTTGCTCCCCAAAGCTCTCCTTTAACATCATGCACCTCCGGGCGCCTATTTAACCTAAATATCATTAGTGCCACTTGGAGTCTTCCTGATTTCATATTCCTAAGTAGATTCTCTGGGGGGAAATCTCGAGGCCACTGCTGTAGGTATAGAGGCGGCACACGTGCTTCGGTAACGTGACAAAAAAAAGGCGAAAAGTCTGTAAGTATCTGTAGGTCACCACTCGAGTTTCTCAGACTATAGACTATATCTTTGTCTCAGGTATATAGAATGAAATTATTTATATTTATTAATCCATGGAAGTTTACGAAGTAAGTCACAACTCGCCTTAAAGTAGAGTGAAATTATCAAGTCTGATAACTTCGCTAAGATGGCATGAACCGAAACTCACGGTCTGCCCTGGCCCAGAGACCGAAAGCAGGGCTAAAGCGCCCTTGTAGGAATGCAGAAATGCAATATCAACAGACATAGCAGACTATCCCTAGTCATCATGGATCCGTTATATCGTTTTTCACACACAGAAGTGAGATGTAGGCTTGGCGCGTGGAGAAGATCGGCCTTTAAGAACTTTTGAACCTGCTGGTGCTGCAATGGGTTCTCTCCAGGGAATAAAACAATACCGTTGGTCGAAGACACAGCTACTCTCGATAGGGATTTTCGATCCACTAATCAACTAGGGCTCGGCATGATACTGACAGACGTAGTTCTCTAACGTGCGCCTGCTTCAATGCCTCCATAGCCGATGTTTGGAATAGCCGATGTGTGGGGCCCACAACCGATGGAATCCATTCTCGGTTCGGCCTTTGGCTTCTTTTAGCATTCACAGACCATTCATAGTAGCAGAACGGAGACCAGATACAGACCAAAGGTAACCGTTTATCGCCATCGAGTAGTATCGGGCCGTGCTAAACCGTCAAAATCAGCCGCCGATAGGCACAGGAATCTGGAGACATAGGTCACAGAAGGCAAAGTGAGAGTGAGGAGCTACGAGGGGCCAAACTCCATAAGCGGCACAGCTCCCTCCCTTTACCGAAACATGTTCCGATGTAACAGAATGATGTAAGTCAGCGATCTTGTACTCTGATTACTGAAACCCGGGCTTCCAAGATGTCATGATGCATTCTCCTGTATTTATTCTCCCCAGCGGCTCCAAGTAATCACTAGAACCACCTCAAGTAGGCAGTCAATATCCAACAGAATCTACGAACAATAAATTTGAACATATTCCCTACTTCGATCTACGTTCTCCCTATATTTCTAAACCTAACGCCTCGCAATCATGACATCAACCACCACTACAATCACGGAGCGTGTACAAGCCTCGAATTTCGCCCCTCAATACCGGGAGCTTAGCCCAGGCTTTGGGCTTGAGTTGACCGGATGCGATTTTAGTCAAGGGGTGCCCAAGAGCATGTCTTTTCAAATCAAGGACTTAGTGGTGAAAGTGAATAAGCTTCCTCCATCCTTGTGTACCACGGCTGCTGACTATAGTTTCCCTTTTCACAGTATGGTGTTGTTGTCATTCGCAAAACAAATTTGACAGACGAAACCCATCTTGAGCTGGCTCGAATGTTCGGGGCGCTTGACGATATCAAGCCCTACCTGAAGGCAGGCCGACCGAACCGCCTCAGATACGATGAGCTCTTTGACGTCAGCAATGTTGAGTTGGACGGCTCTATCCTTGATCCGATGAGCCCTCGCGCTCAAGCCAACAAGGGCAACAGCTTCTTCCACGTCGATTCCAGTTTCAATCCTCGCCGGGCGGGATATTCTCTCTTAATAGCACATGAGCTGCCCCCTCGTGGAACAGGCGGCAGCACCGAGTTTGCGGACACGCGAGCGGCGTGGGATGACCTTGCAGAGGCGAAGAAAAGTGCGCTGCTCGAAGCAGATTACATTGCATGCCACTCTATTCTGCATTCGAAAAAGCTTGCGGCCCCAGAGCACTTCGCAGATATAGAGCCTGCTGATTATCCTATGGGTCGTCACAAACTAGCTCAGAGGCATGAGGCCTCAGGTAGAATGAATCTTTACCTTGCGGCTCACATTCACCACATCGAGGGGATAAGCTCCGAGGAGTCCAAGGCCTTGTTTGATGAGCTCTTCAGCCATGCTACCCAAGAGAAATATAGGATTACTGTAGACTGGGATAATATTGGAGACTTGGTCATCTGGGATAATACATCCACCATGCACAGAGCCATGGGTGGAGAATTTGCCAACAAGTATCGGCGAGATATGAGGCGCGCTACGGTTCATGATGATAGTACTCAGGCGTGGGGTCTTAACGAGCACACTGACGTCCGTCAAGGCCTGCCTTGAAGAAATGACTTGCCGGCGATCAGAGACAGGGTTTCCCTGTGAGAAGAGGACCGGTAGATGAGGAGAATGATCAAGGCAGAAGTTCCATATCTCGCCGAGCTGTTTAACACGTCAAGTGTGATGGATGGGATCCATTGCCGAGACTGAAGGTAAGTAGTGTAAATATCTCCTCTACATTGTTCTCCGGGAAGAAAATATAACGCCTTTTGTCAAAAGTATCCAAGTGTACCAGATATGTTGGTATGAATGCGGGGGCAGCCCCTTTTTTCCTGGTGACTCCGCACTTCGGCATCATTGATTCTATCCCTTTGCCGATAACCCTTTGCCGATGCGTTCGTGCCGAAGCCCGTGACACATCAAAATCAAAGCCGACTCTCTAATACACCACAGCCGTTGTACGCCATTCGAATCATAACCGACGTCTAATACCGACAACTAGAAATGACAGCACCGACTGGCAAGCGTATATCGCGGGCATGTCTGAGGTGCCGCCGGCGTAAGACGAAATGCAATCTGTATAGTTCGACCCTTGCCGAGGCAACTTTCCCCGTTCTGTTACTGACGTATTTTCGGTTTTTTTTAGTGACGGTGTTGGGGAGCCAAAAAGACCTCCGTGCGAATCCTGCCATCGCACCCGGAGCGAATGCATCTTGGTGGAATCTCGTCGGGGCGCAGCCGCTTCCCACAGGACAAGGCAACACACCCTGCAGACCAGTCCTCTATATCATGGGCGTGAGAGCATAGAAAATAACAGTGGCGATGCTGGTCCATTCGAGGGCTCATCGCCAAACGCACCAGGCCCTGGTCTGACATCCCCTTCAAACAACTGCTCTGCTATGAGCGAGGACTTTGAGTCCCGGGAGACAGTCGAGGCCGACAGTTTACACATGGAAATTCGGAACCCTTCAGATGCTTTGCAAATTTTAGCATCTGCGCGAGATAATCCAGATGGAAAGGGTCGTAGTGAAAAGCAGTGGCATAAAGTCGATGCCAGTGCGCCTTCAAACTCAAGTATCTCTCAGAAACAGATCCATTCGCCATTCACGACGGCTTTCGCGGGTTCAAGGAACCGTATAGATCCTAGGGGAAATGCTCAAGAGAATGGCGAAGCGTCTACTGTGCTACTGGAGGATTACGAACTCGTACAACAGGGATTATTGCACCCCAGTGTTCTACCCGAGTTGCTTCACCTGTCAGTCCGCGAAACCCTTTGATATCCATTTTTGTTCTAGCATGATGCTAAATAAGCAACAGATACGCACGCAATTACCATCCATATTGTCCTATTGTTCCACCATATATGCTAGGTCCACAGGCTATGACTAAAATTCGAAGGTCGGATTACTTTCTCCTCACCGCCATACTCGCGATTGCCTCACGGGATATGCCTGGTCATGTTTTGGTTCATCGATACTGCTGGGATCATGCTCAACGGCTGCTTCTAGAGGTGCTACTAGCACACTCCTGGGCGCAAACTCCCAGGACGGTCCAGGCCGTACTATTACTTGCTGAATGGATCCCATACCAGATCAAACAAGATGGTACAGAAAGTCCCAAGAGCCTGCTTAGTGAAGACCGATCCGCATGGTCTCTCATTGGCCTCGCTGTGCGGCAGGGTTACCTTTTGCGGTTGGATCGTGCTGCCTTTCCTTCCTCAGAATCATCAAGGGGTTGTGAAGCTTCTGAGATAGAAGAAGAAAAACGTTTGATTTGGACATGTATGAGTCTTTCTGGCCGAGTTCAGCGACAATAGCTTACTGTTTCTCCAATAGATATTTATCTAATAGAGAGACAAATCTCTGTGCGGATGGGGCAATCGTTCTGGTCCCGCGGCCCGTCTCTATCTTCAAAGCTCACGAATAAAGATTTCCCAAATCTCAAATCCTTACCATCAATGGAAGAAGAAGATCTTGCTTCTGCATTGCAAGCTAAAACTGAGCTGACACAGATCTTATACAACGCCCATGGAATTCTTTATTCGTCGACGGAGAGGACGTTAGCTATGGTTAACGACGGTGACTATGCAAGATATTTGGACGACTTTCAGCGATCGACCACAACCTGGTACACAGCATGGAATGGAGGAAATTTCTCATCTAACGTTAGAGCCACCCTGCTCCTCTTGTATGAGTATGTGTGCTTATACGTCAACGCATTTTCATTCCAAGCCGTGCTTACAAGAGCCTCGAGCGCATGCTCTCAAGGTAGAGACACAATTCCTGGCAAAGGCGTCTCCTCGGCAGGTCCGTTTTCAGGGGGTCTCATGTCCTCACCAGATGGCCCGTATGTGTACGAGGCCATCAGCTGTGCAAGGAAGATTCTAAGTTTAATGAATCAGCTCCATCCTAGAAATACTCTGCGCTTCTTACCAACTCGGTTTTATCTGTAAGCCCCTTCCATTCAAGAACTTCTGTCGGCCCAAGCTTGAGCTAAGTGAAGGTGTGCAAGGTACGGTGTGTACGCCGCTGTTTTCTTGTACAAGGCTCAGTGCGCAGGCGCATTTCAATCAGTCGCCCAGAGACAGGAAAACTCGGAACTGGCAGGGAGATTTATTTCTAAGTTGAAGCAAATCTCTCAGGACGAATTGCATCTCTGCCACCGATACAGTGTAATGCTGGGCAGAATATGGCGATGTCGGGACTCTCAACGGCCATCCCATGATGGCACTGTCTCACGGCTCCGAATGGCGGGTCATGAGGCTCCTACTACCGTTGAGCCAAATAGCAGTGTGAATTCTGTTGCGGATGAAACGAACTCCCATATGTCATGGCCTACGGAAAGAGGACAAAATCACTGGAACTATGCCCTGAACGAATGGGACCAAGGAGCCGTGGAGACAATGCAGTATAACACTGATGCCGGAACAATGCCAGACATAGAGGGATATTTTCTTGGATCGTTCTTCCCTGGAGTCACTGGTGTTGATTTTCATCACGGATTTGGAGAACTGGGACTGTGATAGGTGATTTGGAACTTCATGGGCATCTGGATGAGATCAAGTGACACGTTCTTGGCCCAGAAGCAAGATACAACCAACTGCAAGAGGCTATGTTAGTTCGGCAGCCACAGTAAATGCTGGAATAATGTCGGAGAGCCATACTAGCTCGTGGACGAATCTGGCTCTTAATAATGTATTTATTAACCGAACACTATTAGATACTGGCCCCAAGTGGTTGTGATGAGGTCGATCTTTATACGTAAGAGAAAGTGAATGTAAGGTTCAACAGCAATGGCAGATGTCGGGCCCGGCAACTCAACACAATAAATACGAAAAATTAAAAAAAGCTTCTCACTTAAATACGTGATAAAGTAGGATCAATGGGCTTCATTGGGCATTTCATCGTCATGCGCGATAGAGTGTTTTTTAGTCCTATCTGTAGAATTAATTGTTTGTTCAAGGAAGCCGCCAAGTGCGTGGCAGAAAGTACCCTATAACTCGAGAGCCAAGATGCGTCCCCTAAACATAGTAACTCAAGATACCCTTCCTTTTTGTATAAGAGAACCCTAGAGTAATTCCCTATGTCTCTTGTCCGAATAGAGGCCTTCTATGGTGTTCAAAACGTATTGAACACCTCCGGTGCTGATTGCTTCTAGAAATGTAACCTTTCGGCAGTGAGTGCGGTGTTGTCTTCTACGCCACCTCTCTGGAAACATCTCCAGGACTCGGACCTTAATAGAACACGTACCTATTCTGCATAAGGCAAGAATCAGCGCCAGGAAACGACTTGGACCAGGGGGGCATGTACACTGGGCCGGCCACTCCGTAAATGCTTACCGTTACGAAAACTGCGAATGCAACGCTGCTAGATTAACTAGGGCTCGGTCGATCGGGTTCCGTCCGTCTTTTTTGCAAGTTGAGCCGATCTCCGTTGGCATTGCCCATGCAAGTGGGCGACAGGAGAAATGAGACACCCAATGGAAGAACAACTATGAATAGACTACAATCTACAATGAATAGAAAAACCAGCGGGATAACTCTAATTAAAACAACAATAAAGACTTAAATACTCCCCATATGCATAGCTTAATGTTTGAGTAATCCATATTCAATGCCACGCAGTTGCCACGATAATTGAAATCACAAACCCCCGAGGTCGCATTCAACTGCCATCCGGCCGGTAGTGTTCGAAATCGACAGGGTTAACAGGTCTTCATTGAGTTAGCATCTGATTCCTCCCGGCTGATACAGTGGATCTCTAAATTGGCCACATTCCAATGAAAAGTGTCCTGTTACTAACGCTGAATCCTTGGCTCGTTCCAGGACCAGGCTGAGTTTCAGCCGCCAGGGATTGGTGGTGGTCTGGGCTTCTCTGAACAATTGACTTGCTAGAAACAGAAAATCAGCCCGTGAAGGCCATGGCATGGCTCGCTCATTCGTGTAAGCTCAGTGGTAAAATTGTCATCGCTTTGCATTATGCTCCCAAATTCTATCATAGATCTATAATATTTTGAATATAACCTTCATTTGACATCTAACCACTTTTGAACGCTCATCCAACCCAACTTAGAAAGAAGATTCGTAGAGAGGTGAAGGTCCGGCCAATTTATAGCTTGGTGAATTCGGCCCTGACGACGCTGCCAACGGCGCTGAGCTCGGTCATGTTGATCTGACGAGCCAGGGGCGTCCAGCCCAGCTCCTCTGGGAATCGCTCCTCCTCATACCAGGTCTTGACCCATTCCTTTGGTGCCTCCAGGCCGTAGTAAGCCTCTGCTGGGGAGCCCGCAGCGGGGAATTCCTTGTTGTTCATGGCAATGAGGGTCAAGGCACTCTCACCAAACATGATCGACCAGATGGTGTCGCTCATGTTAGGGCGACCTGACTCGTCAAAAGTGCGACGACGGGTAGTGGCGAGAGAGAAGACGTCGAGGTACGGGTTGGAGCTGTCCGCAAGCATAGCCTCGACACGCTCAGGATCAACGTGCAGGCTGTCTCCGCCTGGCTGATCCTGACGGCTCATAGATGCAGGGTGCTCCAAGAACCCGGGAGTGTTCAGCTTCTCGAGATCAAGTGTGTCGGTGGCGGTGTCCAGTCCGAAGACCTGGAAGGCACCGGCAGCGAGAAACTGTCCGATCGAGCTGTCAAAGTTGAAGCCTTCCGTGATAGCCTGGACGAATTGGGTGAAGCCAATCTTCTTGCCATCATGAGGACTATTCGAATTTGGGGTTAAAGGCCATCCTTTTCAACATAGCTTAATTCGACTGAATTAACTTACAGATATCCGTGGTTTGCGAGAGTATTCAGCCCGGGGCATGGGCTGCGAGAGTCAGATTCGCCAGCTGGAGCCCACTCCTTCAGAGCAGCGACCACTGCCACCATTTGTAAAAGAGAAAATGCCCGCATTTTGATTTAAATATAGATTATCGGTCTAAGAAGGATGGAGAATATCGGCGTGTGGAGGTGCAGGAAGCTGGAAGACTAGAGAGATGAAGATCAACTTATTTCAAATTGGCGTGAAAAGAGGTTCTTTATATACTATTAGTTTATGTGAACTAGTTTCAGGCCTTAACACCTGCCATCATTTTGAGGCTGACTGGGGGCAGGATTTCGGCCAAGGCCGTCAGCCCCACAAGTGTGGAAGGGGCTTGTTTGAGGCAATACGTCCGTGTGTCTTCTCCCCGTTGACGCATGGAGTTTCCGTCCCCGTATAATGCGTACCTGTGCTATGTATAAACTGTCACCCTGATACGGCCAAGTGTACAAGGGTGTTGCTAGCAAGTTTGTCTGGCAGTCTCTGGGATCGACAGGTCCCAGAGGCACTCACTTTAACCTGATTTATAAAAGGACGCGGTTTATTGGCCAGTGGCATTCAACAATGCGCTTGGACGACAAGGATTGTTGCCAGGAATAAAGCCACTCTGTTTGGGCAAAATAAGAGCTCCCTGTTATGGATTTCTCACTTCCGCAGCTCCATAGAGTTGCGAAAACCGAAAACCAACCATCGTAAGCTTGATCCACATGTTGCTTCACCCTAATTGTATACTCATTTTACATCCTCAAAAACGTCAAATATTAAATGGCTATTTAGGGAAAGGGATTCTTGGAAAAGGGAGTGCTGCCTTTGTTCAATGAAATGATGGAGCCTGACGAATCCAAGGTAGATTTGCAAGGCGGGTAGCTACAAGGCGGGCAGCTTTGGACAATTGGAGAGTAATGTCTGCTTCAAAGTTAAGGCATTTTTGCTGTGATAATCAGTTAAGCCTTGACACGGGAAAGTACGTGATAACAATTCAATGTCAAGAAGTTACAACTGGGACTAGAGAGAATACGATGTTATGGATCCAATTATGCCTTGGCTATAACCTAGCATAGGTACTAGGATCACGCAGATTGCAAGCATATGAATCCAAGAGTCCTTCGAGCGTAAGGCAAGTAAGGCGGTATTCCGCAAAGGCTAGTTCCTATTTTTGTTTGATAGTATTAAATAAAAAATATATCTAACCTTGGCGTTCTCGCCATGCTTATACAAAACCGATATTATACATGGATTAATAATCCCCCATACATCCATTTTTACTCTTTGATCAAATTACTGTGTTTCCTTGCACAATTTGTTGTCACTGCAAGGTCTCTCTTTGAATATTATGCAGCGTTCCTTTCTTTGTCAATTAAGTAGTACTACGTGCCCAAGTGGGACAGTGGCAACAATCCCGAAGTCCCGAAGAAATTTAATATAGCATTCAGAATTAATGTGCTGTTTCTTTGGTCGTGTAAATCTATTCCCATAATGAGACAGCGGATGCCCGGCACGGAGTAGCTGCCCCGAACTGTTTCCGGTCTACGGTAACAACCAACCCGATAAGCCTACAAAACCGGGACATGTTGAGGTTTCAACCAGTATATAAGCTCTATCGAAAACATAAGATAGAATCGACTCACAATAGTCTGATGTGTAGATCAAAGACCATCAAGACACTCCTCCTTTCCCCCAAATTTCAAAATGATCCTCAAACACCTTTGCGCGACGATTCTAGCTATCCATGGAGCAACTGCTCTACCTCCAAGCCCAGTTGAGGCTGCGGCTGCTGCAGTTCCAACTCTGATCAATGGGTGGTACTTCATACGGGCTGTCGCGGCGCCAAACTACCATAAGTATCTTCAGAGCAAACCTACTACTTCCTCATCCACCGCATATCTGGATGCAGCCGAAGGGGCGGGACAATTCAACATTATTGACGGCCAGCTTGTCTACTATACTGGGTCTGCGGAGCTGTACCTACATGTAGAGCAGCCTACAGACTTGACCCAAAGAAAGCTTCAAACTTGGTTCGAGACGGGCAAAAATACATTTGGTACATTTGCATTTCAAGGAGACGCTGTAACTTGGAGCGTGAGCCAGATCACAAGACCTAATACAGCGGCCTGGTTTGTGTGTGAGAATCAGGAGCTCTTTATCAATACCGGCGCATATGGCTACCAGACCCCAGCGGGGTGTGCTGATCAGACGGTAAGTTTCTAACACTTTGTAGGGCAAAGCCATAATATAGAGATCTAACAAAATACAGATTCACTATTACGGCGGATCAACACCCGATGTTTAGGAGCTTTGAGGCAAATTTATCAGTAGTTATGAGAGTTAATGCCGTCAATACTTACTTGGGTCACAGTCGGAGAGCTAGAGCTCAGGCACGTTAACGTTAGGCCATACGAATTACTCATGTACATAGGTTGTATGTGAATACTATCAGAAGCGAATTCCTGCTGTTTCCATAAAATGGCTACAATGAAACGAAACAATCGGCTTGTTGTCTGAATTTGCCCAGGTAAAGGCTGAACTCCAGGCCGGAACCGGGCTTTAGGGTAGGCCGGAGCTTTCGAATGTTGACGCCATTTCCCCACGTGTCCAAAGAGTCGGTGATTTGTCCGGGGTTAAATTCTCCTCAACTCGGCTCTTCCGCCGACTTTAAGAACCCCGTCTTTCCCCAGACATTAACACGCCCTCGGTAATCAATCAGCATGCAGCGAAACAAGAGACAGAGACTGAATTCGCAAGGTAGAGAGGAGAGTCGCGCCAGGCCGACTGGCGATACTGCCAACAGGCCACAAATCACCCGCGCGTGTGAGTGACAGCTGCATGCAGCAACCCTGATCCACCAATGCAGTCCCGAGGTTTTCGTACTCCGCGTTGTTGTTTGTCTTGTAGCTGATCTGGTGGTTTCATAGGCGCCGAATGTAAGAAACACAAGATCAAGTGCTTTGTTCAGCCCGGAGAGACGTCCTGTTTGAAGTGTCGGAAAGCCGGCATCCAGTGCATCCCTCACAACTTTGCCCAAAAGTTCATGGATGAAGATGCAGCGTAGGTTCTTGCCCCTGTATCGTCGAGAAAACCCATGCCTTAATCTCACCTCGACGTAGATGGAAAGCTGAAGCTGCCAAAACCATCGACCGTCTGAAGGATGCCGTCGAACAATTGTTACGGCACAATAATCTAGCGGGATTCAGCAAATATGATGGTGCATTATCCATTGTTCATCCCATCCCCGACCGCGAGCATGAGCAGCATGGACAGAAACTCTCCCCATTGACGACGGAATATTCATCCTCGGCGGGTCAGCCTGGAGGAAACTTCGAATCGGAAGGCCCATCTGACGGTCTGCGAGGCCACCACGATGACTCGGACCTTGTTCCGCTTCCAATGAACAACCTCTACAATCTCACGGATCCAAACAACTCGCAGCTTATACGAGTTAACCCAGCGGACGTCAATGGCCCGGATTTCATCAGCCAGGGAGTGCTCCCAATATCTGAAGCGGAATTCCTCTTTAACCACTACCGTGACAACATCAACCCACTCTTGTGGGATGGCATTCTTTGCTCGCACAGGACCTTGGCTGCCGTGAGGCAATCATCATCTTTAATGGTGGCAGTAGTTCTTACTGTGGCAGCTTTGCATATTCCAAACCGGGAGCAATCCCTACATGCCACCTACGGCGCGTTTGTTTCGCTCATGAGAGGTTCGTGCCTACTGCGATGTCAGAATCTAGATGTCATCCGAGCATTATGCATTGGCGCATTCTACCTTACGAGCCTTAGCTGGGCCATCTGCAGTCGAGCGGTGCGGGTAGCCACCGAAATGAACCTCCATAAGTCGTCACTACAATTCGCCAGGGGCTCCCTCGACTCTTATGAGCGTGTCAGACTTTGGCACGTTCTGTATGTGTGTGATCATCAGTTCGCCCTCGCTTACGGGCGCCCGCCTCTGATGCATGAGGATGCTGCGATCAGAAACGCCGACAAGATTCTACACAGTGGCCTGTCCTCGAAAGGAGACCACGGGCTCGTCGCGCAAGTGAAGCTCTTTAGAATACTGGCAAACTCTTACTTCATGTACGGGTGCGACCCCGACCTCGAGCTGGACGGGCAGGATTTCGGGAAACTTCAAGAGTTCAATATCTCGGTTGACCAGTGGCGGCTCGAGTATCAACCCAAAGCTATGGGATTGGCCGATCACAGTTTACTACCACCCAAGACGAACACACTGTATTATCATCTCGCGCGCTTTCAGCTGAACTCGGTCTCACTTCGCGGGATTTCTGGAAAGGAAGGGGCACCGGCTACTCCAAACCTTGACATGAGCTGGGATAGACAGGAGGCTTCCAACGTCGCGATCATGGCGGCCATGAACACCGCTAGGCTCATCGTGGATGACTCAGAGCTACAAAAAGCCTTGATCGGGCTCCCTATCTTTACACATGCAATGATCGCCGTTTGTGCTTCTTTCCTTCTCAAGATGGCGGTCGTGTTTGGCGCATCGAGTGCCAGCGGGGATGCAATCTTGTATCTTCCCAGAGACCTCGCCCAATACGGGTTAAACTTCCACACAAAGACTGCCTTGACGGATGTAGAGCGACTAGTGCGAGTTCTGGGCCAAGTCGCGGACAATGCAAGCCAGCGCCACGTGGCAAGGCAGGTCGTCACCGGCTTGTCTGAGCTACTGTCGAGATTCTCGCCTGGCGACGAGGTCGACAGCTTTGTGTACACACTCCCTGGTTCCAAAGATGTGGTACCGCTGCCGCCTGATAATTCGAAGCGGCCATGGAACTCGGAAAATGACAGAGTGGTGCAAGCGCATGCGGGAGGGACTGAGCAGATTAGTGTTCATGTGCCTCAGAGCCAGCTTGTCGAGGGAATACAGGCCGATGCTGGGGGTCAAAGGCAAGATCCATTTGATCTTACGGGTGACTTGGATTGGCGATTTGATGATGGTTTCTTATGGGGAATGGATGGGATGAGCTCAGAAGTTCCTTATCTGTAGTCTGAAAGACGAAATTGAGAATTTTTAAACGCCGTCTCTACCTGTCCGTTATACCCAAATTGAACCACAAATACATGCCTGGTTGTAATTCTTCCAGCGTATCCCAGGAAGTAAACCCGCTCGTGAGATCAGCGAGTGGTCTGGTCGGATCTGGCATTCCCTCATTAATACTTGGAGACTTCTCCTTGCCGGGATGCTGCACTCCCGGTATCGTCTTCGGACCTATTCCCAAAAGGTAGTCATGTTTACCTTTCTTACATGGCTGGGAACATATTTAATCACACATTTATGATGATTTGGCACATGATAGTCACGCTTTTTAGATACCTTAAGCATGTTTAGTTTGACTTTATTGGCAATATCAACACTTCAATATATACTCAATACCTCAGTTGCAAATAAAGCCAACCTAGCTATCTCCATTATTTAGCACCAATACGCTCGCCAACAAAACCCTGCCCACGCGAGTTCTACGTCGACGATTGTGCACCTCCGGCCCAACTCCTCAATACACTATGCTACATTTATTCCCCCCCACCTATCAAGGCTTAGAGCCGGACGCTTGAGCTTCCTGGCGACCTTTGAGCTCGGCAGCCATGGCCTCGGCGTGGTCCACCTGCTCAATTGGGTGCTTCTTGAAGAAATACGCAAAGACAGCAGTAGAGATACAGAGCACTCCCAGCCAGGTGGTGGTGGTAGCAAATCCAGGGATATAACGAGGTGCGTCCTTGTCGGGCCACAGCCAGGTAGAGTAGATAGAGGAAGCGTTGCCAATGGAGTTGATGAGGGCAATGGCGATGGCTCGCTTGGCTGCTGGCTGGGGGATGACGTCGGAGACCCAGGTCTTGACGAGGGGCGAGCAACCGTAGATGGTGCCAAAGGCAAAGATGGTGAGGACGTATTGGGTTATCCTGTCCTGCACAGTGGTGACGGCGATAAAGAGGACGCAACCCAGGCCGGACAGGGCACAGATGAAGTACCACTTGTTCTTATACCTGTCAGCTAGCCAGCATGATACGACAACGTAAACGAGTGCGGCAGCGTAAGCTGGAATGGTGTGATCTGGAGCAGTGGTTAGTTAGAGCTGAAGTCAGGGCTTGCTACCACAGGGAGCAGAACTGTACATACATTGGCCGACGGCTCCTTTCCAGCCGAAACTTTTGACGAGAGTGGGAATGAAATACTGCATTGTCTGAGAGCCAGTAACGAGAACGAAGAGAAAGCACTGGGCCCAAACTCTCCAGTCGACGCAGGTCATCTTGAATGCTTGCCAGTGAGGAATCTCTTTTGCGCCGGTGCCCTGGGTTAGGGCAATACCGTCAACAGTCAAGCGGTTGCAGGCCAAGATCATTTCCTCTTCCTTTAGGAATCGCTTGCTGTTAGAAGGGTAATCGGGCATGAGGAAAAATATGATAATGGACGCGACAATGGAAGCAAGTCCCTCAAGGATCTAGTCACACAGATGTCAGCGATGCCTGCCTTGAATCGAGCAACGAAGCCGGGCTATCTACTTACGAAGAGCCATCGCCATCCAGGCAGGCCTGAGACGCCGTTCATATGCTCGGTGATTACCCCAGCGAGGAGTCCAGATATGGCGCCAGCAATGGGAACTGAGGTGTAGAGAAAGGCATATCTTGTTGCGAGCTCGTACTTTCTATACCAGGACGACAGGAAGAAGGCGCAGCCAGGAGCGAAGCCGGCCTGAACAAAAGGTAAGTTAAGACCAACAGTGTGAATGTTAAGATGAAACCTACTTCAGCGAATCCAAGAAGGAAGCGCATGCCAGCCAGTTGGCTCCAGTTGTTGGTCGCGCCCATGAGCGCGGCGAATGTTCCCCAAACGAGACCAAGTCCCGGGAGAAACACACTGGGTCGCACACGGGTGAGGATCATGTTGGCCGGCACTTCAAATACGAGATAAGAGATGAAGAATGCAAGGACGATGATGGAGTATTGGCTAGAAGATAATTTGAAGTCATCTTCCATGCCACCTGTTTTGGCATTCCTGCATGTTCATCGTCAGAGACTGTATCAGACAAGGATTCATTATTGCACATGAAACATACCCAATGTTGGCTCGATCAAGGTAACCAAGAAGATATAGAACCCAGGTACAAGGAAGAATACGCCAATCAAGTTTGCGCACAAGCTTCTTCTCCTCGAGTGTGCCATCTTCCCATCGAGTGGCAGTCTCCTGAGCCTCGATCATCTCAGCGGCGGCCTTTATATCATCCTTTGAGGTCGACCTAGCGGAAGCGTTGGTCGGAACATACTCGAGACGTTGGTTCGCATTCTTATCGTCAGAAGGAGCCATGATGACTGCTAGGAGGCGCGAGAGACGAGTGTTCCAAGCGTGAGAATGAGGGATTGGGAGGGTTGGAATGGGTGGCAGGCCAATGGCTGAGACATGACTCCCATGCGGAAGGATCAGCATATATATAAATTGTTCAACGTCCCTGCTCTCAAGCTCGGCAAATGTTCACCGCGGAGAACCCCATGGGGAGAGAATCCGGAGGAGTGGGTGGACATCGGGAGCAGCTGAGGTCGGTGTCAGAGCCGTGGATCCAAAGTCGGTGCAAGTGCCGCGATTCTTGGGGCAATTCCAGCATGAGGAGCGAGTCATGTGCCTCGTGCCCCAGGCCGATCCAATTAAATAGTGTCCACGCGATGAATCCTGAGGAGCATCGCAAACCCGCCGATCCTTAACTCATACGATGCAGTCGGCGGGACCGCCGTGTTACGATGCAGCCCAACGATTCTCCCCGACCTCTATAACTTACAACTCTCGGAAAGACTGCGAGGAGTATTCTGATTGCTTTCCCACCAAATCATAAAAACCGCATTTTCTATTTGTCATTTGAGCCATCCCTCGTTTCCCCGAGACACAATAAAGACAGCCTGGTTCAGACAAGGTCATCCTGAGCTATTCACGCAAAGCAAACACTCATTCATCAAACCCCTTCTCACACCGCATCTTTCATCATGGTTGCTGCAATTGACTCTCACCAAACGCGCCTTCGCAGGCCCCGTATTGCGGTCACCTTAGGTGATCCTTCGGGCATCGGTGGCGAACTGGTTGCCAAGCTTCTCAACAACCCGGCCAATTTCAAGAAGGCCGATGTTGTGGTCCTAGCAGACGAAGGAGAGTTCCGTCAAGCCATGGCTGACGCTAACCTCGAGCACCTCGCCATCTCTCATGGTCCCGCTGGGCCCCATGGATTCCAACTACTGAACGACAACACGGCCACCCAGTATAAGACAGTCAGGGGCGAAGTCTCCAAAGACAGCGGGGCACGTGCGACGCACCAGCTCAAGAGGGCACTGGCGATGGTTAAAGACGGCGTCATCGATGGCATTGTCTTCGCTCCACTCAACAAAAGCTCGTTGAAGCTTGCTGGTATGACTGAGGAGGATGAGCTGAGATGGTTTGCCAACCAGTTGAATTTCAAGGGCACCACCAGTGAAATCAACATCGCCGGCCCTCTCTGGACCGGCCGAGTCACAAGCCACATCGGCGTTGAGGAAGTGGCCGGACGAATAACCAAGGAGAGCACACTTAGAGCTATCGAACTCCTTCATAGACTTAGGTAAGCCTAACTGGATATGTCCGACAGGTATCTGAAGCATGACGATGTACTAATATTTTGAGTTAGATGGGAGTCTGGTATTGAAAATCCCCGCCTTGGAGTGTGTGCCTTGAACCCACATAACGGAGAGAACGGCGCGTTCGGACGTCAAGAGATTGACCACATCCGCCCTGCTGTTCAAGCAGCCCAGGAGAAGGGTATCGATGTCCTTGGCCCTTACCCTTGCGACACCATCTTCCTTAAGCGAGAGCATTTTGATGGTATCGTCACCATGTACCACGACCAGGGCCAGATTGCTATGAAGCTTCTTTCCTTCGATGGCGGTGTGACTGTACAAGGCGGACTTCCTATCCCCGTCGCTACGCCTGCTCACGGTACAGCTTTTGACATTGTTGGGAAGAATCTTGCCGGCGTGGCAAGCACACAGAACGCATTCGACATTGCGGTCACGATGGCTGAGAGGAGGATTATGAAGGACGCAAAGCTTACTCCTGAGTCAGTGCCTGTCAAGGCCCATATTCCTTCTGCCAAGGTTGTGGAGATCCTTAGCACTTCTTGCTGCTAGAATTTCTTCAAAACCCTTTTCTTCTTCCTTTTTCTTAGATCATAACTATTAGATGCGTGGAGCCCCTTAGGGGGAAAGTGTCGTGAGCACTGTAAATGAAATATATATTCAATCTATTGCCTGTTGTTTCCCTACATCTTTACACATGTCTTTAAATTCAGGCAGCTCCACTGGATTGACATAATATGACCGATGAAGAGTACGAAGCATTGGTGAAATAGGTTGATTCATTCTACTCTACTGTAATCTTGCGCGATCAAAATTGATGATTTTGAAAGATCCTGTTAGAGGCTAGCTGAGTCCTGCGGACTCAGAGCTGCGACCAATAACGGAGCATTTTGTGATAATTCTAATGGCTACGAAGAAGCTCATACTCGTAGCTGGCAAATAAGAAAGGGGCCACACCCTTGAGGTCATTTTCGAACAGAGGTTGGCTCGCGTAGTACTGTAGCCATATTATTAGCTGGTCTGCAAAAAAAGACATATATAGAAATGCTCAAAAGCTGGAACTCACCTCCAACGTGCCGTTGGAGCTCAGACTTCCAGTCTGCACTGTCCATTCAAATTGCAAGGCCCCATCATACTCTCGGGATGTTGCAAAAGTGTCCGTCATGAGCTTGTAGCCATCGAATGCCGCCTGCTTGAATTTATCTCCCTTGATGTAGCCCAACCGAAGCGCCTTAAACAAGCCGTAGACAAACATAGAGCTTGCGGAGCTCTCGATGTAGTTGCCGGAAACGCCCTCCAGCCCGGGGTCCATGACAAGCCACCAGCCCTTCGTCCTCTTGTCCTGGGCAGCAACGATGGCGTCCGCTAAGGTTTGTAGGTATCCGAGCAACTGCTCGCGGCCTTGGTGTGATTCTGGGAAGTAGTCTAAAGTATCCACGAGGGCGCAGATATACCATCCAACGGCTCTACCCCAAACATGCGGGGATGCACCGGTGACAGGATCCGCCCAGACTTGGGTCTTGCTGACATCAAATCCATGAAGAGGGAGACCTTTTGTGCTATTTTTAGATCGGGTTCCAGAGTCGATGAGGTGGAATTGGAGGGCAATGTCATCCCAAGCAGTGTTGTTGGTAGGTTCAAACTCAGAGGTCCATCGGGCGTAGAAAACGTCTAACATGTAGATACCGTCCAACCACATCTGGTCGATATATGTAGGATAGCGATGATAGAAACCTCCATCAGGGGTTCGGCCAGTTCGATCAATCTGCTTGCGCAGGGTCTGGGCCGCGGTCTTGTAGATTTCATCGCCTGTGACATTATACATGTCCAGAAAGGTGTGCCCGATCCGGATGTCGTCAATGGAGTTGCTGTTATTGTAGAACAGAATTGTGCCATCCCATTCGGGATAGAGAAGAATATCGGCACCCTTCTTGACATAGTCTAGATATTTTTGAGCCCCAGTTCTTTCGTACGCTCGAAGAACGCCTGAGTAAAATGCGGAAACAGTATAGGCAAGCGTTGGCTCCACACCATGCTTGATCTGAGAGTCAGCCATCCAGGTCAGGTACCGTGGCTCGCCCTGAAACTGGCCTGGGACAATCGTCTCATCTGGTGCTATGCTGAACCAGCCATTTGGTAAGGTGAGATTTGAAGCATACGCTGCCGTTGAAAGCCACAGAGCGCCAAAGAGTAGTTGCTTCATGGTAAACTAAAGACCCGATGCCAGGACAGAAATGGAATGAAAGTGATATATTGCTGGACTTCTTGAGGCTGTTTTTTTGAACTTCATGGACATAATGAGCAAAACTGAAGGATCTTATATACGATTCTTGTCCGCGTCTATTGCCTTTGATACTAAGTACATCCGGACGGAACCCCCACATTCGGTAACTTCATTTAGCCTATGGTTACTCAGCTAACTGTTTTCATGAACATCCCGGCATTGCCACTCCTCTCGGAAAACCGCCGACCCAGAAGTTGCGGGGAAGTGGGAGGGCAATTAAGGTCGTCTAAGCAGTAGCGGGGGACGGGTCTCATGCAACCTTATGCTTGATAAGGTAGGATCGCCTTCTCCCCAACTCCCTGGTTGCGATGAAACCTACCATAAGTGGTGGGAAAATGCGTATATCATGCATGTGTATATTTACCTGGTTTATGTGGAGTACCTCAGTGCTTTTCCGCCTTCACTTTTCCGATTCTTAGCTACCGCGGATATACATATGCTGGGTTAGCAACATGCCTGCTAATTACTCATCCTACCTATGCAATATTACTTCGTATTACTGTTTATGCAAGAAAAGCAAGCTTCAATAATAAAGCAGTTGAAATCTTCTTCCTATTTTATGCGTTGTTAATTGTTTCGGGCCGTTGAGGTCTGAATTTGTGATCATTTGAAATGTAGTTTCATACTGAGAACAATTAGAGAATAGAGTGGGAGTTCATTGAAAACTTAGTATTAATAAGAGATATTTAAAAGATTCCCTTCGCCCAAGCTGTCATGGCCGTGATGGTTGGACCAGTCCCAAAGAAACCTTCTATGAGATGGCTATCGTGGATATGTTTTGAGAAAAGGTCGAATTTCACATCCACTGACTTAGAACGCGTCTGCAAGTTCTCTACAAATTCGCAAATATGATCCCTAAACACCTCTTCATCTCCTGCTGTGAGATAAATTGTCCTGACAGCCTTGTGGACGCTCCCGAGCCACGATAAATCAGACTCCAGGGGAAAAGCTAAGCTTCGGATTTCTTCCATGGTCAGTGGAGGCGTGACATTTTCGGGAACCAGGAAGTTCGCAGTCAGAATGTTGATAACAGGTCCGGAAAGCATGTCGAGTGTGTTTTCTCGGTATGAAAGCGTATCGGTCCGTCCAGAAAACGGTGCAGACACGATAAAGGCGGCTGCTAAGGGTTCATCATCCGGCCAGTTGCCAAGAGGCTCGACGCATGGATGAGGATCAACGATATGTCTCAGCAGCTGAATAGCGAGAGACCCTCCAGCCGAGTCGCCCCCAATCATGATGTCGGATGGTCGGATCCCTCTCTCCAAAAGTGTCCTGAGGGCAGCACAGCATTGGCGCAGCTGCTGAGGATACGTCGCAATAGGGACCAAGGTATACTCCATCACTCCAACAGCGACGTTGTGCTTTTCGCCTGGCCCGCCACGCACATAGGCGTTCCAGCACCACTCAAGATGGCCATCCGAAGCACACATGACATAACCGCCACCGTGGAAGAAGAGGACGAATTTGGAAGCGGTGGCGCGGTCACCAACCCACATGATGGAGCCTCCGGTTCCCTCGAGCTCCTCAACATCGTGCTTGAGGCGACGAAGCTGAGGGGAGGCGCCGGGCTTGCGCTGCGCTTTCACCTTTGACTTGATCCATGACGCGTATGCTCTCTGGCTATTGGGAGCCACGGTTTGGATCTGGCGCGGGGAGAGACAGGCGAGGAAGGTGAGGCAGACAGTACTGATGCCTAACAGAGATAGTGGGATCCCTCTGCGAAGGGCTTTAGGAATGCCGACGGTAAATTTGGCGAGCCCATACACAGGTGCTTTTGCCGAGAGTTAGCCATGTCAGCTGACTTTACAGGCCGCGCGTTGAGTCCTCACCAACAACCAACAGACGGAGTACCAGATCCAGGTTCTCCGCCAGAGAGAGCGAAGGGACGGTTGGTGGCATTCTGATCCTGCCTACTGCTCTATCAGTTCGATGGGTTAATTACAATGCAGAGGGCTATAGGAAGTTGGCCGGGATGGGAAGGTGAGTAGAAGCGATTTGAGGGGCTGGTTAGAAGTGGAAGCAGTGCGCTCAAATCTTGCAGTGGACAAACAGCCACTAATAATGGGACTTCTGTGGCTTACGTTTGCTTAGCCTCACGGGCGGAACAAGTCTAAACAAACCACGTCTTAACTTATTCGGCCATTGATTCATAAATTACATATAAGCATACTAGTAGCGTTCGTTTTCCAGTGAAACAGCGATTGAATTTTTGAAACTGGCGTGAGAAATCTGAAGATGTTTGTTTTCTTCGCCTCTGACATGGTTCATTCTATAACGCCCTCAGTCGATATACTTGTGGTCCAGGTTCTGGCCCCACGTCAAGCGACTTGCACATGAGCTGATTGAACTTGACGGAAATGAAGTAACTAGTCATGACATTGTGTCAGACGCCAAAAGAAAAAGGGGGAAAAAAAAGGAAAAAAGGGAAAACATATCGCGGTATCTACTCCCTTGAGCCCTGGTTTGGTCCCCCCGCACAGAAGCAAACTTTGCTTCAGAAACACTCTTTGTTTTAGTTAGGAACTTTGGCTCTCAGATTTGCCCTACACTCTGCTCACTCCGATTAACTGGAGTTTGGCTCGGTTTGATGAGGGCATAGCTGTTTTAGATCGAATCCTTCATAACTGGCTGGCCACCTCCTTCTCACATCATTCCCAACGTCAAGACATCACTGCATCATCAATCGGCCAGTCACCAGTGTGACGCATCAGTGCCTCAGTGAATATCCCTGGGGCATGGCTCCGACACCCTTGGGCACTAGAGTCTGGCTCTATGGTTGCCTACTTCGTTCAATTCGCTGCCATGATCATCGTGTGCATCTCGTTTAACGGGAAGCCAGTGTTCGACGGTCGCTTCATCACACTCAATACGATCGTGTCCATTTTATCGACCGGGTCCAAGCCCTCAATGCTGACAGCAGTCGCGAGTTGTATCAGTCAAGCCAACTGGTCTCTCTTCGCAGGCCCCCCTCGACGACTCTACGACTTTGAGATGGTAGCTGATGCAAGTCGTGGGCCTCTTGGGAGTCTTCAGCTGCTGTTGAGCTCCAAGCTCAAAGGAGGGTAAGAGAATCTAAAAGTCCATATACTAAGATGGACGCTAAGGGGATACATAGCGCGATTGTACGCATGGGTGCAATCATCACCGTATTCGCCATCATCATGGACCCTTTTGCACAGCAGCTCATTCAACTTCACCAAACCAGGCGGTATTTTCCCCCGGGCGGTCCCAAGGAGTCAGATTCGGTAATTACTCGATGGAGTCATCTGCACCAAAACTCTTGGGAATTATCTCGCCACCAGACCTGGTGATGAAAGCAGCCCTGCTATTCGGCCTGACCAGCGACAGGTCACACATCTTGAAACAGGCAAGCTACAGCTGCCCGACAAGCCAATGTGAGTACTCGGATGTCACATCAGCAGCCATATGCAGCACATGCGCCAACGTGGATTCTTCACTCAAAAGAACGCCAGAGGAACGAAGTACCAGCTATAGAGGATGGGTGGGTGATTTTATTGCGGTGGCACCTAAACTGGGCTCCTGGAATGCCACGACATTCGAACTGCCCAATGGCCTATATATGAAGGCCCAAGATGACCTCCCAAATAGCATGCTGACAACCATGACTATATCGGGAAAATCGAATGCATCCAAGACGATAACTACCAAAAAGATGGACAGCTTGATCTGGTCCCAGAGCATCATCAAAGTCGACAACAAATCTGCAACGACTGGCTTAACGTGGCCACAGTGGAACGTTCACGCAACGGAATGTGCACTCTCCTATTGCGTCAACTACTCATTCCTAGTACGCAACGGCACGTTAACAGAGTCATCTAAGATCATGGTTGAGTATAAGCGCGATAAGTCGTGGTGGCAGCCGACAACGACGGCTAGTTCATCTGGTCAGAATTCGCCGCTGCCGGATAACTTTCGTACAAGTCTAGCATACCACCCATCATGTCCTTGCATGAGCGTACAGATCTCAAGCTAGCAAGCAATTGCCTCGAATACAGAGCGATATAGCCTGTCACACGGCAGTAGACGAAATCAGTTACCTAGCTCAGACCACCCTTTCTTCTTGCAGGCCTGACCAAAACTGCTCCAAGGTTGTGGAAGACAGACCACTGCGCACCGGCTTCTTGGACCATGCCGCACATGCTCTCGAGGCAGCAGAGCTACTGTGGCGCTTGGATAATCTCACTACCTTATTTGAGAATGTCGCCATGAGTATGAGTAACGCACTTCGTGCCGGAGAGCGACAGGCGCAGAAAGAACGGTCTTCGATTCATCTGTGAGGGGGAAGGTGTTCAGGCCCGTCACGTTGTACCGGATCAGGTGGCCGTGGGTCAGCCTGCACGCTGCTATCCAAGCAGCGGCTATCACATTCTGTTTCCTCACGAGGTTCAACCGCCATCCCGGCGGCAAGGCTCCCGTTTAGAAGTCGAGCGAGTTAGCTGTCTTTTCAAGTCGAACTCTCGTGTCGGATGTGTTGAAGGATAGCAAAACTTTATAGAGGAGTTGAATACAGAAGACAAGGAGTCTCCCGTAATCTTGGTCAAGAAAGATGAACAGCACCCACTAATGCAGGTCCGCTCAGTCTCAGAAAGATCAAGTATTCAGATAATTACGAGTAAGTAGGTCGACGCATGCATTAAACGGAATCGGTTGTATTGAGATACATCTGAATTTTGCTGTTCTCCCCTCAAGTCATAAGATGATGCGTCGCATCCTAAACATTTTCATCGTCTGTAACTTCAAATGGTTGTGTTAGAAGGGTGTCCAAAAATAGGTGCCAGATCATCTCCGCACCGAAGGATCAGGAATGTCTAGTGAGGCCCTCATCGTCACTGAGTTTGTTCACCGGCTCGCTCGGCTCGTTCATTATTCGAAAATATTGACGGATAAACTTAGAACAACTGAATAAAATGCATAACAAGCAGCTTTTCAGCTGATCCTACGCATACTAGGAGAGCAAAGTGTACCAACACACTGTCACATCGGCTCAAAAGTGGAATTCCCACCTGTTGAAGATCTATTTTGATTTACAACCATAACAACTACCGCAGGATCTGCAAGTTGCACCAACAATGAGACCCGTTTAGGCTGCTCTAGATCACTGCATGCAAAGCACATGGGTGGGGGATCATACATGCAGACATGCACCTTTGAAGCCAACAGGTTGCATTGGCTCACAATAGGAAACCATCTGAGGGGCGTTGCAGTAGGCTCCACCGATGGACAAGGGGTTAGAAAGTTGATCATACGAGTGACACTATTTTCTGAATGTGTTGGTCCGTAAATAGATTTTACACCAATGGATCATACTTGGGGTCCGTTTCGATTGTCGGCTTGTAAATGCTTTCTGTGTTGCGTTGTTGAACTATATAAACGTAACTATGTTGACGAGAGGATGTGCCTTGCCCTGTCTTGCTCACTATCCACATAACAATAACAGCATTGTTTTCTTCAAGTCATTTAAGCCACTTTGGAATTTATTGCTCTATCAACTTTCTCGTCTTCAGTCTTTATATTTTCTGTCGACGTCAAGAATTTCAAAATGAAGTTCGCCACCTCCATCCTAGCCACCGCCATTCTCCTTTCAGAGATCGCCCAAGCTCGTCAGGAACTTGCTTCCAAACCAAATGCCCTACATGTCAATAAGCACGCCTTCCATCAGGCCGCAACCGCATCCCGCACATGTAGAAGCATAATAGCGAGCCCTCTCACGAAGCGACAAGCTGGGGTGAGTGTTGGATCTTCAGTAGTCACACAATTGATTGAAAAGAAAAGGCACTAACGACGTAACAGCCTCATTACTGTCAAAACTATCCCTGGAGCGAGACTGACTGGCCCCTTGACGGTTATTGCGAAGGCCTTGCCTACGACGGTGGCAATATTGAATGCTGGCGGGACAACCAGGTAGGCCCAGCTCTGCTCTGCTTGGAATATCAACTGTCGACTGACTAGTTTTAAAGTGCCCTATCGACTCTGTTGATGGGTTGTTGTTTCCATGTACCTGGCACGAGACACATGAGGGCTATGCCTCGTGTGATGGTCGAAACTTTTACACTGGGTTTGATTCACCACCATCATCACCAGAACCCCAGCCCGCAGCAGCCAAAAGAAGCAACAACAAAGCTAAACCGGCCAATGCACGTACAACATCTAAGTCTCCCAAATCACCGCCAGCAAACAAGCAACGCCGAGTGGGAAAATCCAAGCCCAGGCTGGCCACGAAATCGAAAAAGGACCAAGACAGAGTTGCCAAGGCAAAGGCTAAGGGGACCAAGAAATCTGCACCAGCTAAGAAACCTGCACCGGCCAAGAATCCTGCACCGGCCAAGAATCCTGCACCGGCCAAGAATCCTGCACCGGCCAAGAATCCTGCACCAGTAAAGAAGCCTGCGCCAGCCACGAAGCCTTCACCAGCCAAGAAAGCCGGCCCGGCTGGAAAAGCGAAGGGACCTTCGAAGCGCAGGGCACCTTCAAAGCGCATGGCACCTTCAAAGCGCAGGGCACCTTCAAAGCGCAGGGCACCAAGAAAGGCCTAGATTCTCCCAAAGCCCAAAGTGCCTGAAAAGTCCAGGACGCTGCCAAGATTGAAAAGAAAAGGAGGCCGCTTAACCGTCCTTCGGCTTTAGGTTCCTCGGACTCGCATCCTATTTCAGGCGAGTATGGACAACTTTAATTTGTAGGGCATCCTGTTGATAGTCGGTCGGGTGGGTTGTTTGATGTATGTGCTGGCTGAATGATTGGACTTTCCAACAAGGGTAGTGTTCTTAACTGTAACGCCAGAGAGTCGATGACTTTACCAGCTTTCAGCGGAGGCTGGCTCTCAAAGTACCTAGTCGGAAACGGGAAGATTTGGGCTTCGGAAGAGGCCGGATTAGGGGATTTAAACTCGCTGTTACCAATGCAGCCATTATTGGCCTTCGATTATGTATTCTTAATTGATAGAAATAGGTCTCGAATCGAGCCCTCTTGATTTTGGCTCCTTGAGTGGCTGGGAAGCTCATGTTTATCATAGGGTAAAAATATGTATCTCGGATTTGTCAGTTTCGGATGACAATACCCTTTTGTCTCGATAAATGGAGAGCTTTCCATGGGGGTTTCTATATCAGACTCAACTGCTAGTAAAATGTACAAAAATCATATCTGGCTAAGCCCACAACTATATCAAGCTCCAGTTTGGCATCTGACCAGTCAATTAATCTGGAAATTTGCATTTGGTAAGCTGAGGTACCGCGACCAAAAACCCGACAAATCCACATCCCTAACCATGTCATAGAGAATATTCCGAGATAGCTGCTAGATGATTTTGTTTTTCAGTTGATTCTCATGGGTCCGAGTAACGTCGTTGGAGGCCTTGAGATCCGTCATGATGGTAGTCGTGGACTCAACATACTTGCCGTTCACTTTATCAAATGTCAACATCAACTAGCCAGGCGCAAACGATTGGTGAAAAGATCAATTACTTACTAGGGGCTCGATGATACTGATCCACCCAAGCAACTTCAGTGCCAGTGGATAGAGCAACCTTCTGAACAAAGTTTGGGTCGCGAAGGAATTCGCGCGCAACATGCACAACGTCCGCCTTTCCGTTGCTCAAGATCTGAATTTCTCAATGTCAGGATCATGCCTTCAGAATATAAGCAACCAAAAGAAACATACCTCATGAACCGTAACGCCATCTCGGATCCAGCCAACAGCGCCAACAAAGACGTTGGGTATGTTCAAATCCTTGACAGCCTTGGCAAAGGGAACTTGGTATTGCTGGCCGAGCTGAACTTTTTGCCTTCTGTCAGTACCGCCGCTGGATACATCAAAAAGGTCAACACCTTCTGCAGCGAGTATTGGGGCATATCGAAGTGTATCCTCAAGTTCCCACCCCTCGCCAGCAGGCAACCAATCAACAGCCGAGATCTTCCAGAAGACAGGAGTATCCTTGGGGATGTTGCGTCGTACAGCACGAATGACCTCGATGCCGAATCTAGTACGATTTTCAAAGCTACCGCCCCAGCGATCTGTTCGCTTGTTGGTCTATTGAGTAGGTCAGCGTCAGGCATTTGGTAGACGGACGAGAATCAGATAAGTCCAGCTCGGTGGCTGTATGAGACTAGACTCACAGCAGGAGATGCAAACGAATGCACGAGATATCCGTGGGCTCCGTGAATAGTAATAACATCAATCCCGGCTTCGATAGCCCTTCTGGCAGCCTGTCCATAAGCTTCGATCGTTTCCAGGATTTCCTCCTCCGTCATTTCGATGGGAGTGGCGTAGTTCTCGTTCCAAGGCTCCGCCGTTGGACCCTGAACGTGCTTGGAATAGCCCCCGAACTCTTCAGGAACTACCTTGAGGCCAAGCCAAGGGGGGCAAACACTGCACTTGCGGCCAGCATGTTGAAGCTGGATAGCGGCTTTCTGAGATTGAGAGTGTATCAGGTCAACCACTCTCTTCAGTGGAGCAACTTGTCTATCAGAATATAGCCCAGCATCCTGAGGAGTGTTTCTTCCCTACGTGTCGCTTGATTAGCCTGTGGACATAGCACGATGCTTCAGTGGTGCATCCGGGAGTTCTTTAACAGGAAGCTCCTTGGTCTTATGAAACAAGAAATGGAGGTGGGATCACATACTCTCGAAGTGACTGCGGTTGCTTCAATGGTGATAAGAGCGCTGCCTCTCATCGCCCACTGGCCATAGTGCACGACATGGAAATCGCTAAACATACCCTCCTCACAGCTATACATGCACATGGGTGCTACCCAAATACGGTTCTGGAATATTTTCCCTCGAATTTTAATAGGACGAAACGCTGGCGAGACGTCCTCTTCCGTTTGCCCTTCTTTGAGGATTGCCGTGCCAACGGGCACTCGCTGTCGAGGGGTGAAAAACGGCAGGTCATCGACGGCTACGCTTCGGAAGCTAGTGTAGTCATCCTCGGAGATGGAAGCCATTTCTGCAAATCAGATAGTTGTCTTTCGTTGTGTCTAAAACGTGTGACAGTCCCCCGCTGATAGTTTGTAGAGGGCTGGAACCATCAATGTTATGGCGGCTTTTTATCAACTATCCTTTGGTTTGGAAAGATTGAGACCAGGCTCTAGTGCCCACTTCCCAAACGGGGAAATGTTGTAAGGGGTAAGTAATCTGGTACTTGCACCTGGCTGTGATAGATTTGTAATGTGGTAAGATATTCCCAGACTATGATCAGAAAGGCTGCCAGACTGCACTTCATTCACTTGCCCCTCCATGGTTTATATCCTAGACCCCAACCCCCCGGACTCCAGATTACCTTAGTGGACATTGTATGTTCAAGGTTTGCACCATGTCTCACTAGATGTTCCCATTTTCTACCCCGAAATTTCATGTTCGGATCAAGAAATTACCTCAAGTCCTATTGACCCCCTCGCAGTCTAGGACACCAACGACGGCCGACGAGGGGTACGAAAGACGCGTTTTGAGGTTAAATTAATCCGTCGAGGTTCTCGGATTGGCCATTTCCACGGCAATTTCAGTAGCATAGTGCTATGCATGTCAACCATGCTCAAATCCATCAAATGGTATGGCTTCTTCCGAACATTGTTGGTGTAGGTATTTCAAGACTGGGGTAACTACCATATTTGGATTTTTACCCCGTTACCCCTGTTGATTTGGATTAATAATCCAACCTGTCCTCCAACGCGCTTCGTTCAGTAGAAGTAACTATGTAGAAACGTTCCTCAGCCGAGTACTCCTAATATCGCAAGGAGCGTTCTTGGAATCTTATGAGCGGATGTGTTCAAAATAAGATAGTCTGATTTTAAACGCGCAAACGTGTGAGCGAGCCAAATGCTTGCAGAAATAGCATCGAGAGGATAGTTAAAATTTAGGTCGTACTTATCCAAACATATTATTATGCCAGATAAGCTTTAATCTTCTAATTACCATGTACAGGAGCCATACAACACATTTTACCGGCCCTCCTAGTGTCTAATTGGTAGTCTACTTCTCCTTTTATACATATTTACGCATATGACTCGAGAAACTGAAAGCTTTAGGGTAGGCGGAGATTCGTCGCGCCTCAAGGAACTGTGGGGCACATCTGTTGTCGTGGGGGCTGCGCCACATGAGAATGCTGGCCAATCACTTACGAATGTTTGCTGGGCCGAGGAAGACGTGATTGTTGACTGATGACATAAACACACTTTGCACACGCGTGTTTTCGTCCATCATGCTGATTAATAATTAATGCTTCAAAGCCAATGGATGAGCGCTCGACTCTTATCGTCAAGACCCATGATTGGGATAAGTCTTCTTTGCAAATCAAGCGGCCTTTTCTCACATGGTCTCAGCGACAACATTTGCGGATTTCCCGGAAGAATGGCGACTGCCAGTAGCGTGATCCCTTCAATTGGATTCCCCTAGCTATGCGCTTCATAGGGGAAGAAATCTATCCCGGAGATAAGCTCGAAGCCTTTCCCAACCCATTTTGAGGCTAGACAAATAACCCCGCCACTCACGGGCATATGGACCCCCAATCTTCGCCATCGCTGTGTTGCTCTCTGGCGCTTTTGCTAGCCTCCTCATGGTCTTTGGCTCTTGCTGAGGTTGCCTCGTTCCTCAGCCGAACCATTTTGGAAAAGTGCATGAATAAATGCATGGCAACAAGAAATTAGAGGCAGAAACACAGGCGCTGGAGAAACAGATTAGGGATTTATTTGACGGAAATCATGTCTTTTTATGTTAGATGGTGGCCTCGTTCACTTGAGTGAGGCGTACCATTGGGTGGGCCCCTGCGATACCTCTCATTGGGGATTACAAAATCTACAAGTTCACAGCGCTGTAACATGGCGAATATCATTCGTAGCTGACCGTCTGTGGGAGAGAATGGCAAAGTACGTTCTGGCCTCGCTGGCACCGGAAAGCTGTAGGTTGCTGGCGTCTGGCTCCCCTGAATCGCTACAGCTCCAGAAGAGGAAAGACATGCCTAGGCTGGGAATTAGGAGGCGATGGCTTGCAGAGAAGTTGGGCTCGCTCGCGAATCGTCCATATGAGGATAGCCCCTCAATCACACTTCGATTGGTGTTGTAAGGGCTGGTCTGAGTAGTTTCTCCTGACTTGAGATCGCTTTTTTCCCCAACATACCGAGGAATCTCAATCGATAAACATAATGGTGACAGTAACTATTCTGGGCGCTGGGTAAGTGGAATCACCTCTTGCTCCTGGTTGTAAGCTGGTTGCATTAACACACTTTTAGCGTTATGGGCTTGAGCATCGCAAGTCAGCTGCCCTCAACTTATTAGATACATATTCTAGGACAGCACCTCCCGGAGATCCCTTTGATAAAGACGACACGAGCCAATGGGCAGGGGCTTGCTGGGTTGGGGTGCCCATGTCCAGTCCCCGAGATCAGCGCATCCAGCTGGAATCCTTTGCGGTTTTGTGGCGTCTTGCCAAGATCTATCCCGAATCGGGTCTGAGAAGAAGCAAAATGACTGAGATATTTGAGTACGGGGCTTGTGAGGAAATTTGGTGCTCCTCGAAAATTCCAGGTTTCAGATGGCTGGATGCCAATGAACTGCCTGCAGCGGCTAGCTTCGGGATGGAATGTCAGACGCTTTGCATTTCACCGCCCGTATTCTTATCCTGGATGAGACAAAGACTCGAGGCTAGAGGAGTCCAGTTTCACCATAGCAATGTCCGTTCTTTAGCGGAGCTGAGGGACTTCGGCCATGATGTTCTTATCATTGCCACTGGCGCACGAACGAAGGACCCAAATCTTGCCCCTTACCGATTGCAAACCCTCGTTGCTAAGAAAGATGACGATGAATGCTATATCTACCGCGGAAATAGGGAATACTATCTCAACATGTTTGGCAGACCTGATAGCACCACGTTCATCGGGGGAATCAAGACGTTACGCGTGAATTACCGCACGGTATACGATCAAGGCCGCCAGACAGTAAGTCCTCCCCTATCGCCACCACTTACCACGGGAACTTGGTCCATGAAGCATGACACTGACCCTGGTCGAAACTCTAGATTCTGGCGCGTGGACACGAAAAATTGCCCTCAATACTTCCTTCCCCAAATCCGCAAAGGTTACGAAATTCTGTACGACATCGCGAACACGTAAGAATTCCGGCCTCAAGAGAAAGGCGGAGTCATAGTAGAGAAGGAGGTCACCGACGGTTAGAAGGTCGTGCACGCTTGGAGGCAGGAGGATATTGCTCTAGCTTTGGCGTCGCGGAAGAAGCCTCAGAGTTGGTGGCTGAATACACCCTTGAGATGCCGCCGAATCGAATTTGAAGCTCCATGGAAGGATATGTACGAAGGCATAAGTAATGGAGCCGAGTATCACATCCACGTGTTAGCAAAAACAATCCGAGTTGGTTTTAGAGCATTTATAATCAGCACTAAGCGGAGGTCATCTGAGCCCCCTGCCCTTGAAGCCCCCAACACTCTCTCTGCCTGAGTCTCTTTCCTTTTTCGTCGGTAGGGAAACATGTGTATACATATTAAGTAGCCACTAGATGCCCTTTGCAGTGTACGGGCTTTAACCGGTGTTAAACAATAACACCATCGACATCATCAATCAGCCCTGAATAATGAGCAAGGGGGACCGTACATTGGCGAATGGGCGCCTCTGTTTGGAGACCAACATGGAAGCACCTTTTCATATCGGAAGCGGCATTAGAGTGGTTAAGCTATAGCTCTTGTATGTGAGAGGTTTGAGAAAGCAATCAAAAATAGCTCTAATTTTGCGACGCCCTTTGATTTGGTCGGTTCTGTTGAGATATAATTATTCATTGTGTTGAGATGTCGGGTTTGGCATCTTGATTGCTGGTTTTTACTTTGTGCTGAAGCCTCTCATCCGCTGAGGTATAATTAATAATACATGTGTCTAGGCTCGGGAATAGGGAAGAGATGTTGCAGTCTTTTTGGCTCGATAAGACGGTTTTAATGATGCTCGATATGAGTAGCCGATTGATCCGATACATAGGATGATGAATGCCTGACTCGCTTGATTTCAACCGGCTTGACATTGACCCGTTGTTGGCCGTCGTGATGTCGCTTACCGCTCATGACTGGAGCAAGGCCTTATGATTCATAGTTTGTCATCGAGAGGGACAGACCGACCAGAAGAATGATGAGATGGTGGTGTAGGACTCGGCGTGGTGGAAGAAGTATAGTCTGAAAGGGCGGTCTTGACGTAGTTAGAAGACACAATCTCCGTCGTTGCTAATTTTTCACGCGGAGTTTCGGATTCTAAGGCTTCAATCCTGCGCTAACTCCATTATATCCATCTTACAGGCCGCTCCATTGGCCTTTGAGCCCTTTGAGCCTCCAGAAATGACATGCTAATCGACCCACCTAAGCACTTTATCGCCGCTGGGGGTGTCGAGCAAACGGGTCAGCCTAACCGAAATCATGGTGAAGGTCATACAAGCGGTATTCCTGGGCGATAGCGCAGCCTCTGATAGCTCGGATCGCAACAGGTTCCATACGTTTCTGTCGTCATGACTGGGACCAAAACCCCACCATCGAACCGTCATTCCGTTGTTCCTCGAGTCATGTGAATCCACCGCCGTGTGACTTCTCGTGTTTAGGAAGCGATGGATTATATCACTTACTAGACCTATATAAAGGATGGCCATCCTTCCCATAGGATTTTAACTGATCCGCTCTCGTAGTAAAGAAACTACCCTTACAACTTAGAGTCTGCTCCCCAATATCCTTCACCCATAACAACTTTGATCAACAGTTCGACATGGCGTCTACCGATTACAAGTTCGAGGGCTGGCTCGGTCATGATGCCGACAGCGTCAACGGAAACATGAAGTGGGGAGAGTTTGAGCCCAAGAAATGGACAGAGGACGATGTCGACATCCAAATCACCCATTGCGGTATTTGCGGCTCGGACCTGCACACTCTGTCGGCTGGCTGGGGTGCTACCCCTTTCCGTATGTCATCCTCAGCTACTGCGAGCAAGCCCCGTTAGAAGCCTTTGCATGCTGACCATCTGGAATTGAACTACAGCCTGCTGTGTTGGCCATGAGATTGTAGGAAAGGCTGTCCGTGTCGGCAAGAACGTCAAGAATATCGCTGTTGGCGACCGTGTCGGTGTCGGCGCTCAAGCCATGAGCTGCCAGAAAGACGATTGCCCCGAGTGCTCAGCTGGACTTGAGAACTACTGCGGTCGCCCCCAAAAGGTGATTAGAACCGCTGAAGCATCCTTGATTTTGCATTTGTCGATTAACAGATTTTGTACAGGCCAATACATACGGCTCTGTCTATGCCGATGACCAGGGCAAGTCATATGGCGGCTATGCTGATTACAACCGCACAAATGGCCATTTCGTGATCAAGATTCCCGAGAGCCTGGCATCAGAAGATGCTGCGCCTATGCTCTGCGGTGGCGTAACCGTATATAGACCTCTTAAGGTCAACGGCTGCGGGCCTGGCAAAACTGTCGGTATTGTTGGCGTGGGCGGCCTGGGTCATTTCGGAGTCTTGTTCGCTAAGGCGCTGGGCGCAGATCGTGTTATCGGCATCTCCAGAAAGGCCGAGAAGCGTGATGAGGTCTTGAAGTTAGGCGCAGATGAGTACATCGCGACCGACGACGACGAGGACTGGGCTACAAAGGGTCGACGTTCCCTGGATCTCATCGTCAGCACAGTTTCCAGCGAAAAGATGCCAATGAATGACTATCTTAAGCTGCTCAAGGTAGGCGGCAGCCTCATTCAAGTTGGGTAAGTTACCAGATCTAGTCTATAACTATGAACGTCCTTCATACTGACATGGATGCGATATAGCGCCCCTGACAAAGGAAACCTTCCCCCGATTAACGTTTTCATCTTGCTCGGCAACGAAATTAAAATTGGCGGCAGCGGCGTTGGTTCACCTGACGATATCAGAGAGATGCTGGAGCTCGCTGCTGAGAAGAACATCAAGCCTTGGGTAGAAAAGCGTCCGCTGAAGGATGCCAACCAAGCTATCCTCGATGTCGAGGCTGGAAAACCAAGATTCAGATACGTCCTTGTCAATGAGAAACATGCCTAGGATACATGAGTTTCGCGAGGGTTTCCTTCCTTTTGTTTTGTTCACGTAGGCATCGATAGAGGCGAGACTTTCTTTTTTAGAATAAAATGGATAATGATATTACATTAGAAGGTGAATATCTAGGCCCATTAGCGCAATAAATTCTTTATTTATCACAGGTGGTCCATAACAGTTTCTCCAAATCTCTTTGCTCGCTCCGAATCAACTAGCCATAATCTGTTGGGTCTGGGTGGCCCGGATAATCGACCAGCCCCAGCCAAGAATGTATTTGTAACCGTATTTCTGAAAGGCCATATTCAGCTTGCGATCGCCTTGGCACATCGACAGCCTGCATGAAGAAGCGCCGCTTTTCTTGCCCAAAATCATTGAACCTTCTTCTATTGTACCATATGGATGTGGGAAACGGCATTGTTAATTAATTGAATTATTCTCCTTTCATTATTTCCCATTTCCCCCCCAATGCTAATGCAGCGTGGTGGGTCGATAATCTGAGAAGTTTCTGAAATCACTATTGTTCAACTCACCATCGCTCAACCTGCCATTGAAGATTGGCCTATCAATCGCAAAGCAGATTCAATAGTTAGACAATGTGCCAGTAGTTTCGTATGTTCAATAAGTTGGAAGATGAAGCGAGGCTGGAAAAGTGTATTCAGTATTCTTGACAATGTGTTGCTCGTCGCCGCAACCTCAAGCCGGTGAGTAGGTAGGCGATATAATATTCTCCCTCTAGCTGCACTCCTCGCTTCATCACCTCTCCTCATCTTCATCTTTCACCTCGCAGATTCGTATCCCACATTCTACAGTTTCCCAATTCGTCTTCTTTGGCTGTTGGACCAGTCAACTTCAAACCATGGCACTCGAAAGAGATCCTAGAAAGACCGGAATCCTCCAACTTCCTGATCTGGTTATCCACCGAATCTGCACGTTCTTCTGCAAACACTGTGAGCCGCCGTCACTTGGTAAAGAAGATGCGCCTGACCATCTCACGCATCGAGGACAGGCAACACTACTAAACCTTTGCACAGTCGCAAAATTCCATTACAGCGCGCAACGCATTCTCTACCATAACATCGACATCCAGATCCCCCACAATAACCTTCAAAAGCCCATTGAAGTCACAATCGGGTTTCTCACCAGCCTTAGGATCAACCCCTACCTGAAGAACCATGTCAAGTCACTGAGCATCCAAGACGCGCCCTGGGCTGGACCCGGCAAATGTCATGTTCGTGAGTCCTACGACAATCCACCACTGCCTGAATCGCTTCTGAACGATCTGAGGACTCTCTCGCGCGGCCTTCGAATCCCGCTCTCCAACGTCCAGCTCGAAAAAACCAATGTTGTGGAAACACTGATGCAATTGATCTTCATCTCTCTACGGACATCACCCGAGTTGAAACTCGCTGTTCGCCCTCAAAGTCCTTGGAAAGACGAGTTATTTACTGTTTGGAAGACTGCTAGTTCCCTCGGAGATCATCGTGCAACGCTGTTTCTAACACAACGTCTCAGTTTCATCCTCCCGTCGATTCCAAAGTGCTCCTGTCATAGAAGATTGCATGGGCTCATGCCTCATCAATACATCGAGAACATGGCAGCTAGATTTCTAATCGGCCAGGCCGCGCAGTCGCTTCGGAGCCTAGCTTGCACGGCAAACGATCTACAGGATACTCCTCGTCTCCCGCAGCTTCAAGATCTGAAACTCTGCATCCAAGAGGAGCCCGCACCACATCTTGCATCAGCCATGGAACAGCTCCCAAGCCTTCGTCGATTGTCGTGTGAGTATTACGGACTTAGCTGGACCAGCGCTGAACCCCCCCATAGGCTTTTCCAGGCTCTGAAATCCTGTTCCGCCACTCTCCAGGAACTGAAAATATCGGCAAACAAGTCCATAGTTCTCGAGTCACAGCTTATACAGGCTGGGCTCCGCAGCCTGAAGCAATTCAAGATCCTTCCACTCCTGGGCTTCAAAGTGCTCAGGTCATTCTCATTCGACGGCAAAATCATGAGGCGTTTTGCTAACTCCCTTGAGCAGGTGATGCCATCCCCCGATGGCGATGAACTTTGCCCCGTCTTGCTGCCGGACTCGCTGGAGACGATCCATATCAACTTGGACGAAATAAGCCAGACGGGCGACGGGGAATTCGAGAAACCCTGCATGGACGCCATTCTCCATGCAGGGCAGAAAAACTTGCGAGTTGTGGTTATTTCGTCAAGGCGCCGTCACCAGCATAAATTCACAATGGCGAATCTTAGGGCTGGCCCAAGAGGATCGCGACAAGAGTGCGGCTGGGAAATCGCAGAAGTACACGACGACGAAAGACTCCGTTTGACGCAAGAGGAAGATTTCCCAGCTTGGGACGGCTGTTAAGCCAGGAAGCATGGACTGATGGTTACGTTTGTTTTTTTTAGAGGTTTTGCTTTAACTAGGTTCCGTCAAAATATATTTCACATTTCCCCTGATGGAAAAAAAATCATCCAAAATTCGCGAAACAGGACGTGAACCTTGACTTCCAATCGCCCAATAATCCTAATGCACAATGTCGCCTTTCCCTTACCCAGCCTGTAGAAAGAGATCCATTAACTCCGAGACATGAACCCCGGAGCTCTTAGCACAATGCGAAATAGGTAAGCATGAGAATGGAAGCCAAGAGATTATTCAATCTAAGATAGCTAGTCCCCCCAGTAATCAAACATGCTATTTTTCTGATGCCATGTGTAGTGATTCATGTGGAGGGTAGCATCTGACCGTTACCTATTCGTCCCATCTGACGCTCTTGCGCCGCTAACTCACAGTATTGAGGTAGGATTGACCCATCAAAACGGTTGGGGGGATAAGCGCAACGTTGACACGCCTTTCTCCAAAGAGGAAGTTGGGAACTGTCAACTTCGGTCTTATGATGCGACGTAGCCACGCCCGTCCACATGTTATGGAGTTCTTAAATCTACCGATGTTACCGGATGGTATTGCGTGCCAGTCCTCAAACAGGCATAAGACTCTGCCTCTCATCAATATCTACAGGGCTGGAGACTGGGATAGATAGACCGGATGACTTCCACCACGCCGAGGAAGATAAGGCTGAGTAATGTATTACCCCGAGACTGTGATAAACCGCTCGCACCCTGCTGACTCTTGGTTTTGTTGATGCAACACCGCGTAAAGCCAGGGGAGCAGCATGTGGATATATTCAATATCTTGGGATCTTGGGGAACCAAAGTCCGTCCTCCTTACGCTGGGGTTCGTACCAGATGACTAGATTTCTCTCTGAACTACACTAGTGCTGACACCTATCAATTCATACCACCTTCTTCTTTTTCAAGTATACATACCATTTTACTTGCGGTTCCATAGTGTAGGGCATGACCGGAAGTCTATGTTGAATCGTGTGAAATATCACTCAATGTGCCAAGACGTTACAATATCTTATTGAGAAGTAGGCTGTGGAAACATCAGTGTACTTAAAGCTGTAGAAAACGATATAAAGGACCCATTTGTCCTTGGATATCTTGGGCTTCGCGAACTGTCCCAAAGAGAAGATTTATAAACAAGCTAAAATAAGTTGCTTGATATCTTGCTTGTATATTGTCTTCATCATGATCAGCCTCCTTTCTTCGGTAGTTGCTGCTTTGCTTCTGTCCAGGGCCACGGCTACCCCTGTGGCCCCAGAAGTCAAGGTCAGCAACCTGCTGGGATATGACCCTTCCTTCGTCCGACCTCTCACAGCGGATGATATCATTCCAGAAATCACTTACTTGACCGCCGAGGACATTGCCCAAAACGCAACGTTCTCTGGTCTTGAACCTCTGATTCCCGAGGGCGCAGACAGCACAGAAGTCAGCAAACGCTACATAAATGGCGCTGATGACCGCTATGTTTACAGCGACACAAGTTACCCATGGGCTGCCACTGGCAAGCTATACTGGAGTAACGGCGTCTGGTGCTCCGGCGCTCTGGTCGGACCTCGCCATGTCCTGACTGCCAAGCATTGCCTTACTTCGGGTGCTACCGGCTACTTTGCCCCGGGCTTCGACAACGGAGCCCGCTTCGGTGAGGGTGTTGTTACTGTGGCTGTCACTACCGACATCGAGTGGGGTACGCCCTGTGGCTGGAAGGGAGATTGGGCTATCCTCATTATAAACCGACGATTGGGTGATGAGCGCGGATACTTTGGTGCCAAGTATCCTGACGCTTCACTCGTCGACCAACCCATCTTCAACCACATTGGGTATCCTGGTGACCGAGATAGCGGCAACAGGCCCTATCGTACAAATGGAAATACAGTCCAGTCTTTCCGTGCGTGGGATTGTGATTCTACTGGACCTTTCTACACTGACACCGACACTATGGGTGGTCAGTCCGGTGGCCCTCATTGGCAGAATGTGAACGGTGCCCCTTATATCTGGGGAACTTTATCAGTCACATTTGGTTCCGGGACAGTTGCCTGGGCGGGATGGGGTTCTGGTGATGGTATGGTCAGCACTCTTGGGCGTCTGAGGGCCGAATACCCCTAGTGGAACTGGAAGATTGGAGACTCCCAATGTATTCAATTCAAGTGTGGTAATTTTGTAGCCTTCTGGTATGCAATGAATACACATACATGTACCTGGTCATATAATCCATGTCTGTTACGCTTCTGCGAGTGCCTTCTTATTTTACCAAATGAATCTGTGACCCAACCTACGGCCCGGTCAACTCACTACTCACGTAATGACGGTAGAACTCCTCCGCTTTGTCCTCGATTTATGTCTGTGGTTGTTGCACGGCCTTAATCGCGTACTTCACCGCTGATAGAAGCTCTCCACACCCGCAGGCCTTCGGTTGTCGAGTTCAAGGCCCTCTTTCATCCTTCGCCGCCTTTCTTCCACCCAATGTCCCCATACCCAATACCGCCCGGTCCTCTCAGTAGCATCTGGGTCTTCTAAATTTTGGGGAAAGAACTTTTGTTTGAGTTTCTGGAAGCTATCTTCCATGCTGACTCTTTTGTATTCCTCCCCATTGACTGTGAAAATAAATTCTTCAGCCACCTGCTCATAAATGATCATCAAGTGCATGAATTCATAACACCAAAATTGAACAAATAACAAGTTCTCCAATTGTTTAGACAAGTGTGACGCGAGGCGTTCTTCAGGTGGCGTATCTACATCATCATGGTCTCCGTACGTGTATCGTAAGTGGCGAGCACTCCGGCCCTTCGGGTAGCGACTGTCATCCATGAGAATACTGGTATGCTGAGTGCCATCGGTAGGTGCAACGATGTCGATGAAGATCTTCCTGACAATGTATCTTGGGGCGATGCTGTCGTCATCTTCAGGATGGGTGCGGTCTAAAAGGCCGGGTCCACGTTTGAGGAAGGCAGTGAGCAGCCCGTAGAAGACCCTATGAAAGGTAGGCGAGTGACACATCATTCGTGACCACGTCGACCTGTACCGAAACTGGTCACCTAGATCTTCGGGAGGGTTAAAGATTCGAAAGGTTGCATGGACAGAGTCGATGTACTGTGTCTCGGGGAGCTTCGGGATTGACCAAGTTGGCCAGAGGCCGGACTCTTTGACATACATGATGTCGACATCGCAGTCCGTTGGAGTGTGTCGAAGAAAGTGGCTGGCTTCGTCATGGATCTGTTTGTTTAGCTGGAGGAGAGAGAGCGCAGGGTTTGTGGGAGCTCGATGCCAAATGCCACGTCTGAGAAAGTCCCATTCATTCCAGATGCCCTGGCTGACATATTCACCATATGGCAACCGCTGGCGGTGTTCTTGTTCGGAGATAGGAGATTCCGGTGGCTCTACTAGCGAGCAGATGATCCAGTAAAAGATTTCTTGCCTAAGCTCGAGGGGTATCTTGAGTAGATGGGCCATGTTGCTACTTGTGGGGGATGTTTAGGTGTAGGAAGACAATGTCGAGCGGGGGTGAAGGGGAAGAGCTCGTCGGAAGATTGTCTTAGTTGCTGCCTGGAGGTAAGCTTAGTAAGTTGCTGCATGATTGGAAAATGAACCAAGAGCCTTCCTGATTGACGTTAAACAAGCTCTCCATCTTCGATAATCGGGTGTTGGATGACATGAAAAGCAATTGTAACTTTGAACAATTTATTTTTGTACTTCGATAGTGAAGGGTTTTACGGCCGAACTTCATACAGTACATATAGCTCATCCTGACAGGGGATTCAGTACGTAGTATTTCAAGGATTATGACTTTAGTGTTAGACCTTGTTGGCTGTGTCTGGATCATGACTCTTAGCTATTTAGAATATACCTCCCTGTTCATCGTAGCCTTTACCATCTAGTAACATCGAATGCATATCATATTCGGCGCTACGAACAGCCGGATATCGGGGTCTTGCCGGTCTCGCTGCGAGCTAAACCAACAATAGGAATGTTCAAGCGATACCCCTGTCCATGAGCTGTTTCCCCCGCTTTCCACTGATACGGGCAGTCTCTTGAACTTTCCGATATTGGTTAGGTTCGTTGCCCTCAGATAAAATCAATTTTACGACACAGATCATTGGATAGCTATTCACTGGTCCTTCATTGTCTTGGCTAATCTATGCAACATGACCCTCCGACGGCTGATGGTCTTTACACCTATTGGACCATTTGGAGGGATGATGGGGCCGTCTCCTAAACTTTCTCTTGCTATCGCTTCGTTTCCCCGTAATCCAATGTATATTAAGCTGACTTTCTCCAGCTTCATCAACTTGTCGGTTTCTTAACACATTATCCCGTCCATTTCAAAGCAAAGTCGTTTATTATTATTTACCCCTGTCGTATCTTGAAGCTTCATCTTAGCCTTGACTCAATCGAGCCATGGCCTTGTTAACCTTCCCTGCCCTCCTGGCTGTTGCCGCCTTATTGTGCGTAGTTGCCCTCGCGAGGAAGTTTTACTCTCCTCTTGCCAGAATCCCGGGTTCCAAGTTATCTTTGTTCAGCTCTGTCCAATTGCGATACCATGAACTGCATGGAAGACGGACTGCGTTCGTTCATAGCATGCATCGGCGCTATGGGACAGCCGTCCGGTTGGGCCCCAATGAGGTCTCCTTCGCTTCTGCGTCAGCAATGAAAGACATATACATGTCGAAAGGAAGCGGTTTCGACAAGACTGAATTCTATGATCTGTTCCGGCAATTTGGTCTCAGGTAAAGAGGCCTCATATCGCAATGTATCGAAGAACGGCCATGCATGCTAACTCGACAGAAAGTACGATGTTCTCCGATAAGAAAAAGGAACCGGTAAGGTACTCTGCCTGTCAATATGAGATACAAAGTTACTAACAGCTTATGCATTCTTTTAGCATAGCAGGAGAAGACGAATTCTAGCAGATCGCTATGCAAACTCCAACATCATGCGTGAAGACTCGCTGCACGGAATCCAGCAACGATCCCAGAACTTTGTTACTAGGATTAAAGAGAGTCCACAGCAGGATTTGGACATCTATGTAAGAGATTGGGACTCGGTTTGTACAAATTTAGCAGTGCGACTTACTTTGAACAGCTTCATCTTCATAATTACGCATTCGATTGTGTCACACACCACCTGTTCCACCCCCATGGAAGTAATTCACTGTTAGACAAAGTTGATGAAGAGATAATGTGCGAAGTATCGTTTGACAATAGTCTTGTTCGTAAGTCACGTCCTATCCTCCCTCCTCGCTGAGGAAACGAAGTTGAACGTTCTGTTAATGAGTAACGCCATTCAAAGGTCGGCTAATGATATTTTATAACCCAACATTCGGCCATTTTCTCGGAAAGATGGGCTTATTTGGTGCACAGCGTGCCATCCCTCGTGCCCAAGCCTTGGTAAAGAACGCGGTCAAACAAGAGAATTCTGCTAGCTTTACCCTCGTTGGTGCTCTCCAAAACGGAAAGGGAAGCCTGGATTCCACTCAAATTGCCTCTGAGTGTATGGATCACATGGTCGCGGGAATTGAGACGACTGGCGATGCACTCTGTTTTCTCATGTGGCAACTGTCCCAGCCTGCATATGTTGGTCTCCAAGATCGACTTCGCACTGAGCTGACAGAAAATGCACACATGTCTATCCATGAATTGCCGTTTCTGGACGCGATCGTCAAAGAAGGGCTCCGAGTCTATCCCTCTATTCCTATGAGTCTACCTCGATGCGTACCTGCAGGCGGCGCAACAGTTGATGGGTACAGGCTACCTGAGGGCACAACTGTCAGCTGCCAGCCGTTTTCGATGCACAGAATGGACGAGAATGTGTTCCCAGCCCCAGATAGCTTCAATCCAGACAGGTGGCTAGAAGAGAAGGGAAACGCAGACCGCAACCGGTTATTTTTTAGCTTTTCTGCTGGAGGAAGAGCCTGTATTGGTCGACAGTAAGTCCATCCTATGATCATCGAAAATCCTATCCTTGTTAAAATATATTTGCTAACACTTCATGGGAATAGTCTCGCAACGGCTGAGATGAAAACGCTTCTGCGTGATATCTACGGCCAATTCAGAAGCACACCAGCTGATGAAATGACGGCGGACATGACAATGGATGATCAAATTTTCACCACGAGGCCAAAGGGGCAGAAGTGTTTACTTAAATTCACAATTGTAGAGTAGTAACTTGAGAAGATAGCCAAATTGACAGTGGAGTAAAGCAATGTAACGATCTGAGATGAAGAGTAATACACCGTAATGACCATTTCTCGTAACTCATTCATACAGCTCAGGTTAGTCCGTTACCCGCGCCTCACAAAGATACGATTAAAATGTTGAAGATTCCATAGGGCATTTGTGTATTCTTTTTAATAAAGGGTTCAATACATATATCCATCTATGATTTTAGCCAGCCGCAGAGAGGATGAAACTAGAGAGTTTAGCTGTCCACGTGAGGCAGTTATAGATGCAACCCTCATGTTAAGATCAGTGGGCCTTGACTCAAATAGTGCGCTAATGACTGTCTCCCGAGGAAATCCGCCTGTCTCTCCCCACTGGAAAATCATTCGTCGCATTCATCTCCAGAGACCCCTCACCACCTCACAGGATGGCTCGAGAAACGGATGCATCGTCTTTTAATACAGGGGGGTCTCCCACACGGGCAAGAAAAAGATCCCATGCAGGATGCTCACGCTGTAAGCGTCGCCGCCAGGGTTGTGACCAGCAAAAGCCGTCATGTGGCAGATGCCTCTCCGCGGGCAGCCAATGCATCTATGAAGTTCGATTGAGATGGGGAGGCAAGCCATTCGGTAAATCCACCTTCGGCAAATGTTTAAACAATATTGAGAGATTAGAGAGTGCATCCGCTGGCGGTTTTGTGTATGGAATTCGGGCCCAGGCATCTCTAACCGACCACAAAGATGGGACTCAGCCGTCTGCGACGGCCTCTGATATCGACACTACAAGCTCATACCAAACAGTTTCCACGTCACGAAACCATCTGTGGGATTCTCAGGTGCCGGATATTCTTACAGTCCCGCCTTGTCTCGTGTCCGAGGCTGGAGAAATTCCTATACCGCAGCCTTCAACTGATGGAGAATCCAACAGGGACGAATGTTCAATCCATGAGGAAAGCAGTCAAACTTACATGATCTCAAGACCTCTCGACCCTATGACTCTTCTTCCACCCACTGCTAAATACCTCCTGCAGTATTACCTCTTACAAACGACACGGCTAACCGTACCAAGTGACTACGCTCGTGATGAGATATGTCGCTTCGTCGTGCCGATGGCACTTGAAAATCGACCATTACTGTTCGCAATTATGACATTTGCCGCAGTTCACTTGCATTCTAATGGTATGCTATCGGGAGAGCCAGAAAGACTCATCGACAAGCTTCACCAGAGCAGCATTCAAAGCCTCCAGCCAACACTTCACGATCGCGATTCGGCTGCGCAAGCCTTGTCATTGGCGACAACTAGAACGCTCTGTCAGGCGATGATTTATCGTGGCACTTCTTCCTGGCGCGTGCATCTTGATAATGCGAGATCCGTCCTGCAACATGCACACTTTAGGAACGGCGCAAATCAGAATTGCTCATGCTCAGCGATTCATGGCTTTCTGTCCAGTTGGTATGACAATACTGAAGCTCTAGCAGCTCTCACGCCGCTCGGGTTACGCCATGGCCAGTTGGAGGTGAGATGTCTCAGGAGTGTTGACGTCCAATTTGATGTCTTTGGAGGCACTGCATCTGATCTCCCCAGTCTTCTGAGGGAAGTGGGCGCCATGGTGAAGGAGAAAAGAAGCCGGCGTAAATCCCAATCCATTCCCACTGGCAGCGGGGATTCAATCTTGTCAGATAGCGACATCGACTTGGAGGCTGAGGCTCTCGTTCGGGAAGTTCGCCGCCGATTAGAACGTGACACAGTATCGAATTTTATATGCGATCGACACCTCCCCGCCGCCCTCTCGGGCGACGATGTCCAGGACTACGTGTTAAGTAACGCTGGGTACCTCTATACCGCACTGCTATATATATATTGTGGCATTCAGGCACTCCCGATCTCGTCCCCAGAAGTCCAAGATGTTGTCAATGGCTTGGTTTGGTGCAGCCAAAACATGAAACGATCCGTAGGCTTTTCTCCACGGGTGCTCTTGGTGACTCCGTTGTTTACGGCAGGATTATGCGCGGTGGGAACTGCACGAGCCGATGTGAAGGCTGCATTAGAAGATATTGGAAATTTGGTGGGGATGCCTCATATCCCTACTACACTGTCTATTCTGGAAGGAGTATGGGCGACATTCGATGGAAACGCCGAGAATGAAGATGTCTGGTCGTATTTCGGTGAGTTCTGTTTCAGTTTTGGTCATTTTTGGTCTTATTCTAACTGCGGACAGAAACGACGACCTCTGACTTTATCACGTATTGAGATGGGACTTGATACAGCTGGCTCTTTTTGGAAGCCAAATTGAGATATTTACCGCCGTAATTAATATAGCTGCCACATGGTACGTCTAGCCCGTCAAAAGTTCTGTACTTTGTGAGTTGCATGTTGGCCTGCAAGCGGCACAGCTATCCTTTGGACAGGTTTCAGGCTCAAGAGCCACGTATGCAATGAATATCAGTTGATAAAAGCAAGCCATGTCCCCTCGGAGAAGAAAAAGTTCAAGATAAGTCAACACTATCAACATCAATGTAAAATGAAATTCAGATTTATATTTTTTATCCTCGCCACTGCCTCCTCGGTACTCGCATCCCTAGATCGGCCTTTATTTGTTGGTCTTGGGCGGCGGAAGAGTCGAATCCCCCGGTTTATCACCATCTTAGACCATCCGTACGTCAAAGAATATCAACGTGCCATTGAAAGTCTCAGCGACCCTGTGCAATTTTTTTGCTACCCCGAGTCGCAGCTGGGAGCCCTTCTCCCGCCAATACCAGATGACATATTCAAGAAGCTGAGCCTTGAGAACAACAGATGGGCTCACACAGTCGAGATTCTATCCAGCTTTGTGGATTGCCCTCTGGCAATAGAGAAGCTTGAAGAGCTGAATGTAAAGATCAGCTCTTCATCTCCTAGTAAATATCATAAACCTTCAGCAAAAGCCTACCCCATCTTTACCCGACTACTCAAGGAAGCTGTACAGCTTAAGACTCTGGCGTGGATGGACCCGTATCCGGAATTCGATTCGCATGATGTGACTTCGGCGTTGCATAAATACTTGGCGGACCAAAAGCTCAATCTTCCAAGTGTCACTACCTTGATTCTTGGGCCTAACGCAGAGTTCTTTGTGTCCGCGGCACCCAACCTACAGAAGATATCCTCAGCGCCAGGTTTTGCGTGGTTGGGGCGCGGTTTCAACTGGCTCCACAGGTATGAAAAAGGGCCGCAGCGGCGACTTGTACGATCTCTGAGCCCAGCAAAGCAATTGGAGGACGTTGAACTGCGCTTTAGCTTTAATAGGGACTCAATTGCCGACCTTGTTAAGGCAGCCCCAGGAATGAAGAGGCTGTTGTTAGAGGAGTTGAGTGATGGGGATCAGCAATATGAAGAGATTGGCTACGAAGATTTGAAGGTAATGATGCCCCTTCCTTCTCCTCTGAGAAGGAAAAGAAGTACAGAGCTAAAGTGCAAGGCTGCAAGTGATAGCAATGATTAATGCTGACTTGAATCTAGAGCATTATTTTGGAGCTGGCCAAGTTAGAGAGCCTGACTGTACTTCGACTGCCATACGTAAATTCACTGGGTATTAGCTCGTTTCCAGATCCTGGTAAAGGTTGTGGTCATGCGTATTCTACGCTTGGGGGAACCAAGTTAGCACGGATCCACCTTCTCCATGAAACCCGAGAAACAGAAGAAGCCGCTGATATCATTCTCCAATCACTCCCGCAACTCACGAAGCTCTGCATCAAGGAGTGTGCCGACGTCAAAGCAGGCAAGATCGTCCGATGGCCTTGGACTGGACGGCTGAGAGATCATATTCTGGAATCCTGGCCTCGACATAATTGGATGGATTCGGAAGATGATGTGAAGGAAGATCCAGATGGTCCCGTGCTCTACTCGTGGGAGGAGGACGAGGAATGGTTCCCGACATCCAAAGAGCACAGTATTGATGAGCTATGAAACAAGTCTCGCTTACAACAAGCGAGGTTAACGGTTATATTTTAGGAACTGAATTGTTTCTAACATATAGAGTTGCTTGATTATTCACTCATCGAATAGCCTCGATCTGACCAATTTATTCACTCTATAATACGATTATTGCCGCAACATACAATATCGTGAGAGCATGGGTAACAGGAGCGAAGCTGTTACCAGAAAGGCCTATAGCTCTTTGCCAAGTACTAACGAGGACTTACCACCCACGGTTTTGTTTGAGCTCATACCAAAAGTTGCGGAACATCCACCCATCGAAGTCAACAATCTCCAAGCCCTCATCCATGATGAAGGCGCCTGCACCAGTTGGCTTCCAGTCTGCGAATTGTTAGTCTCCATAACAGTGCTTACAATGAGGGGAAAAGGTAATTTACCATAGACTAGAATTGTGATTTGTTAGCAGCTACTTCTAAAAGAGGAAAGGGAAAAGGGGTTAATCAACTTACAGTCATCCATACCGAAACTATGTCCCATTTCATGCTGCATATAAGTCATAGGACGAGCCTGGATCTCCCGGTCAAAAATACTCTTCTGAATGCGCTGGCCCCAGTCGCCACCGGCGCCGCCTCCAAAATCTTCCGAGATCCATAGAGACTGGTCATAGTGGTTGTCAGCACCAGCGGAGCATCCCGAGTAGTCGCCATCCTGGTGGAAGAATCGACCACAGGCCGGTGCGCATTGAGGGATCCCCTCAGAGTCCTTGTCCGTGTAGACCTGAATTCCCTCAGTTGAGCCTTGAAGAAGGCTCTTGTCGCTGACGGCCCAGCCGACTACTTTAACCTTGATATTGCTGAATGGAAATCCATTGTATCCATAGACCCAGGTGAACCAGTCATCATATGCCTCTTGAGCCTTGGCCTCTATCTGGGTGCGGAGTGCCTCGGAGACTGTTTGAGTTGATTCCCAACGAACGCAGTAATTGATTTGTCTATCCCAAACTTAGCCCCGGTGGACATAGTTCCGGCGGATAATTACTCACCCTTTATTGGCCATGATTTGATCCCAGCCATAATTTTTGAAGGCAAAGATGTTTCCTCCATTGTAAGTGCTCGAGACGTGATCCCACACTTCTTTCAACGGGGCAGCAATATTACTCGGGGGGTTCCAACCGCTCTCGTTTTGTCTCTTGACAAGATGGCTGGAGGCTTCAATTGTTCCATCGGGAGTAGACTTCAGGTACAATGCGGTCGAGGAACCAGCCAGGGCCGCAATCAGAGAAATGGAGGAGACACGCATGGTAAAAGAAAAGAAGATAACCTCTAGGGCAATTGAAAGATGATGAAATGAGTTGAGTGAGCGTGACTTAATTTTTCCACGTTTGAATCCATCCCAACACTTCTATATAGTAGTCTTTGGTCCGGAGTAGACGGTTCCGGGTTTTCCTGTCTTGGGACGAGAACCCCCTGTCGTCCCGTTTTACCTCACCAAGGGGCAGCGCTTGGATGTTTCGGAAAGGGCTTTAAGCTTGTCGAGACCCATTTTATACGAGAACCTCGTGTAATTTAACTACTTCTAGTTGTATCCTAGCTTGTGATGTTTCACGATCTTGTTTTGTGGCATGCAACGGTACAACGGAGGCACGCGAGCCCCAACGGTTGGAATTTCTCCGTCAACTTATTGTCGGTTAAACAAGGTTATTGCTCTCCCCTGAAGCTGAAGGCCATTAACGGAGCAAACGGAGCAGATAGAGTATTCAATTGAGGATAGTTCATATGGTACGTAGTAAACAACTTATTGAAATACGTAATGTAAACCATCCGTCGAACCCTACCCCTGCCATCCATGACCTCAGTATAGTCCACTCAGCATCCAGCTTAATGTTCTCGCTAGGCCCCTTGATATTCAAACATCTTTCAACACAAATCTGGTGTATGGATTCTTCGATGGCATACCGAATTAGAAAAAATTTGACCTGACTCCACTTAAGAAGGATTCCTTACCTGAAAATCCTGAGTTCCGCGAGTTTGGTAGGCAACACCTGAGAAGTCACTACCCGGGAACTTTAGTTCCCATTCATCCAGTACCTCTCGATCAGTCCGAAACACGACGTCCAATACGTTGCCCTGGTAGTTGAGGGAAATAGTCGAAGAAGTTCCCTTCTTTTCCAATCGGGCAAGTCGTGCTCGACCCAGGCTACTGGACATGCCTGCTGATCCCCACTCAGTGTTCCATGATACCCAACGAACAGCTCCAGGTTTATCCGCGGTTCTGTGACTTGGCTGTGCGAATCCGAACTCCACCCTTGGCTCCTTGCCCTGGAGCATGGCGGAGGAGAACACGGGCAGTGCCTCGAAGACGGACTCATCCGGCTTGTCGCTTGGGTCTGCGTCGTCCTGAACATGTACCCGGAAGATTTTGTCATCATCAGACCATGTTAAAGTCAGAGGGTGCGGTGGAGCTGCTTGTTTCTTGCCCAAAGGCTGGGCTACAATCTTGGTGGCGCGATGGTAAACGCCTGTCCACTCGAGTATCTCTCTCATCATCTTGAGATTGATTCGAGAGCCAAGACTACCATATTTCGGGCTCTTTCTCTTCGGGCCATAGTTGCTAATCAAAAGAGAACACAGTGGTAAGCTGCCTGATAGTCAGAAAATTTGCTTTGGGGGACTTACTGGACTGCTACAGCCACAGGGCTCCCGTTGTATCCCACCCAGACAACGGAGCCGCTGACACCAGCTTCAGTAGGCACCAAGTACTCTAGCTGATGTTCCTTCAGCAGTGGGTTGATAAAATTGCCAGTGCTTCTGGTGGGCTTGTCGCCCTGTTGAGCTGAAACTAAGTAGCTGGACACGTTACAAAGACCGTCAATTCTGTCCTCCTCTCCAAGTCGGAGCGCAAACCCAAACGCCGTTGTTGGAGGCGGTGGGGTGCTGTTTCTGTCCACAAGAATTATACCAAAGTCGTCAATTGCAGAATCCTTGGTTGGTGTCTTGGAATACACGCTACTAATGTGAGTGTCTTTCTCTTCAATCTGGGCCCAGCGGTCCGCTCCCTGCCACCACGCTCGAAACTTTGTTGTCCTCGTTCCATCCACGTCAATCAGGTTGTGCGCGGCAGTGAAGATGACGGCCTTATCCTGGCCCGGGATATTAACAAAGAAGCCGTTGCCTCCTTTCTCTAATTCCAACATAAAGTGAGTAGTTAGATTCTGTCACACAGGGAGTTAGCCCACTTACCTGCACCGCCCTTGACGAACCGCAGCATAACAACAGCCTGACCGATGACAGAGTCGTCCAACGAATTCACGCCGAATCGAATTAATTCCTTTTCTCTCTCTCGGCCATGTCCTGAATCCCCGCGGCGGTCTCTATGCCACTGGCTTTTTGGAACAAGTGATTGGACCATGGCTTGTATCGACAACTCAATAACATAAACGAAAGAATCGAGTATCGCCAGTGAGATAAGATTGAAGCAAAGCTATCACATACAGAGCATTCTTTGCCACGACGGCTTTCAAGTAAACGCCTGTTGGCCACTAGCTCCACAACAGGATGCCAGTATTCAACGCTCCTTGTCAGGTTGAGCTGGTATGCAAGAGGCAGTCAACGTGCGATCTCCCTGAGACGTATCATTCATCAATACACGCTCTATCTTTCAGCTGACATGGTGTGTCATCTGACATCTATATCGAATTACGTGATGGGTCGGAAATGATACACTCTGCCGCGTCGTCCCTAGCTCATAGCGGTTACGGTAGAAAGGACAGCTGAGGATCTCCGAACGGGGGTCAATGAAACCGTGATATTATCTGAGTCTACTAACTTGGCAATATTTAATACGTCAACAAGAGCTGAACTGCTGCATTTGGAAGGGACCACACAATAATTTGGGATGGATGGGTGTTGGAATGAGGTCTGCATATCAGCCAGCATCCCTTTTGAGCCTGAATCAAGTTTGCTGCCAATAGTTCACTGTAAGACTCTCACCGAGCCAATTGCTTTGGGAAAGATCTGCCCATCAATGCAAGCTGAGAGTTAATGCAGCGCCATCAGATACCCCGCTTGATCCCATCATCTCACACTGAGTAGTTTACGCGGCATCATTCGAGCTAAGAATGCAGTGCTCATCATTTCGGTTCGCTTGCTTTGCCGATACAACCCGATTATTGGTAAGGGGACACCCCAACAGGGAGCTACATCAGCATACGCTCGCAATCAGCTACATAATTTTAGTATACCCCGAGAGGGATGCTGGTGGACGACGTGTCCTTCTAACTACCCAGTATCTCTCTATTAGACTCTCAAATCTATGCAATTTCCCGTTCTCGACATCGAAAAGCCTTAACTCGCGAGACAGCTAGTTGTTAGGTAGTCAATACAGAAGTTCCTTGCTCTGGCTGGAACTGTTCAGCTCATGTATTCTGACGTATCTGGCAGTTTGATCTGCCGGCTGCACGCATACATTGCAGCGGCATAAGAACGCGCGTAGATCAAAACGGAATTCGCTTGAGTTCATCTAATCCAATATTACTACCACCTTTCCTGCATGAACTCGGCTCCTTCGGTACAAATGAGCGGTTTTCGTCGAGGGGGTTGTCGATGAGCAGCGGGACCCAATAACGGCTCTGCCCGCCCGTATGCACTGCGACATCGCATTATTTAGTTAATTAAGCAGGACGACGTTCGTTGGCGCCGTATTATGTGTAATGTACCGTCAGGTCTTTTATCGATTTGTGGCTTGAGCCTGTCATTGGTGGCCGGTGACATCTTTATTGCTTCCGATGGGTAGTATTTTGTAACGATATCATTCAATATCAGCTCTCAGAGTCTTGGCTGGTTCTATGGATGCATCAAGTGGTCACGAGGAGCCCCGACCCTCGTACATGAATGGTAGAAGTGTACTTGAATGAATGCTGGCGAAAACTTGGCTGGGCGCTATTTCATACCGTTTCAGCTGTCAAGAAGAGGCTGCCAATTGCCAAAACAGGTATTCAGCTGGCATAGCGAGCGCCTCTTTTACCAAAAGCGAGCAAGGAGGGGTGGTCAAACGTGTAGTGTTCCATTAGGCCTCCAAGATATACGAGTAATACCTTGGTTGGCCATACTTGTGTAAATCGGTAGAGGGATAGGGGATGTTTCCCACAGTCGCTCCCATGAAATGACGTGAACTGTTGTCTGAGAGAAATATGAATGCCATTCCTGCATCCCAACAGATGAATCGTTGTTTCTTCTCCATCTTCATTTCTCTCTGATACCAATACTGTGTCAACCAACATAGCTATTTCAATCTTCTGTTACCATGAGTGGACAAGTCAAGACAATTGCCCGCATTCTGCAGGCAGCAGGTTCCGCTATACAAGCAAATGGCAACCTCGTCCTCCTCAATGTGGAGAATGGCCACCTTGTAGAGAGGATCTTTGACGGCGAAGAACTCAAAGACCAGAGACTGGTCGTGGATGGCGTGAAGTCTGGCGCATCCGCAGCCTTCGTCGTTTCAGACAACCATGTAAGTCACAAGCTTAGCCCATACGTTTGGACACCTTTACAGGGGCCGCATTCAAGAGCCCTCATGACTTACTGGAACTGTATAGGCCTTGATCCTCTACATTACTGATGGGGGTGAACTCAGGGCTAGTGAGTTTGACCCAGACTCAGAGGAGTGGGATGAGTCTGAGCTCAATGGCTTGGGCGAAATCAACGTCCAGGAGGAGAGTGGTCTCTCTGCCGTAACTATCAATGACTCCATTCTGGTATTTTACCAGGCGCCAGATGGCACGATCAAGAGCATCCGCCACGACCAGGGTACCAAAACTTGGAAAGCCGGCTTCAGCGTCCCTGGCGCCGCTGAAATCGGAACGCCAATCGCTGCTTTCAATAACAAGGAGGCCTTGATAGTCGCTTTCGTTGAGAAAGACGGAACAATCCACGCTCATAGTAGGGACTTCGCTTCAGGCGACTGGAGCGGTAAGAGTTTACCTCGAACAGAGAACAGTAGAAGGAAGCTAACCAAATGGCGTTCTCATATCCAGAAACCATCCTCCCAAACTCGTCTTTCGACGATAAGATTGCCAATCTATCGGTCTCCCAGGATATTACGTCGGGAGAGCTTGATTCTTATGTACTGATCGGTTCTACTTTGCACCATGTGAAGAAGAACGGGGAACAGGCTGTCATCGGCACGTTTTCTAACAAAGAGTTCGTCGCAGCAACTCGAGCCGAAGACGGTGATTGGTATGGTAACAACTACGGTAACGTGAACATGGGTGGGCGTGGCGGTTATGGCGGCAGTTATGGTGGCGGCGGGTACGGTGGTGGTTATGGTGGCTACGGAGGCTACTCTCCCTACCCTCCTCCATATAGAACTCAATGTGGATGGTAGATTCTGAGACAGCCCCAGAGTAGTAGTCGGGCAGGAACGGCTTTAGGACAAACAAGTGTTCTAAGCAATGGTGGGTGTTGGTGGTAAGCAGAATGTTCAAGCACTCTCACCTCCGATCAGTGTCCTTTTAGGTAGTGGTATTTGTCATCCTTGATTTCTTCATAATAATACTTGTACGAAACCTTCTTCTACGTATAAAAGTCCTGATCTAAGAGAAAGACCTAGATCTAATGAAGATAATGATGTATACCTTACTAACATATGTTTTCAGCGCAATAATATATCAGTAGCATACACTCGTTCCAAATTATAGGTTGAGCTATTGAAAACACTAAATCGGCCAGCTTGGAGCTCGCTTAGAACACCAAAACATGTGATCATTAGTTGGGTAGTAGAAGAGCACGTCAAGGTCTCATTGAGGCTTTTTTTGCTATCAGCTGAAATGCAACCTTCACCTCACTAATACACGTATGTGCTCAGCTGCCCAGAGGCTGCCTGAACATGCCCTTTTGGGATGTAATATGCTGCAGCTCTTTCTCCCAATATCTGCCGTCGACATTCTACGTACCTCCATAGTAATTAGTAATCGTGCACCCATTTGGACTGGTTTTAGTACATGTACACCAACCGTAAAATCCACAATATAAGCGGTTATCTAGCTGTTCTTTGCCTTGAAGTCTAACATCCCCAATTATCCTGGGATAGGACCTTAGTCTACACATATATTCACCGCACATTCATCGCTGTGTTTCTATTCAGCAGTATCATACGCCCTAGTTGCTTGTGACCGTCCTCTTTTCTTGCTGTTCCTAGAATTTACTCAAGATGGCTACCATCCATAGTGAAGCCAGGGCAGGCACACTTACCTCTGCAAAACTAGCAGGGTACCTCCAACAGGGAGTTGACATCAATGAAATAGACGTATCTGGAACCGGATTCACGCCGCTTTCAGCTGCCGCCAAGTCCGGCCACCAAACCGTTGTCGAACTGCTCCTCAACAATGGTGCCTCTCCCTCTAAAAAAAGCTACGGAATGACTCCTCTCTACATAGCTGCCAACGCAAGGAAAAATCGCGCTGAGATTGTGCGCCTCATACTGAACCGTCACGTAAATGTGGACGAGACTGACCCCCAAGTCGACAATGAGACTCCCCTCATGGTTGCCATCACACGGGCCAAAGACCCGGTGGTCGTGAACATGCTCATTGATGCTGGAGCATCGCTGCAAGCAAAGAATGACAGAGGGCAGACTGCCAAGTCGATGGCTCAAATGTCTGGCAGCCCAGATATACAGAGAGCAACATCGCCTGGCCAGCAGCAAGCAGGAACAGCCGAGCTTATCAACCTACTTGTAAACTTCGTGTTGTTTATCTTGGCGTATGTAAACAGTGGCATTCTCAAAGACGTCGCCAAAGGTGTTGTATCCAACTTGTACCAAATCGGGGATACTGCGCCTGATCAGGATCTTGTCAGGGTATGTCACCTAAACCTTTTGCAACGACCAGTTACATTGACCAAGAATAGGAAATAGGAGAGCCTACAACGGCTGATGACTTCAAACGCGAAATTGATCAGTATGTCAAAGACAGCGATCTAGGACAGTTCTTTGCTCCCGGAAACGACTATCTCAACAAGGTGGCCGAGAAAGCCATTGAGCTGAAAGACGACCCAAGAAACCATCTGAAAAAGCCCGAGCAGATCAAAGGCCTTGTGAGGCTCGCTCTTTACCAGCCAGTATTTTATTGCGGTTCGTTTGAAGTCTATGCTATTTGAAAAAAGGTTGAACCTAACATCTTGTAGATGACAGCGGCTCTATGCAAATCGTTATTCAAGACAGCGACAACAATGTGATTGGCACTCGCATGGATGGCATGAGAAGCCTTGTCCAACGCATGGCCAGCATCGCAACTCGGCTTGTTCCTGACGGCAAGGGTGCACACGTCCGTTTCATCAACAGTAATAAGACAGGTCAAGACTTGAACGCCGACCAGATCGACCAAATGCTCCAATTCGACCCCGATGGTGGAACCAATATTGGGACCAACTTGACAAAAAGGATCCTTGAGCCTATGATTTATGATGAGCTGGACAAGTCTGGAGGTGCTCTTGAGCGGCCCTTGCTCGTCCTCACAATTACAGATGGAGAGCCAAGCCCGGAGCCTAGAGACACGTTCAAGAAGGCTATTGAGAGTTGTGGACGACGTCTCGAGGAGAAGCAGTACCCTCAAGAATGTGAGTCACCCCTATAGTATGAATATCCCTCATAGGGAAACTCTGACCTTGATAATGTAGCTGCAATGTTTCTTATCAGCCAGGTCGGTAATAGCCCCGAAGCGGATGCTTTCCTAGACTCTCTCAGTGGCGATCCGGCTATAGACCGGGTTCTTTATCGAACATCTGGTAAGCTCCTCGACATTTTCCGTTGTCAAAAGACAATGCGATTTTGTTCTCAACGACTGACATTTTTACCAGAGCGCTTGCACGAGAGATTTGCAGATCTAAGAGACAATGAGGAGGGTCTTGAAGAATGGGTAAGTGGGCTGCTCTATTTCTGTTACTCCCGCCAGAATAACCGGTATTAATTATCTTCATATCTCAACTAGCTCTTTAACATTCTTATGCAGCCCATCACAGGCTAAGCAAATTATGCAAGCGGTAGTGGTGTGGAGATGATTGCTAGCCGTACTTAGGGTTTCAGGTGGACAAAGATTTGTTAGTAGTATAACCTTATGCTTATCCTGTGTTAATGTATGAGGTTAACAACGAGTTCCATGATAATCTGCACCCAGTATTCTAGATTTAGATATACAGCAGAGACTATAGTATAGTATCTTTATACTAGGGAATAAGGTTAGTTTTACTATTTAACAATAAATTTTTTTTCTATTTATAAAAGAATAATAATGATAATCATAAATATTTTTATTTAAATCAATTAAATAAAAATATATTATATACTTAGGCTGGAGTAATCTTGTATAAATAATTTCTATCTTGTTTATCTTGCGAGGAAAGATGTGGTGAGCCATGAACATTTTCTTGCCGCCCAAGATGTTTTGAAACTTTATTTTCGTGATAGCGACCGCGTAGAAAAAGAGGGCCTAGTGACTCCCCTCATGGCAAAATCAATGGAGCAAGGCCTTGGTAGCCATCGAGTTATCATTCCTTCTCTCGGATGTGAACTTGACTCGAGTCCCATATTTCATAGAACAGTTGGTGGCACCAATACATCTGTGTTTCATACGAATGCGAAGCAGTCAGTGCGGTATATTGAGCCTCTACTCTCGGGTCAGTACCAAAACGACTAGGGACGGGCATAACATTGCTACCTCGGCGTATTAAGTGATCCTTGAGCCTGACTAGAAATTGACTTTCATCGTCGCTGATGTGGGCTATTTGCTGGATGTTGTCTATATTGCATTGTGTGGAAAAGGGTATATTTCCGTGATATGCATCGCGAAAGTAGGCAATCATTCCCTGGGCAGTGTGGAAGTATGCTTCAATGAGCTTGTAGTCTTCAAAGCGTGATCCAAGACCCGGTGTCTGAAGCTCCTCTCGGTCAGCACTTTTGCAGATACATGTACTTCACCATGCCTAGCTGTATCAAGAACGGACAGAGTATTGAGACTTACCACATGCCCATACAGGGTAGCAAATTCGTGGTCGTGGCCGACTGCAATCTCTATCGTGTTGAGGGAAATAAAGACAGCAGCGAGTAAATCGAACCACATGGCAGGGTCCTTTTTGAATATTTTGTCTTGAATCTTCTTCAGCACTTCGTGCCGGAGTGGAATAAGAATGGACTGGATGACAATCCTATCAAGCTGTGTGTCCATCACAGGTGTAACAGGAATCTTCCCATGAAAGATATGGTCTGGGTCGTCTATAATCCGCAGCCCGAGTGTTTCCCGGCCGCAGATTTGCCATGGCGTTTCTATCAGGCGCGCTGCCATCCATAATTTCAAGCACAGTGCCAGGACGCCGCCCTGAGCTTTGTCAGCTGACCTAGCACAGATAATCCGAGACATGTTGGGAAAATACCAACCTTTTGAGCCTGCGCCCTTATGCCTGCGAGTTTGAACATTCCCATGATTAGCGGGTCTGAACGGTCGAGATGTGCATTGAGATACCGAAGAGAAAGAGAATAGAGTTTAATAATAATGAAGCTGCCAGGGCCTGATAACTCAATATAATAAATACGAAAGCTTAAAAATATAGTCTTTCCTAGTCCGCCCAAGATATAGTTATATAGCAGGAAAATTCTATAAACCTTTATACGGATAACTTACTTACTATCAGGACAGTAACTTATTAAATAACTATTAAAGCTATCTCTTTTATCTGGCTTCTTATCTTATATTATACTAATCCACATACTCTAACCAAGTATAAATCAACTAACCCAGTAAGTACTACTAGCCCCTTAGCCAGAGTACTTATGCTGATATATCTGCAGCCTTTATTGTTTATCCGAATAACTAAGATATATATAATATATTTAAGAACAAGATCCCAGTACCTTCTCTCGAAGGTAGGAATATTACCTGGCCTAGTATAATAAAGCCCAAGATCCGTACGAATATATATAAGTACATAGGTCAAGCAAAGGCAGTCCCAATCGAGTACATTGAGATAAGCCACCACATTCTTATCGATAAACTGTAGGATAGACTTTCTGGCCGCTTCAAGCTTCGTAAGGGCATAGTGAGGCATTTTTATTGCTCTCTCACGCCCATTACTGTCTGTCCATGTATAAGAAGTAACGTCACCCTCAACCGGTTGAAAGGATTGCACAAGAACTGATAAATTCCCTGTGTTTGGGAATCCTTGCGTCAACTCAAGCTCCAGGATCTTCTGGGACGTGTAAGTGGAAAGCCCAACAATTGAGTATATCTCCTCTCGCGTAGTCCAAGTGTCATTGTCGGTTGTGGCTAGAAGACGTAGAGTTAGCGGTTAGTCATTAGTTGCTTAGGGTAGAGTTGGAGTAGGAGACAAAACACCTGTTCTAAAAAGCGTTGAATCCGTCAAGCGACTTCTGATGCAAGGAACACGTAATGACCCTGGTCTTAATTCAGAGCAACCGAGGCAGAAACTAAGAAGGCCGTCGCCCATTTGACACTTTCAGGCGAGTTAGCAAAGTGACCAATTCCAAGTTAGGTAACGGAGGGGCCTTGTACCCTCTTCTTAATGCGTTGACATCGGATGCATGCTGCGTTGTCACGGGTTTCGGACGTTTCCAACCGGGCATAGCGTTGCAGTGCGGAGCGAGACGCCGGTTTCTTGGTCACCACCGACGACCCTTGTCTGTGGTAACGCATCACAGGGCTTTGTGAAACGGGCGTAAACTGAGTATTATGGCTAGAAGTGATGGGAATTTGGCCTTTACCACTGGACGGGGCTTGAGGAGCTTCTACTCTGCGTGGCTGCGCGGGGCCCTTTCTTCCTTCCTGGAGTAGCATAGAAATAGTCCGACTCTGCTCCTGTATAACCTTCAGGAGATTCTGTTCCAACTCGCTGTCGGTGGAGGTCTTGGATGGTGTGCTCGCTAGCAGGCTGCCGACCTAGTCGCTTGCCAATGTGCTTGTTTGAGTTTCTATTTCCACACCAAGTGCAAGAGGATCCAGAAGAGACGAGACTTGAGGGACAAAAGCTGCAGCACCGTTGTCATGAAGTCCAAATGCTCCATTAAAGGTGGCTTCCGGTGCAGATTGTAGGGTTGGTTGCAGCAAAGGGGCTGAAATGGAGAGGGGAGAGGAATCGTCGGGCTTATAAAGTTTTCGTGGGCGAACCATGGTTGCGATCCTGGCGGCATCTGAGCATTGAGTACGCCGTGTGCGAAGACGCCGTCAAGGGTGAGGTCGACGCCATTAAGAGGGCCTTCATCACGCGATTGTCTGAGATATTCGCTGTGGAGAGCAGGATGCTGATAGTGCTGATTATGATGTTGGTAGGCGGGGATTGCAGGAAGCACAGAGTGGAATGACGAGAGATAAGTCCCTGGTTCACAGGAGCCAACCCATGCCGTCGGCCCTGTACCCATCGTCAGTTGATTATCATTGCCTGAGCCCCATAGGCCTGCTCCACCAAGGTCGCTAATGGAGGTTCGTAGCCTTGCCGGATCCAAGCCGGAGGGAGTGACCCTATGCGGATGCGGAGCAGCGGACTGATGAGGGTGGGAGCGCCATCCATTCACATCTGTTTTTTCCCGAGGGTCCATCACGCGATATCACCGGAAAAAGTCAATCATGTATCTGCGACAGCGGAACAGGAATGCTGATGAGGAGACAGGCAAGGTAGCTTATGGTGAGAAGGATGTAGGAGGGAGGTTAGGGTGAGACCAGCTTTTTCTTCAACTGTGCGACTGTGAGAGGACAGTGAGACGAGGGTGACATAGCAGCAGATAATCACGCAGTAGGACCCGATTGTGTCCTACCCAGAGCTGAACAACGGGGTGACCGAACGCCAGTGGTTACTGTGTGCTACCTCTCAGCCGATAACATCATTTGGTGTATAGGGTCCTTCTCCCCACACCGGACCGCTCTTCACCATCTCCGCTCCCGAATCATCTAACATCACTCCCAAACCACTCTACGTTTGCTTTATAAGTAGTATCTGAACCGGCCCACTCGCCCGTCCGACCATCCTTGCCGACTCGCGTCACCTCCCGGCTAGCAGCCTTACCTCCGACTGTCAGCTCTCCCCCGACTAGCAACACTCGCAAATCAAGGCGTCGCGCATCTATCCCTGTTCTAATATGGTCTTCGGCTTCTGGTCAGCCCCGTCTTGGCAGCGGCTTGCCCATGACAAGGCACAAAGCACCTTGTCTAAGATCCAACCTGAATGGAGGCTGCCCAAGGCGGCGCTAGACGAAGCCAAGCGTCGGCCCGACATTACCGGCGAATTCATTCAGAATCTCTTGACGGAAAATGATGTTGCAATAACAGAGATGGAGGCCAGCGAGTTGATCAGCAAAATGGCCCAAAAGGAACTCTCGGCCGAGTCCGTGGCCACAGCTTTTTGCAAGAGGGCCGCCTTCGCTCATCAGTTGGTAAGCCAAGCTTGGCAGCGGCCCCTTTCTGATGCCTTCATTTCACGCTCACTGGAAGCAGAACAACTGTCTACACGAAATCTTCTTCGATCAAGCCATCGAGCGGGCCCGTAAGCTCGACCATCACTTGGAAAAAACCGGAGCTCCTGTTGGTCCCTTGCATGGCCTTCCCATCTCTCTCAAGGATCAGTTCCACGTGAAGGGTGTGGAAACAACTATGGGCTACGTAGGATGGATAGGCACCTTTGAGGGCAAGAAGGACACTAAGAAGGAGATGAACACCAATAGTGCCATTGTAGATGACTTGATCTCCCTGGGTGCCGTTTTATACTGCAAGGTGCGTACGATCCTAATTTATCTGAGCTTTAACCTAACACCAAAGCCATTCACCTGCCTGACCTACAGCTAGACAAGTCTCCCGCAGACTCTACTGGTATGTATGTGCGCAAAGGTGGATTAATCCACGTCTCGTTTGTCTCGGTCGTAACATGCATTCTAGCTTGGCGAGACGCATAACAACATTGTTGGCCACACCATGAATCCCAATGTCCAGCAGCTATCATGCGGTGGTTCCTCTGGCGGTTTGTTGTCACCCTACTCCGGTTAACTTGACCGTGGCCTAATGCTGACATTCTTGGTCTAGGCGAAGGAGCGCTGCAGGCACTGCGGGGTAGTGTTCTGGGATTAGGCACAGACATCGGCAAGTTTGCTCCCAACAATCAAATGATGCATTACGTGCTTACTATAGTCCCAGGTGGCTCTGTGAGAATTCCGTCCTCATTCTGTGGCACAATGGCCATCAAGCCATCCGCCTCCCGGTTCTCATACAAAGATGTAGCCAATAGCGTAAGCAGGCTGATCCCTCCCTCTCTCCCTAGCCATTCCTCGATGAAGCATGTCTGATTTCTGAAACCGCCTTTGTAGATGCCTGGACAGCTCGGTGTTCCTTCCGCCATTGGCTTCATGAGCACCTCGTTTTCCTCTCTGCGGTTGATCATGAAGTCAATTATTGCTACTGAACCATGGCTAAGAGACCCCTCACTCTGCCCGTTGCCGTGGAGGAACGAGCAGGAGTTGACTCTGTCTAGTGCACCTGAGCTTTGTTTTGGGCTTGTCAATTGTGACGGCATGGTATCTCCCCATCCTCCTGTTGCGAGAGCCATTTCCATTCTCAAAACGGCTCTGGAAAGGGCGGGCCATACGGTAATTAAACTGCATCTCATTGCAGCCCACTTGACCAGCTAACAGCTCGAGCTCTAGACTATCCCATGGAGCCCTGAACCCAATCACGAAACTGGGACGACCATTCATGTAAGTTCACACCTCTTCTCCATCTAAAACAACTTATCATTCCATGTAACTTGTCATATATTTCCTCTCGCTTGATGCGCTATTCTCACGTGTTTGGCAGGGAAATTTTATAGAGAGCGATGGTGGAGCAGATATCTTTAACCAATTGAAGCTATCAGGGGAGCCACTCATCCCGGAAAAGGCGAAGGACATGGGTAACAGGCCTCGCAAACCGATGAGCCTCTTAGAATATCAGGAGCTAGGGATTCAGCTGAAGTCGTATCGAGAATCGTACCAAGCATACTGGAATTCTACCGCCGCGATCACGAAGACTGGTAAGAAGCCTCCCTCTTCAGATTTGCGAACAGGCCCATCATTTACGCTATCACCAGGCCGCCCGGTCGACGCCATCATCATGCCGGTCTCACCACATGCGGCCGTCATTCCCGGGAAATACTATCATTACGGTACGTCGCCCGCAGCCTGGTCTCCCGAGCATTTGGAAGTAATAGAAGCGCACAGCATACACCGAAATCGTGAACCTCCTTGATTACACAAGCGTCACAATACCGGTGACCAGAGCCAGCAAAACGATCGATTTAGTAGACGAAAAGTACGAGCCGCTAAATGAGACGGACTGCCTCAACTGGAAAGCATGCAAGTCACCCACCTGTATCTCCTCCAGGCACAGATGCTAACCAACAAACAGATGACCCGGATTCATACGATGGTGCCCCTGTTGGACTACAAATTGTAGGACAAAGATTTCAGGAAGAGTACATTCTTTCCATTGCAGAAATACTTGAGGCCGCTTTGCAGGTATCCGGAGACGATAAAAATTAGTGGTGATGGATGGATAATCATGCATGACGCAAAAACCAAATGCCATGTCATATCTTGGGTTAGGCCATGGAAAATAGTAGCATCAGAAAGCTCAGGCCAGGTCATCAATTTCCAATTACACTTTAAGATTTTCTTGAGAATCTATAATCAAGTTCTCTGCACTGCTGTCTATATTGGGGAGGAGCATTAAGCCACCAGCAGTCTACATCGTAGAAGACCAGGAAGACTACTTATGTCAAGACCTATACAGTCTATCCAGATCCAGAAGGTATGTAAACTTATTTTACTTTAACAGATATCATATTCGTAAATTAAATGCCGAAAATAGCTTAGTTTCCAGTTATACAGACTTGAAAGTACCTAGACACAGAAAGATTTATGTTCTACGATGCTGCAGGAACACAATGATCTGCTTCCCAATGAAAACCAGCATCAAAGAGAACGCCCAATGCGGCCCGAACGAGGCAACTTCCCCCCCTTTCTCTCAAGCTATCTTTAGCCGACCACCCGGACTCAGAGTCCGGTGAAGTGCTACAGACCCTCCCAAAGCGTTCTTTGCCAAAGAAAATGGCCAGGAGTCGGATGTCTGTGCCGCAGCTATCGACCAAGTGGCACACTAAGCCAGGGTTGCGTTCTCTGATCTCCACACATTACCAAGCGTAACTGATGAAAAGTTGCCATCCTCATTGTCAGATCCGACTACCCGATTCTCCCATCGCTTAGCCTGGTTCCCTCAATCCCATCAGATGCAAGCAAATTCCCAGCTTGTCATACCCAGCACAACGGCGCCTTCCATATCGAGCGCTTTCAGTCCTACTTATGCATCATTCACGTAGATTTGTCGCAGTTCAGAGTAGCTTGGGTGGAAACAGTAATATGTAATGTTCAACAAGATCTTCGTATGCTTTGGCGTACACATGGAGGCAACATCAGGTGGCGCAACTCTCCTACGCATCCCCTGGTGTTGTTCCACTCACACTCACGTCGTTTCGCGCAATGATGTCCACTGGCGGTCGAAGCTTTTGTTTCCCTTCCACCACTCCGACCCCGGCCTAGGCCATCATCCCAGGTTCCAGGCACCAAATAAGCCTGGCAGAAACCGAAAAGAACGAGTGGATCTGTAGCAACATCAGATATGTAAGGTAGCAAGATGCAGGTTGGTATGGGCATCAGACATCCGAATATTCTTCGCTATTCTCATCCCCCTACGCGTCTACCCGCATATCCAAGATACTCACAGTGAGTATGACCGTAGGTTATTCTCACGTCGAACCTAGGTAGCTGCCTAATGATGTGTAGAAGATGCAATATGTGCGTGACCAGGGCCATTCGAAAAGAAGGACTCTTATTAGCTGGACACTCCATCAATACTAGCATTAATAGTCCTGAACCGCATGAGCTTACTCAATGTAAGCGGTAGACATTGGATAAGCAAAAGAAGTTTGAGGAATCCTTCTAACTTGCTTGTTTGTTTACAATTCTTGTTTGTGCTAACAGTCGATGCTGCGAGAAGTAATAAACACCGAGTAGTCTTAGGTCTTGCTTATAAATGATCTGTGCAGCCACCAAGCTTGTTCACAAGAATAGGCGAAACCAGTAAGCGTATAAACTCACGTATTTAATCAGTTTCTACAATTGCTGAATACTAAGAAAAGAGTCAAGAGTGTGGTATTTCTAGAGATGATTGAGGACAAGTTCTAATGCCAGCTCTATAGGGTAGGCTGGACCAAAGCCAAAGGCTGAGCAAGGAGCTTAGAATACGTAATATATAAGATGCTAGAAGAGATATTCTTCTCTAACGGCCCAGAATTACAATAAATTGTTATGTGTGCCCATGGTGTGAGCGAATATGGCTTGACTTGCGTTCGTTGGCTTGCAGTAGAAATTCTAGCGAGACGGGATCATCAATGGGCTCGTTACTACCCGTTCATATTCCATATCTCTCCGCAATCATATGGCGATTGGCTCTGGATGAACTTGGATGACTGTGTTTGCCCAAGGTGTTTCTATGGCTGGTTGTCGCTGGTGAAAAGCTTAAGAAAGACTTGCCACAATGCTGAGGAGCCCACGTTTCATTGATCACTACTTCTGGACACTCCCTTGTCTGGCAATCCATCAGCCCACCAAATAAGGTCTTCAATCTCCCAAATTCATCACAATTTGCTTCTTCTAACTGCTGATTTCAACCCACCATACTGATACTCAACCCTTAACCATATCCAAGTGACGGTAGGTTCTTCCCGCTCTCTAGATTTGTCATTGTGTCTAAGAGCAAAAGGACTCCCACCAGCCCTCTGAGACGAAAATTCCGAATCCGAAGTTACCAAGATCCATCCTTGGAGCTTCAACCGATCCTTGAGGTCATAAAAGGTCACGATTCGCAGTAAGACGCCTTCGGACTCGGAATCTCTTCGGACTCGGAATCCCTTCGGACTCGGCAACATGGCGTCCAAGAGCGGCACCACCGACAGTAGCGCCGGCTACCTCTGCAGAACCGATGGATTCTATCGAGCCTTCCTCGCCGCTTGTAAGGAAGGGCTCAAAGACAAGCACCGGGGACCAACTGTGGCCCAATATCTGGATGCTCTAATGACACTGCCTGGGTACAGCGAGAATGATCTGCCACAGGCGTGGCAGGCGTTTGCCACAGCGGAGCCCGAAATCGCCTCGATGCTTCGCCGCAGCGCAGCTGAATTCCGTGTCTCTGTTGACGGAGACCTCATCAAGTTCAGGCCTATGATGGACGATAAGAAAAAGGCTACCTCGAAGTTTCTGATCGTCTCCAACCCCGACTATGTAATGGGCACGGCCACATTTCAGGACGTGTCTGGCGCTGTCATCGTCTCCGAGAAGGCTGAAAAGGACAAGACAAAGAAGTCAAAAGGGAATGAGAAAGTAGTCAGGATGAAAGGTATGTATTCTGGATAATTGACACTTATGTATGGAGACGCTGAGTAAATGGAGTAGATGAAGATGACAACGGCAATTATGACCATCATGATTCAACCATTGGTTATTAGGCAGATAATCTCTGCGGCTGAGTAGAGCACATCAAAAGCAATAGCTTATGAAACTGTTAGCAATAGAGAAAACCCAAGAGGGAATGGATTTCAATGGGAGAGCGAAGGGAGGGTAATGAATGAAAGCAAGATCACGTAAAACCAGCACACTGACGAGGGTATTTGAAACATGCTGAAGACAAAACTAAATCGGGACAAAAGAATGCTACTATGCTAACAGACTTCTTATAAATCAGACTAGTTATACACTACTTAGTGGGAAGAATATTGTGCTTTACAGTCTTTGTGACCAGCCATGAATCCAGAGCCTCCTCGCCCATGTCTCGGCCGAAACCCGACTGCTTCCACCCACCAAACGGCGTATTGGCGTTCAGAGCGCCCCAGCAGTTTACAGTGACCATTCCGCTTTCAAGAGCCGCCGTCACTCGGTCTGCGCGGTGGATATCGTTTGTGAAAATGGCGGCGGCAAGACCGTACACCGTGTCGTTTGCCCTTTGAACGACCTCATCCTCCGTGTCGAATTTGGCAATAGCCTAGCTTAGAAATTAGCTGATCGGTATCACTTGGATTGGCATTAATTTATTCTAGCTCACCGCGACAGGGCCAAAAATCTCTTCTCGCATGATACGAGAATCATCTGGCACATCTCGGAAGGCCACATTCGGGATGAAATACCCATTGCCTTCTGGTAGACTCTGGTCTTGTTCGCCACCGACGGCCTTGAGGTCGTTCTCCTTGGCGTAGTCGAGGAATGATTGAATCTGGTCTAGCTGCCTCTTGCTGACGACAGGACCCTTCGTGGTCTCAGCCTGGAGAGGATCTCCGGTGGCTGTGCTGATAATCCGCTCCGCAAATGCTTTCAAGAAAGAATCGTAAATGGACGAGTGGACATAGATGCGCGTGCCGGCGGCACAGATCTGGCCGTTGTTGGCGGTGAAGCCAACCGTGGTCCAGAACAGGGCGTTCTCAATATCTGCGTCGGGGAACACGATTGAAGGTCCCTTGCCGCCGAGCTCGAGGGTGACCTTCTTGAAGTTGGAGTCGGCGGAGGCCTTGAGGATCTTTCGACCAGCTACGCCGCTACCTGTGAAAGCGATCTTCTTCACCCCGTGGTGCTCGGCTAGAGCCTGGCCGGCGACATGGCCCTCTCCGCAGAGAATGTTGATGACACCAGGAGGGAAGCCGGCTTCCTTCACCAACGATGCGAGCTTCTGGGCGTATAGAGGAGCGATCTCTGGGGTCTTGATGATGAGTGTATTGCCGGCAGCAATGGCTGGGGCAAGCTTCCAGATGGTAATCATTCTATGAGTTGTGTTAGTAGCTGGGAATCTTGCCAAGAATAGGTCGTCAGAGAGCGAAAGCAAAGTTAAACTCACAATGGCGCATTCCATGGGACAACGGCTGCACACACTCCCAAAGGCTCACGTCGGGTGTAGGCATACCCTTGAGGAATATTTAGCAACTGGCCGGTGATCTTGTCGGCCCAGCCAGCAAAGTAGTGCAGCGTCTCGGTAGCCTGGGGAACTTGCATGTGCTTGGATGCACCGAACGGCGTCCCGACATCGAGTGCATCGATACTGGCGAATTCGTCTGTCTCGCGTTCGATCAGTGTGGCCAGCTTGTGGAGGAGCTCGCCACGCTTCGCAGGGAGGATGTCCTTCCAGCCATTGGTGAAGGCTGCCTGGGCTGCAGAGACAGCGAGATCAACGTCATCAGGCTGGGCTGCCGATACTGTGGCCAGTTTCTCACCGGTTGTGGGATTGACAATGTCCAGGACTTTGCCACTGAGGGCTGGCCGGAATTCATTGTTGATGAATAGCCCGGTTTCAACTAGAGAAAGCTGTTAGCTCAGCGTCTTATGAACAAGCGAGCTTGATGTTAATGTACGCTGCACCAACTTCCCCCCAAAGCCTTTAAGCTGAACAGTACTCATGATGAGTTGAACGGACGTGTTAGTGCGTATTCAAGGATGTTTCCAAGCAATCTAAAAGAAGTGGAAGACAGGAAGTGAGGGGTCAGAGAACATAAAGTCGAGAATGAGGGGAAGTAATATATGGTTTATTCGCCTTTACAGATCGGGCAGGGGGGCCGCGGCTATCTGGTCGGTCAGCTACGTCGATGTACATGGGTCGCGATATATACTACATACATACTCTACATATGCGCATGAACAGCTGCCCATATAAGTTCCATGGTGCTTGCCTTGTATTATATAAGCTATTTCATCCTCCATTCTCGGAAATGATTTTCTCCTCGAATTCAAAGCCCTAAAAATTGATGACACATGACACTGAATTGAAGGATCACTCTCCGCCAGATATCTCAACAAAGGACCTCATACGGGATCTACAGTTAGCACCAAGACTAACCGATATCAGCAAATTTACCCACGGACCAAGTCCAGCATCGGGTTGGTAAGCAGCACCCATTTGCCTTTCTACTAATTCCTCAGTTGTACGTGCATGAGGCCCTGCGGGGGTTATTAATGAGTCATTGGAGCATCATATGATTTGTATCTCGTCAACAAACGAATGGGCGTGCGAGTCAGTAATCTTACGGGTGCGGAAGCTCGAACTCACTTGCGAGTGGAATCTCAACAATGGCCAATTGTGTCCCCTGCCCCAGGATGGAGGCTTACATGGATCGCCATCGCCATCCACGTACCTAAACTCAAAACTTGTTTCATTTTAGGAGTAGATGTTACCCCAGTACAATCAGAGAGGGACCCGGCTTATTTGATATCGGGTGAGAGCTCGAGTGCAAAGTAAAAAAAACGGTAATGGAAGATGCCAGACCCGACATCCCAACATAATGAATACGATCATTTGATATCAAACTTTCAATTCCTATGCCAGTCTATCAATTCTGCGTATGTGCGTGCACGTTGTAACCTTTATTCCAATGCCCATGAGTATCTTTTTGCTTCATTTATCAGAACCTGGCCGTTTCCACGAAGTGTATAGGAGAGTCAGCTGGGGATTGGATAGAGAGGAGGGAATGCAGCGTTTGGATAGAGCAACGTTCACTAAGAAATAGCAATTTTGTGTTATCTTGCGCCTTTTAGCGGATTTGGTTGTTCTGGAAAAGCCACTTCTGCGTTCATGCCCTTGTAGTTGGGTAAAGGCTGCTGTCCTACCAAAAATCCACCACAAGGTCATTAACAGATCAACCGAATCTTTCTTTACTTGACATTCCCACTGTGCGTTCTTTATTTCCATATCCTGGACGCCTAGTTTCAAGGAGTGAATGCCTAGTGTCTTTGTTATACAATTTGCACAGAATTATATGCAACCTAGCTGCCTATGGAAATAGAAACATGCAACCAGCTCTTCTTTCAATAGTTCTCCTACAACGGCTAGGACGCGGCTATAGAAGTAATCTCAATTACAAGGGAATCGCAGAACAGCGCCTGGTTAGCTTCTAGGTGGGCGTCATTCCCTTTGTACCTCGTCCCTGCTCGTGCTACTTGATTTCTCCAGTCAAAACTCGTCGCAGAAACAACCCAACCCCAGGATGTAAGATTCTATTGTTTCTTCATCTACTTCTCATACAAAGATCCGCAGTCCAAGAACTGTCTCACAGGCACGTGTCTTCCACCGTTTGTCGCCAGTCGTTTCCCGACTCCGTATATCAGAACGTTCGCTCCTACCCTTCGAGGACTTGCTCTACTTCCATTTCGCAAAGACTTTAGCCTAAGATTGAACGCCTTTCCCTCAACCTAACAGCAATCTCCAATTTACCAAGAAACCACGACGTTATGGCCACCAATCGATTGGCATCAAGCTCTGTGGACCACCAGACAAGGCAGCCAGTGGCTCTGGACACCTGTCTCAATCCTGCTGCCACATCTACCTCTACAAGTTCCAGTGAGGAATCGATTTTGAAGAAGGGTGAAAACTTGCTTAAAAGGATAGACAGACACCCTCTGCTTTTGTCTATGTAGAAGCGTCTCGTTCGGCCAGACCCAAGTGCCGGGCTTCAGAAGACTGCCTCCATATCGAAGATGGCCGGGAGGATACGACTAAAATAAAGGACCAGTACCGGATTTGCATTCGTGGAACTGAACTTCTGCAATACGGTGACGGGATACGGTCGAACGTATTATTATCACGTCTCGTGCTTTGGCTCCATGATTAGCCAAGAGGATCTTTTCACATCCGGCAATCCAGTGTGCCGACTGCCTTAGCAGTTTCTATAAGGTTACGATCGCTTGTATCAGGTTTTGGCCAAGTTAGGATTTCTATATTATCCAGCTGGCTGGTCTGGATAATGGGCACAATTGCTAGGACCCGCGGTCTCGGCTTTGACTTCTTCTTTGTCATTTTGATGCGTAGACTGATGTCGAGGTTCAGAAACAGATCGGGCGAGAGCTCGGTAGGATGTTTGATTTTGGCAAGGAGTTGAGTGTGCGCAGCGATGTGCGATCGATTGATCCGACTGAGTATGGATGAGTGGGAGTCGACGGATTTGACTGAGTGGCGATGTGTGGTACTTGGCTTATCTTAGAGCGACGAAAGCAGCGATTTGCGAAATAGGCAAATTATCGATTATAGATAGACTTGAGCTGTACGGTTTATTCAGAACCAGGCCAGAGATAGCGGCCTTTAAATAGAAGAAAAATAGTATCTTAAGGTTTATAAACGGAGTTATACTAATAAAAGAGTTATTACCAGCTATAACCTTTAAATTTAAACCTTATATACAGCTGGATAGCTATTATTAGTATTAAACCTTATATATAGCTAGGTAAAAAGACTGAAGTTTAATATATTATACTACTGGGTATAGTATTAAGTTATTAAATTCTTAGTATTTAGGAATTTCCCCCTTTTTTCAGCAGCTGCATAGCTCTCTCACTTACTTCTTCACTTCCGGCAAGTTCCGTCTGCGTGATGGAAAATGGGGGCTCATGCCTACAAAGTTGAACTCGAAAAGTGCGAGACTCAAACAGACTTCCAGCTAGGCATGCCCCCTTCTAGGAGATTATGTATTGGATGCCGCATCTCAAGCCTTGGGGCATTTATTGAAGCATCAAGATTGCATGAAGATTAAGAGACTCGTGGAAAATAACTGAAAAAAAGAGTTTTCCATATGGAGAGTACTTCATCTCGTCATAGTTGTGCAGTGGGAGTCTCCTGCAGCCTCGAATCTATCCATGATGGGGATCATAATGCCCGTCAGGATGCATGTCTGGCGAACGAGGGGTGGATATTGTATTGGAAAAGGACCAAATTTGATGACATAAAAGATCTGGCAGAACGGGGTCTCGTTAAGATGGAAATTGGTGATACTGATATCTGAGATAGTGCGATGTACAATTACTCAGTTTCTCAAAGCTTTTGAATTTAACCCATTGGATGTGATTGCTCATGACCTGGTATTCAATCAAGGCGATATCATTGCTAACCTTTCACTTCTGAGTTGTTATGATATGCCACTACACGAAGCCATAATTATTGCTCGCGATTGATTTTGCTGTTCACGAGAGAATACACGACGTGGCTTATGTAAAGGTGTCAAAGCTTCATAGCGTAGTCCCTTCGTCCAAACGGAGTCTAGTAGGCGAACGTGAGACTACAGTCGGGTTATTCTTTGTTCACTCAAAACATGACCACAGCTAGGTCTACGGCGGTTTATCAACGGGCGATACACGGATAAGCACTGAATTCGACCTATATAGACCTTTTTGGTCTGAAGGATTATGTGGTCGGAATCTGGAGCGCTCGTCATCCTTTAGGTGATGTTCTGTCGCAGAGGGCAAACTGGGGGAAGTCTTAGCCTACGCCGGCGACCCGATACAACTTCTGATGTCAACTGCCTTGACAAAATTAAGTACAATAATTCTAGTGGGGAAGCCTCGATTAGCTTAAGAGGTTTTAGAGGAACGTACGATCTCGTTGATCCATGTGGAGCAGAAATACCCAACGTGTTTTGTGGCGAACCGGGACCGAAGTATTTCTATTCTCATAAAGGGATGGTGGAAACTCTTCAGTGAGCTGCAGTGACATACACTACCAGCATTCCGGTTTCTTCACCTTCAGCTCTACATGGTTCTTTCTCCCCTGACGGATGGGGCATTGTTCAGACCAAACCGAGCATGTAGTAAGTACGGGAGTGATAATCATATAAGTTGGCAGCGTTGAATGCTGTCTGTTCTACTAGAAGAACGGCTACATGATGAGAGCAAAGAATAAAAATACATGCCGAAAAGGGAGAGCTAAGAGTCGTGGTGAGGATGCACTCGATCAAATGCCTCACTGAAACCGAGCGGGCTTTCTCAGCTGGAGCTGAAGAGGTCCTGTATTTGTACTAACCCCCTTGCTTACCCGATTAAGTTTCAATAGTGTAGATTTGTTTTGCTTGCTCCACTCCTGCCAAGAAATTCGGCGTACGGTCTCCGGCCGGCAAGCGAGGAAAACCAGGGCCTCAGCGAGGCCAATTTGTTTGAGGTTATGGTTATACGGTGGTTGAGGTCTTCGGATAGTAACTGATATCCATTCCATAGGGTTCCTTGCGTCCTACTCTCATTGTAGTATGCATTTGGGAAGAGAGTACCAAGTATGTACGGGATGCCCGTTCTATGTAGGCAAGTGCATATCCTCGATGACATGCGCTATATCTAACCGTATTGACCATACCTACGTCCAGTTTCTTAGCTGAAAGGTTGCCTGACCCATGTTGTTCTGGGGGCAACTACTCCACTTGGTTTGACAGGTAGGCCAGGGTCTTGAAAGATGGCATCAGTCCCATCTGCATGATGCTAAAATCGCGGTGGATTTTTTTCGACCCATATCTCCCCTGATGCCTCGTGAAATTGGTACTGTGATACTTTACAAGAGTGTGATACTATCTGATTATCCTGCCACGTTGATAAAAAAAACTAGAATTGACCGGCTCATCTATGCTGTTTACATTACTCTACCCTGCTCACAATTTGAGCCAGTATAAATTCGTTTATTTGAGTCTGATCAACAAGAAGTGTCAAGTAATTAAACGAAGAACGAGAGCGAGCACAGTAATGCTACTCAAGTGTGTACTAGTTAGTCCTGGCTGCCTAGCATTATCTACAAAAGCGATACGATACGGTGATTCCGATATCTACCAAATTTGTCTACTCGTAGTTCAGTTACGCCAGGGGCCTTCTTCTTGGGGTCCACGTGTCCCCTGTTCTTGGCCTTGAATCTCGCCAATAGTCTCTCACTAGCTTCTGCACTCCTTACGTTAACATTAGTGGTCTATAAGATCCCAGATAGATTAGGTCTTCTCTGCTTCAAGCTTCTCGATCACAGAGGAGAGCCCATCAACCTTTCAAATAATTATTGATCGGTTTATTACCGACCTACCACTATCAAGTCTGGCTTATTGATTATACTCCTCGCTATCCCTGCCATCGCCATCGCCATCTTTGTCAACTTCGGATGTAATAATGTCTCCGGATGAGCTGTTGGACAACTATGAGGGCCGGGTGGTCCCCCGACGCTTCATCGCCGGCTTCGTTGTGCTTAGCTATACTATCAGTCTCATTGGCGCAGGTTCAACTCTCGAATTAATTAACCGTCGAACAGGCTTCAAGGGTATCTTCAACAAGTCGGTAGCCCCCCCTCTGCGTTAACACGCCGCCGCCCTCTATAGATCGTTGCTGACAGGGATGCCGTTCATATAGCGTTCTACTCGTCGGTGCTGCTGTGACAATGGGAGGCGTGTCCATATGGTCTATGCACTTTGTCGGTAATAAAGCAATCTACCTCGGAAACGGCGAACAAGAGTTACAGATCACCTTCTCTACCCTGTTCACCATTATCTCCTTCTTCGTCCCTATTGTTGTACTGTTGATTGCCTTTATCACTATTGGTACTAGTAGCATTGTCTCATGGATTCGAGTCTCGCTTGGTGGTTTCCTATGTGGCTCCGCTATATGCGGTATGCACTATCTCGGTAATGCTTCAATCGAGAACTATACCTGCAGATACAATAAAGGCTATATTGTCGGGTCGGCGATTATTGCCATCGCGGCGAGCATCATTGCGCTCTCGGCCTTCTTCATCTTTCGGTCTACTTGGGCTAATTCATGGTGGAAGAGGCTTCTATCGGCCCTGTTGCTTGCAGGTGCTGTCTCCGGCATGCATTGGTGCGCAGCATTTGGCACAGAATATACATTGATCTCCATCAACTCTGGCCGCGGCGGTGAGATGTCACAGGAGGCGACCGCGATTGTTGTTATTTGTCTGGTCCGTTTCTCCCACCCCCGCGAAGCTCACGGATTGTTAGGCTAACTTGCCAATCTACTTTATCTATAGGCCGTAGGCGCGTGCCTCATCATAGCTGGTCTGGCAATCTTCACAACAAGGAAGATGAACCAGTCCGCCCGCCGAGCGCAAAAGATAACCCTTGGTGCTGCTGTCTTCAACAAGCAGGGCATGATCCTGGTTGATGCAGACGGCCTTATCCCTAGCACTATTATCACTGACTCGTTTATACCGACGGTATGTGATCTATAGACACCTTAGTAACAATATGACTATTGCTGATCCAAATGTAGAGTGACAAACAGCCTTTAACCGTCGCTCACCCTTACTTCCTATGGATGTTCCAGGTCACCAGGAACTGGGCCAGCCTTTCCCGTCTTATGAAGCAATATGCCGCCCAGAGGGAGCTCAGAATGATTAACAACGTCTCGCCTACTGAAGAAGATGGCATCCTCTTTCGAAGTAAATTCTGCCTGGCTGCTATGAGACTCGCCGAACGTCTCCGCGGGGACCTTTCATCCGCTGGTGTCCTCTGGGACGAGATCCTACCAACCGGCCGTCCAACGACTTCTACTCTGGAATTAGAGCCTTATAACGAACCGACGAGCCGCATATCAACCAAGTTTAGACTAAACTTACATGAAAAGGTGGCGGCATGCGAACAGCAAGTTGGACAAGGCTCACTGATGTTTCTTGTTAGCTGCACCCAGAGTGAGCGTGATGAGGAAAGCCTTGCTGTGGCTGGCTATCGGTTCGCGGCGGTAGAACATGTCAGCGGAATTATTGCCTCTCGAATGCAAATCAAGACGCTTGGGGTTAGTGAAAAGCTGTGTCAAATGGCTGGGTATGTCAGCCAGGACAAAGCGACAGGCGCTCATGTCCGTTTGGGCTTTTTCGCCATCAGAGCTCGAGTTAATACGTCCGGTTTTGATGTCCTTGTCAAGACCTCGGCACGAAACATCCTCCCTTCTGTTCATCTATCTATTCCCAAGCTCGAGTCATGGCAGATAGCCATTATAAACCGATTCAAGGGAATGTCTACCGTTGCTATGATGCACGCTTTGGAAGAGATCACGATATCAACCGAAAGAGAGACTGAGTTTATCAGCCAGCTTCGGATCGGGATCAATACACTACGTGCATCATTCCAGGACCCTCTTATGGACGACGCGATTCTCTCAGCAGAAGTGATTAACTTGCCCGGCGGGCGACACGACCGATCAACCCTTCACACAATGCTCATTTTCAGAATTATTGCCCCTATTCATTCCGTTATCAACAACCCAGAATATGAGTACATCCCTCTCAGCCTTTTCAAAACTCATCAGCTGGTTAAGATGCAGGAATCTCAACTCGCATTCGTTCAGAGCGTACACCATGAATTCGGATCCGTTCTCGGCGAGGTTTCACTAAGCGAGGAACAATACCGAGAACCAGTTGGCCACAACGTTCTTGCTAAACTCAGAAGGAAAAAAAGCACACAAATACACAGCAGAGTGGTAGAAGGGGACGAGGAGCAAGTGTTAAGAAGGAAATCATCAACTGGATCAGGCTCGGCCTCGACAATAAACATGTATCAATCCCCAGCAGGCAGTGCGAGATCTCAGATTGGCAACATCCAGCGGAAAGACACTTCACACGATGTGGTTCGAGACACAAACTTAGCCGCACCGTCGTTTGGAGGCATCATGGTCTTGCAAGAGATCAGAATCAATGTCGAAGAAAGCACTGATCAAAGGCGGCAGCTGACAGACCCTATGAGTAGCATGGCAATCACCAGTCACATATCAGCCTCGTCGGATATTGAGCTGCAGTCGAAGATCTATGACAAGGCGATGGAAATTCAAGTGTCATACGCGTCACCAGGGAGTAGAAGCCACAATACGTTTGTCGATATATTATTCCAGGATACTATAGAGAGTCAAGGGTGGAAAAAGTGAGGGAAAGATATCTACAAAGGATTAATAACGGCGGTACATTGATTGTTGATTTTCACGATAGACTATAAATAATATATTTCTACATATTCATTATTTGAGATGTCGCGTCTGACATCTTTATGCTGTGTGGTTTTGCTTTGTACTCGAAAGGTCTCATCCATGGCCGAGATAGTACGTCCTTGATCGGATTGATCAAGTAGCAAAGGTCACGGTGATGGACTTTCCAGCCACCCAGCAACGAGGCGAGATGCCATCATACGGCCCAAGACGCAGCAGAAAACGAACAAAAGGATGTTATGATGAGATTTCAGTTAGGGCCTGAGCGAGGGAACCGACTTTACCGGTGAGGAGAGGGGTGCTCGTCCATGAAGGGATGAAGGCACCGGTGAGGAACTCATCACATCGAACTATGGATGTCATGAGGTGAAGTTTTGATATTTAGTGTCAGAATTGCGGAGAAAGGGCAGAGGAGGGGCAGAGCAATAAGAAAGCTTCCTCCTCTTCTGCTAGCTTCCGGCAGTGTCGCTACTGCGCTGATGAGGGGAGTTTCCGTAAAGTTTTGAACGGAATTCGTCAACAGTTTTAGCTCTTTGTAAGCTTAAGCGAGGTTGACTCTAGTGCATGGAGCTTTCAGCTTTTCAGGGGCTGTAGGTAAAGCTTTAACGAAACCTTACTGGGCGCCACATGCCATGAATCTTGAGCTAAGCTGCTTCTTTCCACGTTGTTTCAACTTCCTGAGCTGCCAAGACCTTTACATGACATGCGAAACCGTTATTTCGGTTGTTTTTAAATAAACCCACATCGTATAGATGCAGTGTAGGAGACAAATTTACTTGCATCTAGACCCATTATGCCCCCTGATGTGGGGAGATATAGTTAGGTCTAGATCATGGAGAACATGCCTGGGTCAATAGATAATATCTCACCAACCCCTCCCGCAAGGCACTCTATATTCTTCTGTTTGGACTCACTCATCCATGGTCTATAAAGAATCTTTAATTTGAAAAGAAGGAAGGAAAATCACCTTTAGCTCGGTGATAGATTCTTGGGATCGACTAGAGGGGGCAGGCTGTGGACACTGGGAGATAACGGCGCGAGGGAAAAAACTTGCTCACCTATTGATTCCTTCTTATCGCTCACCTGAAGCTGAATGAAGACGGTCAAAGCTTGAACTCACGCCATATTCAGTTTCTCTTTACTTTTAGTAGGTCATAGTGAAGGTTTAGCTGGCCAAAAACAGACAGAAATCGCGCAGGATAGATGTAACGAGCATCCTACCACCGTCCCCTCAATTCCATCTCCGCAACAGCGATGAAGGAAGGTTAGCTCTTAGCCTTATAGCATATAGAAGTATACCAGGGAGAAGCCTGCGGTCCCCACCTCAGCCGCTCCTTGAGACCTTGGTGTGGGCTTTCAATATCACTAAATCGCCAAGAAAGTCAACTGGAAAGTAAGACCTCTTTTGTCAGGAAGTCCAAGAGATGCAACGGATACGGTAAGGTTGGAAGTTTGCCGGGATATGGAATTCCAGCGGTGTCCTGGACTAGATGCTCTGGAAATGGGAAGACTCCTTGGTGTGATTCATGCCAGGAGGGAAAGAAGGCGGAAAAATCGCGTATAAGATGCCGCGACATTCGCATGTTTCTACTATCATCGAAATTCTTCACCAACCCAACCATATCTTCCTTCCATTCAAGTTCTCATCCTCTCATCGACGTCGCAGAGTCGAAGATGGTTGGAGCCAGCATCATCTTGGCATCGTTTGCCGCCCACGCCTTATCGTTTGCTCATGGCGAGGCTCCTCCCAGCAAGGATCCATGTCCCAACAAGTCGATCTGTGTCGGTAACTACTACACGCCCGTCTTCATTAGCATTGACCCGGGGGATTGTAATGCAAAAAGTTGCAAACCCGACCAACTGTGTGTCGCCGGTAGATGCCAACCCCTAAAGATCGGCGACGCTGACCACGAAAAATGCGGTGATGCGCAGACTGCTTGTGCCTCTGGCCAGTGGTGCAAGAGCGGAGCCTGTCACTCCATCGACGTCGTCACCGATTCCCTGAATTGTGGCGGATCCAGCAAGTGTAAGGCTGGTGAAGTGTGTCTCAACAACGTGTGCGCAGCCATCAAGCTTGGGGACGACCCAGCATTCTGCGGAACCGAGAGAGAAGCTTGTGACCCAGGGCAAGTCTGTCTGGATGGTACTTGTACTCCGGTCACCGTGGGCATAAGTGCCAAGCCATGCTCCCGGAACGAAGAATGCCCCTACAGCAACAAATGTAACGGAAACGTCTGTGAGCCCATTGTCATTAGCACCAACCAAACACGCTGCGGAAGGGAGTCCGAATCCTGCAAGCCTGGTAGCATTTGCGTGTCAGGGAGTTGCAAGGCCATTAGTTCCCCTGACTCTAAGGGGAGCGAGTGTCCCCCCGGGACTGCCAAGTTCGGTGACCAGTGCCAAGCGCTCCGTATCAGCACTGACAACTCGACTTGTGGCACGGCTAAGGATGGCTGTGACATTGGTCAGATTTGTATCTCTGGCGTCTGCGTTGACAACCTTTTCGATGCTTCGCTTGCCATTCTGAGCCCATGTACCAGTCTCGGTCAATCTCCTGATTATGATGGAACGTACTCTGGTGGTAAACAAAATCAACCGCATGACGATGGAGGCCACAATGAATCTCATGATGATGGCGAAAGCTCTGGCCATGGCTCCCACAGTGGAGATTACCTTGAGGATAATGGATCTTCCCGGGATGGTGGAAACTCTAACAACCGTATTCCTGTTGGATGGCATAGGCCAGACACCCCAATATCCCAGCCGGGCGACGGCACCTGCTACTGGCCCATCGAAGGCTATTGCCGCAACGGCGAGGTATACATGAACGGAATCTGCGTGGATATTATTGGTGACGCAGAGAATTGCTCCGGTCCGGGACAGGCCTGCCCATCGAAAAATATATGCTGTCGCGGAGACTGCTACCCAGTTGACGTGTTCTCTGACCCCGATAACTGCAGTAGCAAGGCGTGTGGACCGGGCCAGGTTTGTACGGATGGTGACTGCATCCCTTGTGTTGTCGAGCCTGACCCGTCCAAGTGCGGCCAAATAGACTGTGGTCCCGGCAAGCTCTGTATCTCAGGGGTTTGCGCTGACATAAAGGATGACGCCCAAAACTGCGGTGCTCCTGGAGTTGCCTGTGATGCTGACAACATCTGCATTCTTAACACCTGCATCCCCATCAACCCTAGTGGATCTGGTTCTTGTAACGACCGATGCTCTACTAATGATATATGTGTTGACGGAAGTTACATTCCCATCGGAAAGCCTCCTATCCAGTGTGAGCCTGAGTGTGGCCCAGAGAGTGTCTGCCTCAACGGGCAATGCCTCAATATCGGCCACCCAGGCACCTGCAACACTCCTGGGAGTAAGTCAGACTTGAGTCGCCCGTGCCCCTCTGGCTTATCTGCATGGATGGGGCCTGTGTTCTATTTTCTACTCCTGACCTGTGTGATGCGGATGGAAACAAGTGCGCAGAGGACTCTGTCTGCGTCTTGGGCAACTGTATCCCGATCGGCAACCCAGCCCAGTGCGGCCCCGATGGCAATGTCTGCTCACCCAATAACATTTGCCTGGGGCGTTACTGTACTCCTATCGAACATCTTACCTGTGACGGCAACAGTGACTGCCCTGCGGATCAGGTCTGCAGCGACGGTATTTGCGCTCCCAGAACTGGCAGCTGTAACAATGATAGCGACTGTCCCACTGACCAAACATGCAAAGGGAACATCTGTGCGCCGGTAACTACCGTTGGCTGTGGAAAGGATGAGGATTGCCCTGCCGGCCAGGCATGCAACGATCGCAACATATGCGAGTCAACATCTTCGAGCTGTACAGCGGATACTGACTGCCCTCCGAACCATTTCTGTTCTTACCCAGACAACTCCTGTCAGCTGATTGGACCTGTGGACTGCAGTTCAGATGAGGACTGCCCTGAGAACCATTCATGCAACCAGGATCTAAATGTGTGCGAACCCACAGAGCCGGTTACCTGTAGCAGTGAAGCCGACTGCGCTGCGGGCCAGTCATGCGACTTAGAGAGTGGTGTTTGTGAGACTGTTCCCCCTAGAGACTGCGTCTCTGATGAAGAATGCCCGACTGGTCAGAGCTGCTCCGTTCATAACTTCTGCACGGTCTCGCCTTCCTTCTGTATGGATTCTTCTGTTTGCTCCGACGGCGAGTTCTGCTCAGAAGAGTCCCATACGTGCGAGCCTGTTGATGGAACTCCCTCCGAGACCAATAACGACTGCCCTGTTGATAGCACGTGTAACGTGGCCCTCAAAGTGTGCGAGCTTACCTCGCCAGATGAGTGTGAATCAGATAGCGACTGTCCCTCTGGTCAACAGTGCAACACTGCCATTAACGTTTGCGAGATCCTTTCTTCCACTCCTTGCGAGTCTGACAGCGAGTGCCCTGATGGCCAGGTTTGCGACGGCGAGAGTGGGATTTGCACCACACCTCCTAACGTCTGCCAGTCTGATGAAGACTGCCCAGATGGCCAATCCTGCGACCAGGAGTCATCTTGCCAGCCGAGTGGCCCAGAAACTTGTATTACAGATGAGAACTGCGCTAGTGGATATGTTTGCAACGCCCAACTCAGCATCTGTGAGCCTGATACACCAGCCAGCTGCCAGACCAATCAGCAGTGTCCCGCTGGGCAGACCTGCAACGTTGATCTCAATACCTGCGAGAACTCGCCACTAAGCTGTGCTTCCAACAGTGACTATTCTAATAATGAGGTCTGTAACCCGGAAACCAATACTTGCGAACCTGACGGACAGGCGACGCCCTGCGAGAGCGACGCCGACTGCACCGAAGGGGAGAGTTGCAATGCTGATACTAGTATCTGCGAGCCTACGTCACCCGATATTTGTAACTCAGATGATGACTGTCCATCGGGTCAGGAGTGCAATCTTGAGGTTGGGAGCTGTGAGCCTTTGTCGCCAGGAAACTGCACCTCAAATGACGACTGTCCAGCAGGCCAGATTTGTAACCAAGATGAAGGTTCTTGCATAGTTGGAGAACCGAACACTCCCTGCCAATCTGACGAAGAGTGCCCGGCCGGACAGAGTTGCGACCAGACAAGCAATATTTGCGCGCCCTCTACCGACTTTTGTCAATCCAACAACGACTGTGACCTAGGGACACAATGCAATCTTGACAGCATGACTTGTGAGGTTATTCCCGGCTTCTGCAGCTCTGATGACGAGTGCGGCAATGGCCAGACGTGCGACCTCGATACCAATGTGTGCGAAGAAGCGCCAGAGTGTGAAGCTGACAACGAGTGCGAGGCAGGCCAGTTCTGCAACACGGGGAGCAACACTTGCGAGGACATTCCTGGCTTCTGTACAAATGACTCCAAATGCCCTCAAGGCGAGAACTGCAACCTGGTGGATAATACCTGCGGGCCTATCGACGGCTATTGCACTTCTAGCGAGGACTGCGAGCAAGGCCAAAGCTGCAATATTGATGAGCCCATTTGCGAGGATATTCCCGGCTACTGCGCTTCTAATGGCGATTGCTCCCCCGGTCAGATATGCAACACTGCCACCAGTGTTTGCGAGAACGATCCCGATTTCTGCGGCTCGCAGGACCAGTGCGAAGAGGGGCAGTCCTGCAATCTCGTCCTCAATATCTGCAAGGACAACTCCGACACCTGCACTGACGACAGCCAGTGCCCGGCGGGTCAACAGTGCAACTCTGCCAGCCAGGCTTGTGAGGACATTCCTGGCTACTGTGTCGATGATTCCCAGTGTAGCCAAGACCAGACCTGCAACCTAACCACTAATATGTGTGAGGATCGCGGTCCTGGATCCTTCTGTCTCGACAATTCCGACTGCGAGGAGGGTCAGACCTGCAACACCGAGTCCAATACCTGCCAAGATGCCCCAGCCCCCTGCACCGGTGATGGTGACTGTCTCGATGGTCAATATTGCGATGATGAAAGTAACTCCTGCGAGGACATCCCGGGATTCTGCCAGAGCCAGAGCGACTGCGAAGAAGGCCAGACATGCAATACAGAGTCCAACACATGTGAGAATATTGACGGATACTGTGCCAATGAAGCCGACTGTAGTGAGGGCGAGACCTGCAACCTGGAAACACAGCTCTGTGAGCCGATCGAGGGCTTCTGTCAAGACACTACAGACTGTCCAGCCGGTCAGTCTTGTAACACCGGGACCAACGCCTGCGAACCTATTGATGAATTCTGTCAAGATACTATAGACTGCCCCGCTGGCCAATCTTGTAATACTGAGTCTAACATGTGTGAGCCCATTGATGGGTTTTGTCAAGATACTATGGATTGTCCTGCCGGCCAAACTTGTAATACTGGCTCTAACACTTGCGAACCGATTGATGGTTTCTGCCAAGATGCTACAGACTGTCCTACTGGTCAGACTTGCAATGCCGGGTTCAACATTTGCGAACCTGTTGACGGTTTCTGCCAAGATACTACAGATTGCCCTGCTGGTCAGTCTTGCAACACTGGATCCAACACCTGTGAGCCCATTGACGGCTACTGCACCAGTGACTTGGACTGTGACGAAACCGAGGACTGCAACCTAACCAACAACACTTGCGAACCCAGTTCGTCCAGCTGCCAGACCAACGACGAATGTCCCGAGGGCCAGACCTGCGATGCGGGTACTTGCATCTCAGGAGAGCTGGGCGGTGATTGTGGGGAAGGTTGCACTATCGGTATATGTCTTCCCTTGATCAACATCTGCGGTCGGCTCCTTGATGACACCTGCTCCACGCTGAATCAAAACTGTGCTCTTGGCATCTGTATACCTCTTCTCGGACTCTGCGCCGACATCTGTCTTTAAGTAGGGGCCAGAACACTGGGAAAGACGACAATATGAGGGGAATACTGGCGGTGGTGACGAAGGCAAAGGTGGACTGGACGGCCTACTTCTGGGACTTGGCCCAAGACTTGGCCTAGCTTAAATCCCAGCACTTCTGGCGGGATTGCAATTGTACACTAGTGTAGGGGACATATGTATAGTGCTTTTGAATGTAGACGGCTCTTGGTTTTCTTAGGTTATGTCGTTGATATTAACTGAATGTTACTCTCATATAAGCAAGCCGACCAGCCGACTACCAGATTTGCACCGTGCTATTTCTCACCGTAAATCAATACTCACATGAGAAGAACGTCAACGGTGCCAACACCAGTTGCAATCCATAAGACTCAATCTCATTCGGCGGCCTTGAGAGAAGACTTCTGGACTACCCTAAGTCTAGGCCCCCGATCCTAAATCACCGATAGGACTTTTGAATGGCAATGATTATTGGCTCATTCATATATTAACAATGAAATCATCTTACTGAAGTATTTTTTTTGTTTCTTTTTCAGGCACCTTGGCGTTGATTGAGGAACCACATCCGGTTCTGAGTACGCGACAACAAACATCAAGCTCGGCATGATGTTCGCCATAACCTTTGGTCGCGACTCACTTAATAGGTAAGCGGGAGATCAGTATGATCAGCTGATATGTTCAAGTATCATCATTTTGCTACATTAGACGCAGTAGCAAAGTCAAACTTGAGCATTGAAGTAGGTATGAATGAAGACTAAACCCAGTCATGTTGAATTTGCATATATAAAGTATTAGCATACCCAACCTCCGTCAACATTGTAAACAGCTCCTGTCACAAAAGAGGCTTCATCGCTGAGCAGGAACGCAATGACCGTCGCAATCTCGGAAGGCTCTGCTCTTCGCTTCTGTGCAGTGACTTGCAGGCCCTTCTTCACATGTTCCGGGTCTTCGCCGCGAGACATGGGGGTGTTGACAGATCCTGGACGTGGTTTTAGTTAAATTGAACTTCTCCCAATTATTCCAAGGCGTGGATTGCTTACCTGGAGAAACGCAGTTTATTCTGATCTTCTGGTTTTCCTTTGCCGCAGTGCGGGTAAGGCCGATGACGGCAGCTTTGCTAGCACAATACCTGAGCACAATTGAAGTTAGAATAATTCTAGAAGGCTGATAACACATATCGTTTAGGGCTGGAATGTGCTTTACTTACGCCGAGTTTCCTGGTGCTCCAAACTGGCCAAATACGCTGGCTGCAGATACCTGATAACGTGATTAACGTGTAAGTTTATGATATCTGTAGAGTAAAGGGGTCATCATTAAGGACACTTACAATGCTTGCTCCGTCCGTCATGGCGTTCAATTGAGCCCTGATGCAATTGAAAACGCCACGGGTGTTGACAGAAAACATGAAGTCCCAGTCACTGTCCTTCATATCCTTCACCGGGGTAGTGGGAACAATGACACCCGCCATGTTGACGGCGCCGTCCAGCTTGCCAAACTTCTTGACGGTCTGCTCAATCCATGAGTTTACAGATTGGCTGTCCCGCACATCGACAGATATTGAAAGATGCTTGTCGCTAGATGCAAGAGTTGCCTGTGCCTGTTTGAGACCACCCTCATTAAGGTCGGCAAGTGAAATTAGGGCTCCCCGCGATGCTAGCAGCTGGGCAGTGGCAAGGCCCATGCCGGAGGCTGCGCCAGTAATGGCAATCTGACAATATTAGACGCTGTTGTAGATGGGTCGATCTGGAGACGAGACTTACAACTTTTCCTTCAAAAGAAGACATGGTGAATTATTCCACTGAGTGACACAGGTTTGTTCAAGTTATTTGACTATGAGATAGATCTAGATATAGACCTATCACACATACGATCGGCCTGATATAGATCTGGTGACCGTTGGGATCGGACCCGAAGCCGAGGGTTCCCCGCCTTCTCCCTCCTGCGTTTGGCAACACTTTCCTGGAGACAACAAGCGGAAAGTGTTTCCAGACTACTCAGATAAGGACAGGCCGTATCTTTAAAGTCGTAGTTCAGTCTTAATGTGGAAAGGAGCTATTTTGGCAGATTGAGAAAGACACGCCGTCCAATTTTGTAAATAAAAAAAATCGTCTGATTTTGCTATACGAGGATCCCTATATTCTGATTAGTCTCATTCCTCCTCTTCTCTTCCCATATCATATCTAACTCGGCCTGCGAATCTGAAAATACTCTGAGTCCGCTACGCCTTGCATTACTATTGAACCACCGGAGAAATGCCAGCCTCACGCCCTCATCCTCCGCTTCTCTCGCCGCTATGAACGCTGGCCACGCCAATCTCACCGATCCATATCCTTGCCCGTCGTCAATATCCTCATACCGGGCCAGACAGTCACGGATGCTAGCAACCTCACTCTGCAGCATGCTAGAGTCTACGTCATAAAGCGTCCGATATAGATAAATCACGATGGCCTGTTGTGTCGCATTGCACAGGATTTCCAGGAGTGGCTGGGACGCGCGCTGATCGTACTCTGCCATCAAGACGTCCGGCAGCTTCTTGAGCTGATGGATCCGCTTCTCAATGGACTTGCCGCGCCGCATAAACTCCCTCAGGCCAAGGTTGTCAGTGCTGTTGACATCGTTCTTGGCTCGCCCGAGACAGATGATGAGAGACAAGAGTAACACATAAACCTCTTGGACGCCAAAGATCTCCGGGTACAGAGTAGCAACCCATATCCCGGGTGTCTGGAGATGAAGGTCGTTCTCCCCCACATCCGCGTCCTTCACCTTGGTCATGGCCTCATCAAGGTTGGCCCACTCGCTCGGTCGGAATGACAAGCTATCCCGGCTGTACACTGAAGCCCCGCTCGTCTCTATGGCGTTGCGGACCAGTGATCTATACGGAGACTGGGTTGTCCCCGGGTAGGTGGTCTCGTGCTGCAGCCTTTCAAAGGTGTAGCAGTGATGCAGCAGGCGGACCTTGCGTGACTTTCTACGGTTCAGGCCCTTTACGCGGATCAACTTTTCGGCTTCCAGGAAGTAGAACTCCTTTTGGTCCGAGGCCCGGGATACGCTCGAGATTTGCACCATTGTTAAAAGGGCGAGCAAAAGGGATTTGTATTTCGCTCTTTTAGGGATGTCGTAGGCAGTCTTGAGCATCATACGAACATGATACAGCGCCCTTTGCTTGTATTGTCTGAATTGTTCGTACCACTCTTGTGAGTTTGAAATGACAGCAAGACTGTTGGCGCTCAACGCTAAGGTGCCGTAGAATGCGCAGAGACTAGCATCGTCTAGGGACTCTCCAAGGGTGAGGGCGGCTAAGCAACTTTTGGCGTGCGGAAGGAAGAGGACATGCCACGGTGTCTTGCTATGGCGGAATGGCGTGAGAGACTGAAGAACAGTTGTTGAATAGTGCTTGAGGAGAAACACGGCGTCGTAGGGAACTGTGATATCAATGGCGGCAGGGATCGATAAAGACTGTGGGGGACTGAGAGGTGGGTTGAGCACATGTGATACTGATAACGCACTTGAACTCGGTGAATGTCGAGTTGCATCCGGCAACGGCGATGCTTGGAGTTCAGCAAGTGAGATATCTTCCGGAAGTTCCTGGATACGATATGAATCTGGCGGCAACATGCCATCGGACCAACCGTTCATGTCATCGAAGCTATTCATGAGCCACCAGTCTTCCATGCTGTTTAGGTAGCTGGGAGTCCTGGGACGTTGACTAGGGCTATCCCGCCCCGTCATGTACGATACACTTGGCTGTGATGGCTTTGTTGATAGTGATCTTTCCGGCGGGGATGCCATGATGTCGTCATGCGAGTCAGCTTCGCCGTTGGGTTCCTCAAATGGGATGTTGATGTTTTGCTGTAGGGTCGTTGGGCTAGGCGTTCCCAGCTCTTCATTGACGGGCGAGGTCTCGGTTTGTTTCGTTAGGCCAAACACTCCAAAAGGCCCCCGGGAGATTTGAATGTCCCGGCTATTTGATGCATTCTCGCATTCTTCGTCGATTTGGTAGATGTTCAGGAGAGCTAGAGATGGCCTGACGCTTGAGACGATCTCCTTGCTCATGCTTTCTCGTTCTTCCTCAGTCAATAGCGGGCGCCGGAAACGGGCCGCACCGGACGCAGCATCGTCGTTCTCGAAGTCGAAAAATATCCTCTTCTCGTACCCGCCGCAAGAGAGATGGTGCGTGATGCATACTGAGCAACTCGGTTTCGTCTCATCGCATTTCATCCGGCGGATCCTGCACTGTGGAAATTGTGAGAAAAGGCTCATGGATGACCCGGCTCAAGGCACTTTGGGAATACTTACCGTTACACATCCCCCGAATGATCTGCTCCGTCTAGAATCTTTTTCCATATCTTCTGTTTTCTGTATTGTCGGGGATGTAAATGAGAAGATGAAGAGTCATCCGTGGAAAGTAACGCATGAAGGAAACCTTCTTGGACAGGGATGAGTGCTGGCTGAAGAGATAAGATTAGTGCATGCGGGGAAGAGCTAAGTCGTTTGATCCCTCTAATCTGGGGTCGAGACCCGCTGGACAGATTGCAGAAGCTTTCCTGTTTGATCAGACGCTGCTGTAAGGATGCCTAGAGCGAAGTGGTCTCTATCACGGAGGGTGAAGGCGAGAATGGCCCAGCTCGAACGTGACTCGCGTGCCGTAGTCGCCACGCTTCAATCACCTCTAGTGAGGTATTACCCAATCGCGGATTGTTTGATAATCAGTTAGGACAGTGAAGTTTCTTATCGTTACGTTAACCACTTGGAAAGGAGAGATCCATGCCCAGCGGATAAGGATGGGGGGCAACGCCTCGTCCGCGTGATGGAGATGAGAGAGTGGGCCAAGGGGAGACTTTCCCAAGTCAGCAAACGGCAAGTATCTCCAGAATATGGTTAGTGGCAGGCCTGAAGGAGTTGGGGAAAGTCGTGCAGAAACCTTCTCCGCTTCCAAGGGTCACACCATGCCACCATCGGCCGTGGCAGAGCCGTAGGCAGTCGGCTCAAGCCAATTGCAAAGTATTTAGAGACGGACGCCGTTGAGTGAGGCGAAAGAGAAGTATCAGATCTATTTCGTCCATCGTTAGGCTCTTAACCGCACTATCTTGTTTGAATACAACTTTGTACCGCATAAAACTACTTGTCTTCAATTGAAATAACACTGTTCTCTGGCGCCTTACAATGGGTTCCGGCCAGTCGACCGAGCGCTCTTACGACTTAGTCATCTTAGGTGCTGGCCTGTCTGGGCTGGCCACCCTTTACAACGCCCGCGAGCGTTTCCCCGACTGGCGCATCAAAGTCGTTGAACGCGGCTCAGATGTCGGTGGTACTTGGTATTATAACTCGTACCCTGGCTGTCGGGTAGACACCGAATCACTCTCGTACTGCTTCTCCTTCGACAAGGAACTGCTGAAGGAGTGGCACTGGAAGGACACTTTCTCAACCCAAGGCGAGGTGCACCGATATATCAAGCGCTTCGCAGACCGAAACAATCTGCAAAAGGATATTGACTTTGACCGCACTGTCAAATCAGCAACATGGGACGACGCCGCCAGGCAGTGGACAGTGCAGACTGCCGAGGGAAACAAGTATACGACCAGATTCCTCATCAGCAGCATTGGCTTCCTCTCAGCACCCACGCTGCCAGCCATTCCAGGGATTGAGTCCTTCGCAGGCCCAGCATTCCACACCTCGCGATGGCCCAAGAACCTCGACATGGAGAAGGAGTTCGCCGGCAAGCGCATCGGTGTCATTGGCACTGGCGCCACCGGCATCCAGACCATCACCGCACTCTCCAAGATAGACAGCATCAAATCTCTCTCTGTGTTCCAGAGAACAGCCAATTGGTCTGCGCCTCTGCGCAATGAATCTATCTCGGAGGAGCAGATGGCTGAACATGTAAAGAACTACGACAATCTCTTTGCTGAATGCACCGCTTCCCCAACCGGTTTCCTCCACAGGGCCGACCCACGCAAGACACTGGAAGTCTCTGAAGCCGACCGTCTCGCGCACTGGGAGAAGATTTACAGTCAGCCAGGTTTCTCAAAGTGGCTGGGCGTCTTCAGCGATTGCTACACAAACAAAGAGGCCAATACCCTCTACTCCAACTTCATTGCGGACAAGATTCGCCAGAGAGTCAATGATGTCGGTGTCGCAGACAGCCTGATTCCCAAAGACCACGGATTTGGCATGCGCCGTGTCCCATTGGAGAGCGGCTACTTTGAGGTGTACAACAAGCCCAACATCCATCTGGTGGATCTCAAGAAGACCCCCATTACCACAGTCAAGCCGGCCGGCATCGAGACAAGCGATGGCGCCCTGCGTCAGCTCGATGTTCTCATCTACGCGACCGGATTCGATGCCATCACAGGTGCCTTCCGGGCTATCGACTGGAAAGGAAAGGATGGCCGCCCACTTGTAGGCGTTTCTACCGACCCCAAAGGCGAGCGAGCTGTCTGGCTTGACCATCGCCCCTACACCTTCCTCGGCATGACCATTCCAAATATGCCCAACCTTCTGACGGTCATGGGCCCCCATCAACCTGTAGGAAATGCTTCTCGCAACATTGAGCATTCGGTCCAAGTCGCCATGGGCATCTTGGAGCACGCCAAGAAGAACGATTACACATATGTTGAGGCGACGCCAGAGGCCGCAGACGCTTGGACCCAGCACGTTGCCGACTGCGCCAAGGGGTCGCTCATCAACGAGGTTGACAGCTGGATGACTGGTGTGAACAAGAACGTGAAGGGGAAGACTGTTCGTATTGTAGCTAGATATTCGGGTACTGTTCAGGAGTACCGTAGACGATGTCAAGAGGCCAAAGATAACGGCTACAAGTCATTGATATTTGCTTAGATTGACATAGATATTATAATTGATTTGCACTAGACTTCATTATGCCGAGATCTCGGACCTTGAAGTATCCCGTGGCAATCATATACATAATGATCCTTATGCCTCAATTGTTGCTTGATATCTTCGTCAATGAAGGCTGTAGCATTATGAATATATTCTGAGGTAAAGATCCCCGCACTATTCATTACGATCCATCCTGTCATTTATTGCTTGTTGACGTTGGTATACACTGTATCCGCCTCAAAGAAGTGTCTTCTCTCACTAATCTCCTGGGTGAACACAAGCCCCTCAAATCCATATCGGAAGAGAGGCCGACACCTGTGACAGATGGTCTTATCTGCCGTTGGAGAGCAGACTGGAAGCCCCATTTACTCCGATATCGTCGATCCGTGGGCTCGACTTGATTAGCCCTCAACTTCCGAACAAATCAATTAAACTCCCGAGATGCAGATAGCAGGGCGAGTCATACTCAAGTCAATTGATAGGCACCTGGCCGCCGACAAACAAGGGAAGTCTTCCCTGGTTATTTTCCCCAGATTGATCCTTGCCACGATTCTCTGCATCCCCGCAGCAGCCCACATGATCTCGATAAGCCTGGATGGGCGCTATCCACGTGGTCCTGATTAATGTGGGTGTCGCCTGTAGGTAGGCATTGCATCTATGAGGAAGGTTTCCCCAGCCGGTGATAGAGTGGAATCCGATAATGGCACACATGCAAATTTAGCCATATAAAGAATATGAGTGTCTTTTGGAGAGGAGGATAGACAAACAACCTAGGTCTATTCTATTCCCTTCCATTTCATCACCATTTTTAGCTTTAATTCCCCTTCTCTCCCGTTCTGAACCTTCCACAAAATACGATGGATGTACCGGGATTCGCCGTCATCACTGGAGCTGCCTCTGGCATTGGACGGGCTTGTGCAAACGGCTTCGCGAAGGAAGGATCAGCCGGAGTCGCTCTTCTCGATCTCAACGATGAGGCGTTGCAGATTGTCAAGTCCGAGATTGAGGCGGCTTCACCGAAATGTCGTGTTCTCACCTACGCTATCAGCGTGGCCAACGAAGAGCAAGTCATCGCCTCCGTGAATGACATCGCGGCCAAGTTTGGGCGCATCGACTACGCCGTCAACGCCGCCGGTTTAGCCATGAAGCATCAGGGCGGTGCCGCCTTTGCCAAGACAGAGGACTGGAAACGCATCCTGGACGTCAACCTGGATGGGTCGTTCTTTGTGCTCAAAGCCGTTGCCCAGGTCATGCTGAAACAAGACTACATCCTCTCTTCCGTCGATGGCCGCCCACTGCAACGCGGCTCCATTGTCAACTTTAGCTCCATCCAGGGTGTCGTGGGCATCACACTCTCCGCCGCATACTGCACGTCCAAGCACGCCATCGTCGGGCTTACGCGGACTGCATCAGAGGACTACGCGGACCAGGGTCTTCGGATCAATGCCATCTGTCCTGGATACACCGAGACGCCGCTGACTACCAAGAACCCCGACGTGCTGAAGGCAATGCAAGAGCGGGTATCGACTGCAGTGCCGATGAAGCGCATGGGCCAGCCTCAAGAACTGGCTGATGGTGTTTTGTATCTTGCTGGTGGACGCAGTTCGTTTGTCACTGGCAGTGTCTTGATGGTCGATGGGGGATACACCTGCAGGTAGATGTTAGGTTTAATGATGTTGCATATGAAAGCGAATGTCTGACAATTTTTAAATTTGATCATTTCCACCCTCATAGGCAGATGCGTGAACTATTTTATGGTACCGTAACCAAGGCGTGGTGTTTCGATTCTGAGTTTGTCCAACCCAGCTTCCGCCTCTGCCTGACATACCTGCCTACAGATGGCGGTTGTACACCTTGGATGGAAGCGGAAGTGATTTTATGGTGATGAATAAATATAAGGTATGTACTGCTGGCTGGACGAATACTCTATGGGACTATGCCAAATGATACCAACTGACCAAGACCAGCATAACGCTTCATAAATCTACAGTGTTCAATCCTACGCTACAGTGATCAGATACCTGTTAGTTCATAATTATAGTACACTACAGAACAGCATGGAATGAGACCAACCGCTTAACATTAGTGGCATGTGGCCAGCCAATCTTATCCAAATTCGAGTAAGACACATTCCACTCATCCGCAGGGTGAGCTTCCCTCTTTAAATTCGCGTCACCATTCTCGACTGTCGTCTGTTTGCCCACCGTTCTCTGTTGTGGAGCGTTACACAGCGCTGAACTAAGAGATCATGGCTGAAGAAAGCGCCATCCCGCTGGTCGCTTCTCCTTGGAAACTCAAAGGGAGTGTCTACGCCTTCGCGTACTGGACAAAAGTCGACGCCGCTGGCAATCTGCCCGATGTCGCCTACTCCCCTCTCGAGCATGCTTCATCCTTCGCGTCGCCCGAAGGTGGTCACCCCATCGGCGGCCTCAGTATGATCCAGATCATCCGCTACACCGAGTCGCCGGCTGGGCCGTACGACGAGCTTCTCATAAGCCCGGGATCTTTCGAGTACACGGTCGAAGACAAGAATGAAAAGCGCGTCAAGAAGAGGCACCTCCGTATTACGCGAGCCTATGTATCTCAGAAGATCACAAATTGGAACGGAAGGACGAGTGAGTGCATCCCGGTTCTCAAATGAGTTGCTGCGCGCGGGCGCTTCTCCGTGAGTTTTACTGACGTGCTACAGATTGGAATATTCCCAAGCATCTCGCAAAATTTGACTGGGTTACGAGTGATGATGGACAAGTGTCCGTAAAAGTGTTCCCTCACGATACGACTGACGATCCAAAAGAGTTGAGCCCATCGACTACCCCGTTCTTCCAGGCATCATTCAAACCGGCCTCTTACCTACCATCATTCCCACTGTCCTTCAAGGTCTTGAACTCCATTGGCATCATCAACACTACTCTCGTGCACCCTCCTCTTCCCGCCGGTAGTGGCAGTCAAGGAGAGCTGCCCGGAACGGACAGGTGGTGTGCGGTATCGCCAAATCTGTGGTCCCGTAAGACAAGCCTGGGTTGGTTCGACATACGGCAGGGCGATACGCAGGACAGTATTGGCCTGAAGAACGGCAACTTCTGGCCTGGGCTTGGAAGATGGCAATTAGGCTACGTGATGAATGATTGTGAGGTAGACTTTCCGGATGGTAAATACTGGGACCCTCCAAAGTCTACAAATTGATACTGGCGGAATTTTGGCCTCAATAAAGAGTGTGGCAGATTGATTCTATTATTGTAGCAATTCAACTTGGCTTCATACTTGATAGTGTTTGCACTGGAGCCACGGTTTGACGCACAGACTTTTACCATGGAGCTATCTATCCTCCTCCTCCTCGACAATATAGTATGCCTCAAGCTCAGCGATGCATGTTCTAGCTGGAATCGTCACCGCAATTGGGAAGCCTCCATAATCAGGGTCGTCGTTGGGCATGATGAGGAATTCTCCGCTCCTAGTTTCATCGCCGTTCAACACTCGCAGCGTCCCCAGGTCGCCCTGCTCGTCAACTTCCTTCTCCTCTGCCCGGAGGATGCCGGTGAATGTGGCCTTGTTGTTTGTGCTCTTGAAGCTGACATTAAAGCCCCGACCAACAGCCAAGAACCGGGAGTTTTCAAGGTGAATCACCAATCCGCCTCCGGGTCCTGACTTGCCGAAGACAAAGGCTCTTTCCACAATCACTTCGATCTCGCCAAAGACCTTGGTCCATTTCTCCTTGCATTTTCCTTTCTCTTCGTCGAAATAGAAACCAAACCGATCATCTGGGCCCGCTGCCAATAGGTATGGCTTGATCTGATTCAGCAAACGAAACTCGCGGCCGGCGAGTTCAGCGCCCGTGTCAATGCCAAAGGGGCTAGCACCTAAAGCGCCGTATGTGCCATAGGAAAGCCAGAGACGCCGGGCACCGTTCTCATCACGGCGCTGCTCCGGGATAAACAAAGGATTCTTTTGCTCGCTGTATCTTTTGCACACCAACTCGTAATCATGGAAGTATAGATCCGGAGCAAGGAAGTCTAACGAAGGGGTATTGAAGCGCCAGATATCAAGCATATGTGGGCAAGGTCCACCTGAAGGGTAGACTCCAGCTTCCGCACCACCACCCACTACGATGGGCGTGCCAGACATGTCTAGCTCTGATGGGTTGTCGAAGTTCAGCCATGTGTTGGTGTAAAACGGAATGTCGTATTCCTTTTTGCCAGCAGCAGCCACTCGGCCGACGTATGAGGAGATATTGTATGCCATGAATGCTTCATTGGCCGGAACGCCTTTGCCAAAGACAAACTCCCAGCTGTGATCGCCAGATGAGGGGACATTGGGGAACCGAGCGCTGAACTGGGAGTGTAGATCGATCGAGGAAAGGTGCTTGAGAAGGCTTTCAGGGACAGGCTCGGAAAACGCCCTCTCAGCGCGCCGGGATCGATCACGAGAATCGCCAAGCAACCCCGTCTCATTTTCAACCTGGACCATGATCACGGTCTGGTGCTCGCCATCGACAGCCTTTAGATGTTTCATTAAAGTCGCGAATGCTCGAGCGTCCGCCTCACAGCTTTCGTTGCTCAGCGGCGACAGCATCTCAACCGTCCGTTTGACTCCGCCTGCCTCCAAAACCTGCACTCTGGGGAAGCGCTTTGCATCGCGCTTGACCCAGTTCGGTACGTACGTAGATATGCCATTCTTGTATGACCCAAACCAAAGGATGACGAGCTTCATGTCATGTTGTCGGGCGCCCTCGAGTACCTTATCTAGCTCTGAGAAGTCGAATTTGCCTTCTTCTGGCTCAATCATCTCCCAGGTGACCGACCCAAGGAGTGTGTTGATGGACTGCTGCTTCATGGGACCCCATACTTCACTCATATATCTGGCCGAGCTCAGTGACGAGTTGTGAAGTTCGCCAGGTAGCATGAGAAAGGGCTTGCCCTTCACAACCAGCTGTGTGTTGCCATTTTCCAAACGATGGAGGTGGGGAGGTGCGGTGACAGCCATCGTAGTAACAGATTTCAATTAAATCATCAAGATGACTGCGATGCGATGGTTGATTGATTCATGGGAATGAATAGAGAGCGATTAAATATCGAGTAATTTCGCTATACAAAGCGACCCGTTGAGATGACCGGTTGTACCTCCGAGTGCAAGCATTGCGCCGGACTTCCGATGCAGCTGATGTCATATCATGCTACTTAGAAGCTAGATGGACCTGTACGCGGACTATTAGCCTCAAGTGGATTGCTTCAAGTTTATCCTCGGATTTATTACCCCAAGTGGGTGAAATAAAACATGGCACATCGAGATAGTTCAGTACTGAAATTCAATACAATATTATAATAAATAACCTAGTACTGAATACAATATCAAGCTAAATATTATATAATAGTTTAGTATTCTCTTATTATTATCTACCTACCTACTGTATTTAGTTAAGAAACGAGGTCCCTGTCTTATGCGGAAAGAGCTTTGGTGTGCCATGTATTATTCCAGCCACTTGTACCCCTGACGGAGAGGCCGGTGAACGCGCTGCTCCACTATCTCATCGGCCAGCCAGAGTCAGGCCCGACCAACAGTCTAGATCATTCAGTTTCCGAAGGATCATCTCCATCTTTTCTTTTGCCTCGTCTCTGTTGGGGTTATCCGCGATCATGTGATGTTCCAAGTATACAGCTCCAATATCACGGACCTTCGGCACGACGCTGCTTCCGTTTGCATTGAAAACACACTGAGGTAAGTGGTAGAGGATTTCTAGTAGGTCGTCCACTATGCGTTGGTGCTCGGTGACTATCTCGTCCCTGGTCCCGTACTTTTGGACCAAATTCGAACGCAGGTGGAAGCTGGTGATGAAGATATTGGCGATTTGAGCATTATGACCCTCGTTGACAGTTCCGTGTCGTGAGAGGCCACCTCGCCACCTCAGCTCTGGTGGGAGGTTGTCTATGATTCTTTGGATGCTGTCCATTGAATTGCGCAGCCTAATAGCCTGATCCAATCCAGGTTGGCTTACACGGGCTTGATGCCAGACCATAAATAAGTCGCTAAGCGAGTTTAGCCCCGGCACATAGGACGTATCATCGCCGTGCCAGGGTGTGGAGTTGTCTGCCGCCTCAGCCGGGTCCAGCTCGTTATCCGACAGGCAGCTTGGCCGAAGAAGGTCCCAATTGTTGTGTATAGCTTCAAACCCTACAGTTAGTCTTCCAAACATATCTCCACTCCTGTCAGTTATATGATCAGCTGTGGACCAAACACAGTAAGAGTCAGGACGTGCTAGATTGTCTAACTCACTTAGCTGCTGCAAAAAGTAGCCAAAACAATCGTTTGAGAAGCTGCTGATCGATAGGGCTCAGACTGTGAAGAGAATAATATAGGAGATACGTCGTTGCGGCAGACGACTGAGAAACTGCATGGAAACCATGGACATCGGACAGCCCTTGCGAGCTCGTAGCGCTGATAGCCACCCCGATATTGTACATGGCAATACACCACTCCGGTGTATAATTAACCTCGCCGAGATTAAAGGCAAGCAGTTTATTTTTCTCAATGAATTCCAAGCAAGGCGGCACTGACAATGAAGTCTGATTGTCCAGGGGCAGCGTGGCCAATGTCGCACAACAAACGCTAACCACCAACGCACAGAACACTGGATCAGTATCTGCCTCTCCGTTCTTCAATCGGCGAAAGAACCGTCTGCGGAGAAGAATAGGTGCAATTGGGTGGATCTTGTTAAACCACTCGTTTAGAAGCTTATGTATGGTGTCGGCTGATGCAAAGCTTGACAGCAACTGATACGGTTCCGCGTTTTGTAACCTTGATACCTCGGGTGAACCTAGATGCGTTGAATATGGAGAGAGTCCCGTAGAGACAGTGGTACTCCGGCAATAATATGATGTGCTCATGGGTTGTAGTGGCGACCTTGTTGCATCGTCTCCACTGACTCCTGGTTCACTCCTCGGAACCGGGTTGTCGGGTCCCCTCAGTCTATCAGCTGATGAGCAAAATGTTCTGGGGAACCTCCTGAGCATAGATTTTTCAATCTTGGACTTGCCTCCGCTGTGGGCCTCGCTTTTTACGAGGCTTTTTATGGACGCAGTCTGCCCCAAGGGCGAGGCAAGCAACGCATTTTTCTTCTGCTGGTACCGAAAAGCACTGGTGAGGATGTTAGCATAGCCATGATAATTGGTGTCTATAGGGTTGAATGGGAATGGATTTTTCTGAGTTTCCGCAGGCTGCAACTATTCTGTTTTCGCCACGGTTGTGTTCCAACCAAACTTGGAGGCATCACTTACCTTGACCTTTCTGTCGCGGCAAGCATCGCACGCATTCTGATTCCGGATTCCCTTGGTGTTGTCGGATGGCTTTGAACGGGTGGTTGATGCTCCACTTGAGACAGCATCCTCTACCCCATGGGCAGGCGTGGACGGCGACACAGGCATCTCAGAGCGTACTGGCTATTCGACGGCCAGTGCCTGTTTCAAGAGTGAGATTGGAGAGTTGGTGCCATAGGAAAACATCCGAGGATAAATACACAGGAAAATGGCACCCGGTTAGTGCCTTTCGCTTCGCATAAACTCGGATAAACTGTGCTGGCCCACAAGTCATGATCGTCCAATGCTGGGATTCCGATGAGTTGGAATACCCCAACATGGAAAAACGGATCAGGGCATGATTGAAGAAATGAGAAGCTATCTAGGGTCCAACTTCAATTCGGACTAGTCTCTTGCGTCTCTATTGGTGCGCATCAGTTGACATGTGGCAGAAACCCCATGGGGCTGATGGCACTAGGCATGGAGGGCTGATGTCTCTCAAGTTACTCGCATGAAATAAATCAATTGACAATGTTTGACGTCTTGCTGCTCACTATAAAGGCAACCGCAGATCGTTTCAACATGTTTACCAACCAACACTGAATACTCAACTAGCTATCCCATCAATCGAACTACAATGGGTGAGAAAACTGACAACAAAGTCAGCCCGACAACATTGCCGGAGGAAAACGAGCATCATGGACCGCGAGCTTCTGATCTGCCATTCTGGAAGCAGCCCGAACTGAGAAAACTCTACGGGCTGACCCTCATCCTGTTCTTGGGTTCAACCACCTTAGGATATGATGGAAGTCTTCTTAACGGACTCCAGACCATGAAATCCTGGAATGAGTGTAAGTGACCCATCGTGACAGCACTGTCAATATAGAGATTTGGAGTACTCAACATCCTTCTAGATTTTGACAGCCCTACCGGAAGCCGCCTCGGTATTTTCGGAGCAGTGCCCGGGTTTGGGGGCCTCTTTGTTCTCCTATTCACTCCCTACATTGCCGATGGGATTGGACGCAAGAGAGGTACTGCCATCGGTTGTTTCTTCGTCGTCCTCGGCTCCCTCCTGCAAACTTTCACGCCAGCATCCAGTGCAACTCGCCGTGATGCCATGTATCTCATTGGCCGGTTCCTGATGGGCTTTGGATCCAACATCTCAAACGGCACCTGCCCTCTCCTAATCACGGAAATCGCACACCCTCGTCACAGAGGGAGGATCACCACCCTTTACAATACTATCTGGTATCTCGGAGCTATCTTGGCTGCCTGGACGTGCTTCGGCACGCTCTACGGGCAGAGTGGAAAGAAGCAGTGGACGATACCTACTGGCCTCCAATGCTTAATGCCCGGCATCCAGATGTTTGGAGTCTGGCTACTTCCCGAGAGCCCGCGTTGGCTAGTAAGCAAAGGTAAAGAGGACGAAGCGTTGAAGATGCTCGTCAAGTACCATGGAAATAACAATGCACACGACGAGTTCGTCCAGTGGGAATTCTCGGAGATTGTGACCACTCTCCGATTGGAGCGTGAGGCAGCTTCAAGCACCGGATGGGCTGATCTCTGGCGTACGCCTGGCAACCGCAAGCGATGTGCTCTTATCATTGCCACGGCCATCTTTTCTCAATGCAGTGGAAATGGTCTTGTGTCTTACTACGTATGTCCAAGTTTGAAAGCACCCCATTATAAAAGTTTCTTCTAACAAGTCCGCCTTTCTCTTAGCTGGCTCAAGTTCTCAACACGATTGGTATCGAAGAGTTAGTATTTCCCTACGATGAAGCTGTGTCGAACTCAGTGCTAATACGCTTCTTCGTAGCTCAATTACTCAAGCCTACATCAATGGAGGCCTTACAATTTGGTGCTTGGCGGTTTGTCTGGTCTCCGCCTTATTCGTCGATCGTATTGGCCGTCGCGTTTTGTTCCTTACCGCCGGAATTGGTATGCTCATCGCGTTTTCCATTTGGACGGCTTGCAGCGCTGTCTACGCCAACTCTTCGTCTAAATCCGCCGGTGTGGCAGTTGTCGCCATGATATTCGTTTTCTACGGTGCTGCAGGAGTCGCATGGCCTGGTCTAACGGTATCATACACTGTCGAGATCCTACCATATCATATCCGTGCTAAGGGGCTTACGCTTTGCTTCGTCTTCACTTCTCTCAGTGGAGTCTTCAACCAATGGGTTAATCCTCTAGGTTTGGAGGCATTGCAGTGGAAGTTTTATTTTGTGTATATTGCGGTGTAAGTGTTCCGTCAAAAGTTCCGTTATTGGAAATTACTAACATTCCTATCTATAGACTTGTGATAGAATGCCTAGTGATCTATTTCTTCTTCGTAGAGACCAGAGGTCCCACTCTGGAGGAAATCGCCGTACTTTTTGATGGAAAGGATTCTGCAGCAGCCATGGGCAAAATCCAGGCGAACTCCAAGATAGAGGAAAGTGTTGAGTTGAAGGAGCATGCATAGGCATCGCAGCAGACGAACAAGTACATAGCTGCATATCACGGCGATAAATCAATCAGCAAGCCGCAGATTAGTAAATGCTGATGAGCAAGATTCTAACTCCTTTTCCAGGACTCGTGAACCCACACGGTGAATGTTCAGATTTAGATTGGCAAAGCTTTATTGACTTCCTCTATATATAAGTTTACACTGCCAGATGAGATGAGTGAAGTGGGATACTTTCATTGCATTACAAAAGTGTTGCTTGACGTGAGAGAGAAGTCAGCGGATCAATCACCACGAATATGCGTCGACCTCAAGATCAAACACAACATTCGTTTTCTTCCCTGCCGCTGCAACAGCAGCCCGGACGTCGTCACAAAGTGATCCAGGTCCAGAGACAACAACCCCAATCCTCGCCCATCCCATCTCCGCCTCCTCGGCGATCAGCTCAATCACAGCTAGTCTACTGCCCACCCTAATATCCCTATCACCAATGTGCTCCAGCGCCACCGCATCGACGAGAAACTTAGCAGATTCCTTGACACTCCAGGCCAACTTGACATTATAGTGATTAAATGACCAAGGCAACAATCCTGTGATGCCAATCCCGCCGCCGATCAACAGCAGACGATCACACCGCAGCACCGCGCTCGTATGGTTGTTTGAGTAGGGTCCATCCAGCAGCACGAGCAAATTATCATCAGATTTCAGGAACTTGGTGACGCCCGCTTCCTTCTTTATGAGTAGAGTGATCCCCGCTCCCGAGGCACCATTGGGTAAGACTCTACCAGCAGTAGCCGAGACTTGATTCTGCTTTTCAGCGTCTTCAGACTCCACTAAGCAGACTCTCTCGCCCGCGCGCTCCGGCTGCAGCATGTGCGTGGGAATAATGGAAAAAGGATGGTTCTCCCACGGCCGCCATGGAGCGAGCGTAGGGAAGTAAACGTAGGAGTGCTTTCCCGGCGCGGAACCGTAGCGTAGACCGTCCACGTCGACACGGACGTACCCATCGCCCAGTTCCGTCACTTCGGCCCGCCTCAAGCCTGCCTTGATCATGCGGGCAATTCGCGCGGCGCGATCAAAGAACCAGACGGAGAAGGCAAAATATAGCCACACCTCGTAACCTGATGAGTCGGGGATGTACATGCCCATGCTGGCGTACCATTGCACAAGATGGTACCATGAGCCGACCAGGATGAACACCGCCAGGACGATATGCGAGATGAGGAAGAGTTCGTATTGAGCCTTTCTTACGTACAGCCCGCTGGCAAAGGTGATGATGACGGTGAAAATTGTGGCAACAACGCCCCATATCCACCAGGATGTTGACGCGTATCGCGAGTAGATTTGCAGGCCGATGATGGAGTGGATGACGACGTAGAGCATAAGGACGCGAGCAACCCAGCGGTGCAGGAGGAGGAAGGTAGAGTGTGACCAGTTGGTCAGCCAGAGAAGAATGTTGTTCCTTGATGAAAAGAATAGCAGCACTGGAAACAGCATGAAGGCGAACGCGCCGGTTCGATACATCACGTAGGCGCTGATTTCCTGCCAAGAACTTGCATACCACGCATTAGGCTGGCGTCCTTCATACTCAATAGCAGATAGCACAACGTTAAGAATGAGAAAGACCACGATATAAAAGGTCTGGCCAATTGTGGGGGCGTTTCCGAGTAAGTAAGGTAGAGATCGAACTTGGTACGATCCAATCAGGCTTGGATACACGATATATGGGCGGATCTTTGAGTTGAATTTGTTTAGTGGTAATTCATGAACGGTAGAATCAGACACAATCAAGTGACTCTTACCTTATCGTAAAATGTTCCCATATATGGCAGATATCCAAGCCATGTCAAAGCCACGGGAATGCCGAGGCTGGCAACCAAGATGGCGATTCTGGCGACGCGCAAGTCAGTACATGATCGGGCCCTGCCCAAACAGCCAATGGCTTACCCGTATGCGGACTCGAGGACTGCTGATCGGTACACAGCACTCAGAACATTGTATTGCGCCAGGTATACCGTAGGGACAACAATAGCCGTAGTGTTCAGACTGGTATCATTGACAGTGAGCTGATACTGCGGTGGCCTGGGGTTGACGTTGGCCAGCGCCTCGCCGTAGGACCACTTGGCCGCCACCTTCTTGTTCCCTGTAATCTTACGCTCCCACAATGATTCGATACCTGATGCGCGTTCACCAGCCTGAGAGCACTTGGTGTTCAAGCACCATGCGACCGATGTGAGATATGCCGTGTTGTTAGCCAGGCAATCCGGAGAGGTAGTCATCATCATCATATCATCGTGAGACATGCTTGTGCAGTCCAGCATATACGAGGAGAATGACCGTAGGCAACTCTCTGCACATACTGGTTGGTACGGGTAGGAACCGAATCCCGTCAGCATTTGCGCCACGGCCGGTGAGGCGATGGTAGCGGTCGCCAGCAAGAAACCACCCTTCATCGCGGCAAAGGTCCAACTAAAGATCAGAAAGGTAGCAACAATACTACAAGAGGCGGCCAAAAAAAAACTGCAACAGCGCAAGGTGAGTCGGTGACTCGAGAGCGGGCAACCATCTCTACATATCTTTCTATCGGAATGAGCGGCACACCACCTTCTCTATAAACCACCGTAATTCGCCTAGGTTGACTGCTCTTCAGGCTCAGTGCTTGTGCGTGATTACAATGGCACTATCGGGGGCTTTCCAGCATGATTTTCGCTCACCACCCATCTGTCATATAGGTTCTAGCCATCACTACCACCCATAGCCTGAAACTCAGCGAGTGACAGATCATGGAGGGTCCGCAGAAAAAGTGATAGCCTGAAGGTAAGTGAGCATGTATGAGCACGTTTGTGCCAAGGATTGCCTCTTAATCGCCACCCCAGTCTAAGTGATCATAAAGTACACCCAGCATATAGATTTTAACCAACGTTGTACTCGCACCACCCCTCTACCGGCCAATGAACCTCCAATTATTTCCAACATCCGCTGTAAGCTAACACCCACTTCAACACCGTTACATTGGCGGGCCAAGCATGCTTTTGCCATGGGATAATCCTCGAGCAGCGGACCGTCGTTCCGTTTCACCTACCCTACAACACCCCGTGCCTCTAGGTTGTATCCCGCTGAACCGACAGCATGGTCCGTTACCGCCGAACCAAGATTGGATCCTCCCGATCTAAGCATAAATCCATCAGCCCAACTGACTGCGGCCTGTCGTCATCGAATCTCATGTTAAAAGGGCGTATAGAGACTAAGTGAACCTTGATGCTTTTTCGATAGTCAGAAAGTGAAGACTACGCATAGGTTCTTCATGTTGCGTGATTCTTGTAACAAGCACATTAGGACAGATTCTTTACAAAGACTCGCTTGGATCCTTGTTGATTAGGTACATATATTCCAAGCTCAGTAAATAAGGTGGAACCATAAGAATCACTGATTACCTCGAAACCTCTGCTGTTGCAATCAGATATACTCAGCCAAACTATTCATTGTGTTGAGATGTCGAGTCTAGCATCTTCTATTATAGCATCTTCTATTGTTATTTTTAGCCTTTATACTCGAACTCTCTCCCGTACTCAACCAAACCAGGGTTGGAACATGGTCCCATTCACATTCTCTCCAAGTCCCGTGAAGCAAGAAGCTCCTCGTTATTTCAATTGAGTGGAAATTGACACGTAATAATGTAGACATGTTTCTCGAAGCTGTCGCTAGCCTCAAATCGTAGCACACGCAGGCTCAGCTGCAGCACACCGTAGTCTCTTGAATCCCGGCAGCAGGTCTTTCCCCTTGTATCTTGCCATCAACTGCAACTTTGTGCACCATCCAGTCACACAAGAACTTGCCGAGAGTGGCACCGGTAATGATAGAGATGATTATGTAGCCGTTGAAGTACATGGCGAGCAGCATAACGATGTACGCGACTCCAAATGTGACACCATGAATGACAGCCCGGATGAGCTGCTGTAGGGGTGAAGCACGGAAAGTCACTATCATATGGCCCGGCGTCGGACTGGCTGAGCAGCACGCATTGCTAGGCGAAGATGTTTGAGCCGCGATATGGCGTTGGAAGTGGCGCAGGATCAGGTTGTCATAATCCTTGCCCAAGCGCCTTAGCAACTCAAGCATGATAACAAGGAGCACAACACCAATGCAAGAGGCGGCAAACATGGCGTTACTTTCAATTTGCCATGTTGAAGAAAGAAAGCCTAAAGAAATAATGGAGGGAGATTGTCAGTCTAAGATCACAGCACGCAGCTGAGGGCATATCCGTGCTGGCTGAAACTCACAGGCATCAACTGTGTACCAATTCCATAGCATCTAAGACTCAGTCAGCCAAAGAGACCGTAATTATTCCTGGCAAATGGCCTTACCGAAAGTTTACAGTCGCTACTAGACGACATTGATGATGAGTTGTCCATTACGGCGGCTTCGTCTTACATGAAACCGTTGAGCAACTTATTTAGTGCTGTGAGAAAAGAGCAGCGTTGAGACCATACAGGTAGGGTTATTCTAAATGGCAATATTCATTGTGCTGAGATGTCGGGCTCTGGCATCTTCCATTGCTGTTTTTAACTTTGTACTCAATTTCTCTTATGTATGATAAATGGCACTGTCCTCATGGAAAATTTCAGAGACTCGAGTCTTTAGTGATTGTAACATTCCGGTCAAGTTGAGCAGAATGTCACCCAAGAGCCCAGCCAAGCCAAAGTGCCAAGGAGAAGAGAAGATAGCATTGACGGCTTTGCGGGTGTGTAGTACAGCTTTGACCAACTAAAATGCCTCTATTGGACCACAGCAACTTCGGGACTGGGCCCATCCGCCCCATATTGCGTGGGTTTTGAACATCTTGCAGGATCACGAGTCTTATTAATGACTGACACGGAGCTAGACGCAGGGTTGTTCAGACAGGATCGGCGGGGAAGCACCGTGCCCAATCCGGCTACGGAAACATGCTCAATCCTGCTCATGCCCACTTCAGACCCATTGCATCCCGTCAAGGAGTCTGGCCGACCGGGGGTTGAGTGTCAATGGTCACTTCAGTTTTCCGCTTCTAGGGGCCGGAGAATATGGCCGTCAATTTTCTCGTCTATTCCATTGGTTGATTTCTTGGCCCAGAAAGACAATCACCTCTTAATTGGCGAGCGCCCGTAGGGTGGAAGTAGGGTACAGCTAAACATCTTTGTCCTCGTTATATTCAACCTTCCGTATTGTTGAACTTGTACGAGGCTTCGCCGGCCCCTTTACTCTTCCAGATATGGACGCCACAGATCAACTCTCCGTTGCCGCCCGGCATATCCAAAACCATAGTGAGGCTTCTTCATTAGAGCCTCACTGGGGATATGCTGACCGTGTCGTTCCGTGCACCAACGATGCCGGCTCCTGCGAGTACCTAGACAATGTGTACTGGTCCCACGACGTCGGCATGATCTACATGGGGATCTTATGGTGCACCATCGGCGGCATCCTGCTTGTGTGGGCTATCGGCCGGCACCTGTTTCCCGAGAAGAGGGCCGACCAGCAACTTGGCACTGTTGTCGATAGCCAGGAAAGCTCCGTCGAGGCTCCCCGTCACGGCTTAGCCCGCCTAAGGCAGTCTTTTGATGCATATCGCCGTGCCTACTTACTGCCAGAATCCGTCAGATCGATCTTCGGACCAACCACCCGTCTCCAGGTTCTGATTCTAGCTGTTCTCTCAGGCTATATCATCATCTGGACTTTTGTTGGAATTACTTACAAGAAATGGATAACTCCCGTGAAGAACTCGCCCGGCCTGTTCAACATTCGTTCCGGCCTGGGGCCATTCTCCGACCGCATCGGTGTGATCGCCTACGCTCTGACCCCCCTCTCCGTCATGCTTTCCAGTAGGGAATCTATTCTATCTCTCCTCACAGGAGTCCCCTACCAGAATTTCAACTTCCTGCACCGCTGGCTAGGGTACATTATTGTTATCCAGGGCTCGGTCCACACCATCGGCTGGTGCGTTGTCGAGATCCGCCTCTACCAGCCCCAGCCCTCCACCGCCATCACTTGGATCCAGCAGCTGTACATGATCTGGGGCGTCGTCGCCATGATCCTCTTGCTCCTTCTTTTCCTCCTGAGCACCAAGTGGGGTATCCGACTCACAGGTTACGAGACTTTCCGCAAGCTGCATTACATCTTGGCTATGGTATACATCGGCGCCTGCTGGGGTCACTGGAAGCAGCTGGAATGCTTCATGATTCCCTCACTAGCCATCTGGCTGCTGGACCGCGCCATCAGACTCATCCGATCAGCTCTAATCCACTATCAATTCCTCCCAGATGGGTCCATGGGTTTCAGAGCGGCACCAGCAGCCATTGTCCACTTTCCCGATCACGACTCCGGTGACGTTGTCAGACTAGATTTCCGGCATTCTCAGGAGGCCTGGAATGTGGGACAGCACTTTTACCTGTGCTTTACAGAGGGTAGCATCTGGCAGGCACACCCGTTTACACCCTTAAGTTACCCGATCGTCGAGAACGGAACGGTGCTGCACTCTTATATCTTCCGAGCGAAGAGTGGCGAGACCAAGAAGATTGCGGCTCTCGCTGCCACCAAGCTCAACGAGAACGAGCTTGCCACAACCCCCGTCATTCTTCAAGGCCCATATGGAGAATCCCTCATGGAGAACCTAACTCCTGACGTCAACGTCCTCTGCGTCGCTGGCGGGACCGGTATCACCTACGTCCTTCCTGTTCTGCTCGGCCTGATACAGACCGCTCCCGTCACCAATCGCTGTGTCGAGCTGATATGGGCTGTACGGAAGGAAAAGGACATGAAGTGGATTGAACAGGAGCTACAGATCCTCCGAGCAGCAGTAACAAGTCACCAACTCAAGCTTCGCGTTTTTGTCACCCGAGAGGAAGGTCCTGCGCCACCGGTACGGACTGAGAAGGCCAAGGAAGTGACTGAGGAGTCTAAGGAAGTGGGTTCGTCGGCATCCTCTTCTGTGTCAAGAGAACGAAGTACGCCTGCGGCGCGGGAGATTGACGTGCGACACCCTTGTCACGACAGCCAGAATTCACATCCAGACTTGAAGCAAATAGTCACCCGGTTTGTTGATGGCACAGTTCGTGGCCCTACCACGGTCTATGCTAGTGGGCCTGCCGCCATGATCAGTGATCTGCGTAGCATTGTCGCTGCTTGCAACTCTGGAGCTCGGGTGTGGAAGGGGGAGAGCCGATACGATGTCAGCTTGATGGCTGATGATCGCTTGGAATGGTAGTCTTTAGCGAGGGCAAATCTCCATACATTATATCGCCTTCAAAATGGCAAGATTACCACGTAGTATACGCCAATATTGATACATCATTAATTATACATATTTCAGCCAGAAACTGCATTTTACATCTTATTCAATCCAATCGGCCTACCCTCCCCCCTAAAGAAACTTCTTAGAAAACAATAATTCCCACTGAGCTTCGTATGCTTCTCTCTTAAACCCAAAAATGCTGAGTATGGTTACAGTCGTTGGTTATTTGTTAACTTTCAACTTCAGGCATATAAAGTAGATCTGAAATGTCCCAGTTCAACAAGTCCTACGGAGACAGTTAGCCAACACAACATCGACTAGGACTATTGACTCAAAGCTTAGCACTTACAAATGATTCAAGGTCGAAACTCGCAGGACCCAACTCCGTCATGGTTTCGTAGCCCTCGCAAGTCACATCTAGAGGAGTGTGTAGCTCTTGAAAGATATCGAGGGTCTCCCTCAGACTTCCACGGAGAGCGTTGAAAACAGCCGTCCTTGTACACTGACCATGCTCTATTGCTTCCGTCTCAGCGAGAACGGCTGTGATGAAGTTGAAATTCTTCGAGCTCACGCTTCCGGCTCTCATCAGCTCTTTTGACCCATCTGCCAAATTGCGCAATAACCTTCGGGTGAAATCGCGGGCATCTCCCCGCTTCTTGTCTAGCTGGTCCACGCGCGAAGAAGTTGCATTCTCACCGTTGTCATCCCGAAAAAGCATAAAAAGGTCAAGACATAGGACGAGTATTACGTGAAGGGAGAATGGTCCCTTGAACGTGCCACGTCCAGCAGCAGCAAGTTGGAGAAGTTCTACTGTGTGATTGGCAGGGTTGAGATCTATAACGATTGCCTGCGCTGCATCCACACAGATCTTGCGAGCTATATAGAAAGCCGGGTTCTCAAGCGATTCTATCATATAGTTCTGGTGTAGTAATATGATATACCTCCGCAAGAGTGTATTCAAAAACTTGTGGTGGAAATGGGCCGTATTTTTCTCACATGCACCGGGCATGACACTCGAGCCCGGACTGAAAAACTCAGATAGTTGGCGACAACTATTCCTCAATTTTGCTCCCAACGCCAAAACCTGACCAAAAGAATAGCCTTGTTCAACTCCATTGACCATGCGTGCGATCTTCAGTCGAAGGGCCAAGGAACTAGCGAGCTGTATCTGGATAGAAGCATCTGTGAACGACTCTTTTGGTGTTGGCTCGTGCTCAGAATCAGTGTGAATTGATTCGTCATCCACATTCAAAATCTCTGGAATCACAGTATCTGATTCACAAAGCGTGATTGGTATTGATGAGTCGACATGATGCTGAACACAGAGTTCAAGGGTGACGATCCAAAGGCGCTTTCTCGTCTCTCGTTGGAAAGGAGTAAGAGAGACGAAGCGGGCGGGTTCATGATGAAGCCCCATACTTAATGCCATAGTAAGCAAAGACCCAGTAGATACCCAAGTCAAGCCGCCCGAATTGCACGTGGTTTGCCTTGAAAGTAACAGGAGGATGTAGATCTGCAAACCAGGAAGTGTGTTGGTAGACTTGGACCCAGGACCCATGATCCAAGACTGGGCGGAGAGTATCCATACTTGAGCCCGCTCTCGGACGAGAGATCTGTCGTTTCGGGAGTAAAATGTTGACCCAATGGCGAGGACGAGAGCCAATTGCATTATGAATGCCGAAGAAGCGGAATCCGGCTCGTTTCTGAATAGTCGGTAGTCTTGAGAAAACGATGGCATATGCAGAACACGATACATTGGCTGAATATAATCAGCGTAGTGAGATATAAGCTCTTTACAAATACCGCTTTCTGGGAAGCGGTCCGCCAGGGACCGATGATGAACGGTTTCCGCGTGAACTGCCCTGGATTTGATTTTGCATCTGGTGTTTCTTATCTCCATAAACATGTCAACCACATCATTGATACTCCCATTCATGTTGTATGCATCCAAGTTCACATCGGCCTCTTTGGCATCCCAGTTACTTGGGATTGAGGGCTATTAGCGGTCAGACAATCGCAACGATCCCGAGTTGCCAAGTTGTTGTACGTACCAGAACCTCGGCCATATGTATCCAATGGCTTGGGCCGAATATCCGGGTTTTGTCCCGCCCATTTCGTAAGCGAAGTCTAGTCGGATTGGTGTGTTTCTGAGATGACACCATCACCTCATTTCTCTGTTGGTCGGTGGCTTCAACACCATGGGTTGGCGCGGGAGAGTGGCTGCTAAGCTTCGATCCGCTATCGGCCGCTTTTGACGAATCTCCTGCTGTGGGATTCCCAGACTCATCTTCAAGCCGTGGCCTCTTAGCCGCAGCGTTTTCTCTGGCGTGGTTGGCTCTACTGTCGGGTGTATACACACAGCTGAGGGATGCTCGAGCACGCGTGCAGGAGCCGCAAACAGGGAAGCCAAGGTCGCACTTCAATTTACGAAGGCGACATGGATTGCACGATTTAGCAGGTCGACGGCGGCGCTTCACTGCAGAAACAGGCGATTTGTCCATTTTCGACAGTCCGGATACTGGGAGTTGATCAAGTTGAGGGTGAGCAACAACGCAAATTGGATGATGACGAACCCCGGCATTTTTCTCATCTGCAATTCCCCGAGGCCGAGGCCGAGCTTTTCACCCCACCTTCTGAACCCCTAGTCAAGTTTATCCGGGTTATACGACAACATATCCCGAGATAAGCTTCCTCCTAGCTAACATCAAGTTCGGTTGGACGCTGGAAAATTGGTCTCTAGTTAAGGAAATCTTGATGGTAATCTACCTAGTCTAGATGCTATTTCAATGCCTAAGCTCATCAAATTATCTTATCATCACACCCTCCTATATAAAGCTCGGCCTCGGGAAATTGTTGCATTATATATAGGCCGTTCATCGCATTCAGCATCATGTTTTCATCAAACAACACAATCTCCTTACAATCCATCTTCAATTTTCGATCATATACAGCCCTTCCAACTACAAGATGACAACAGCAGACAGAGTCAACTCGCTTGCTCAACAGCTTGCCGAATTGTCCGTCGAGCTGCAGGGCAATCCAGAACATTTCAAGGCCTGTAATGATGAGCTCACTAACCTGGCGCAAGCCTCTGCGAAGCTCCTAGAGTCTATCCAGAGCCCATCAATGTATATCAATAGCATGATTACCCAAATGGCGCACTTCACGGCTCTGCGATTGTTCATCGAGTGGGGAGTGTTCGACGCCATTCCCAGTCAGGACTTTGTCTCGCCTGAAATTTTGGCCAAGAAAGTCAACGTCGATGTGCAGCTCATCAGTATGTTCTTCTCATCAATCACCATTGGTTATTCCTCAACATATATCACGTAAAGAGTGCTCACAACTTGCCATTTAGCTCGTTTCTCCCGTATTCTAGTTGCCCAAGGAGCGCTGAAGCAAGACGGATCAAAGAGCCTTGCGCACACCGCCACTTCCAAGATGTTCATTCGTGAAAGCCCTATGAACTCGTTGATTAGAATGGGGTGAGTGGAATTGAACTTATAGGGCTCAATCAACTGTGCCACTGACATGGGGAATATAGATACGATATGCATCTGAAGTCTTGCTCTTATATTGTCTCCTTCTTTGAGAAGTATGGGGCCAAGGAGCCTCAGGGTCGCCTTGAAACGGTGTTTGGCTTCGCTTGTGGTGATCCTAACTTGACTGTCTGGGAACACCTGAACCGGAATGAAGAGACAATGAAAAACTTCATGGTCAGTATGGTAGCCATGAGCCAAAGGCTTTCAATTACTGGATCATACGACTTCAGCTGGCTTTTAAGTCCGAAGTACCAAGGACGGACTCTCATTGTTGATGTGGGAGGTGGAAAAGGTCATGCTCTACAGGCTATATATGACGTTACTCCTGGACTTCCAATGGATCGATGTGTTGTGCAGGATTTGGACGTGGTAGTCACAGAGTCCAAAAGGGTTGCAGAGGGCCCTTTAAGTCATGCACAGTTCGTTGCATCTGACTTCCATCAAGCTCAACCTACGAAGGGTAGGGATCGCAGCCCGCAGTAGTGGAAAAGTCTTGCTAACTTCTACCCAGGAGCTCTTATTTACTACATCCGACGTTGCCTCCATGATTACGGAGACCCAGATTGCGTGGAGATACTCCAGCACATACAAAGATCCATGGTTGACGATAGTAGACTGATCATTGACGAACAGATTCTAAACGACCAGCCATCCTTAGTGGCATCCGCCACAGATATCTATATGCTGACTCTAGGGGGCAAGGAACGAACTTTGGATGGCTTCCGGGCTATCACAGCTGATGCAGGGCTGGAGATTGTTGAAATCCATGGTACTGGGGACAATGACTTGGCTTTGATCGAATGCAGGAAGCTTTGAAACCATGAAAACCGCAGCCGAAATGAGTCCCGACGGGAAAATTTTACCAGAATAATCTCACACATGTCTCTCAGAACGATTACATGATCATCAGTTTGCAAGAAGGTGTATTGTATTGTAAATTTAGCAAGAAGTATTGGCGATTACTGAGGCAGGCTATGAGTAATCTCGCAAACATCAATCATCTGGATACGGCGACTGGGCAAAGCGTGCTTATCAGCTTCGTCAATCCCCATGTATCAACTGCAGAGATGAAGGATCTTTTCCGAGTGGGCCCTTTCCTGGATTCGAGAGATGTGGCTATGGGTGATGAGAGTAGTCAAATTGCACGGCCTGGGAACGACTCTCAACCAGGTATACTGGCCCAAGTCCAGTACGAGCAGTTCATTGATGAGTGCACATGGGATCCAAGCCTAGATAACTGGTTTGAGATAACTGTTTTTGTCGGTTCTCGGGGAGATTCCTCCAGATCAGATGATGACGGGGACTTGGAATTTCAGATGTTCCCACAACTTAATTATACTATTATTTCATATCAAAGATCATGATCTATTTAAGTCCCTCGATGTTTACATACGACAAAGCAACCAGTGTCAAATGAAGCTTCAATCAGGTTCTGTGCTATACCTCTATTATGAACGTTAGGATGCTCTTCTTGCCATCGGTTAGAAATGGTTCTGCAGATGGCAAGTTAACCCATACCGGGACAGCCCTAGAATCAGGGACCTCCAATTCTAACCCATCCCGCTTTCGACCAGAACTAGCCTCCTCCCAAGTCACATGTGCCAATCCTCCTGGCTCCCCATCTACCATAGGGAATGGGACTGTTGCCTTGAATTCTGAATAAAGATTCACTCTAGGTTGGAACTCAATAGCGGCCCATCCATGGCCCCTCGGCCGTATCCCAGCCACCTCTGCCATGAACCCCTCGTAGATAGGAGAGCTACCCCAAGCATGACAATCAGAACGCTGGGAGACGTCGTCTTCCTCCCAGGTTGTCAGCCCTTTGGAAATTTGGTCTCTCCATAGGGCCCAGAACTCGTGAAATTGATCGCCGTAGAGGGTGCTTCCCACTTGACTCAATCCACGGAGCTTATAAAAGGACATTGCAATTGACGTCTTTATAACATCGGCTCCGGGCGACAAGACGCGAGTCATCAGCTGTACCGCAGCGTCCCCCTCGACTGCACCGCTGAGAACCGCCCAAATTTGGTTATGCTCGCTGTAGTCAAGCTTCAGATCTGCAGAGACAGCGAGACCGTCTGTAAACAGCTGCCCATCCAAACAGTGATTCCTGATTGAAGTGATTACATTCGTTCCGCGGCCGACATATTCTTCAGCCAAAGCGGGCCTCATTAGAGCATTCATCAGATCTGCCGCTCTCTTCAATGTATAGGAGGAAAGGTGGTTAGTGTATGTTGAAAAACCGGTCCTCTCAGCTGCGGGTGGGATGCCAAACGGTCGCCATTTGCTTGTCCAGTCCACAAAATTCCATGCGCTCCTTTCTGGCTTCGCACTGACTAGGCCGTAGATTTGATCAATTCGTTGATCGAATAGGCCAGAATTGCGTCTACGATGGATGAGAAAGGTTTAATGAACGCCTATCATCGAAGTGCTGTAGATGATCGTGTAGCATGCATATCCAGAAGAGTGAGAAGTGCGGGATATATTGATCATTGTGAGACGGGCAAGTGGCTGAAATAAAACATGGCACACCAGAGCTCTTTCATACAAGTTGGAGACCTCATTCTGTTATTAATAATGTTTCAAATAATAACAGTAAAACAATATATTATTATATATTATTTAGCTTGATATTATATTGATAACTGCGTTGATTGTTTTGATATTGTGTTGAAATCTAAGGCTGTATGGAGGCTTTAGTGTGCTATGTTTTATTTCATCCACTTGACGGGACTCTGCTTCCAGTAAGCCCAATCGCTGGAGTTGTAAATCTGTATGATTGCTTGGCGGGCCAGTCTATCATCTCCCGAGGCGTAGTAAGTGAACAAGGCGGAGCTTCGAACGTCCATGGCGTACTGTAACTGCTCATAAAAGGGGCAGTCTTCATAGCAGTCGTGCATACAGTTAACCAATGTTCTGACACTAATGTCCCAGAGATCCTTGGTTTTCACATCATTGCTATTCGTACTAACATTGGCCTAAATATGGAGAGGGTAATTGGCCATGCGGAGAGTAATATCTTTCAGCACCAATTCCTCCTCGCCAACGTCGATTTGAAGCAGAATGAACCGAAAGGTCCGAAATTGAAACGGTGTGAAGACCTCAAACTCCTCACCACCGGTTATTGAAACGTCAGCCGGCCCTTGGCCCTGGAAGTGATAGATATCCCGTGGCCCAAATAAAGTCTTGGTGGTGTCCTGGCGATGGTTCTTGTGTCTGAGGTAGGGGATATAGGATGGGGTGTCCTCGTAGCTCTCAGCGTACAAGATCCTCATGGAGCCACTACTCGCATTCTGGCGGCGAAATCGGAAGGAGGGGAAACCAGTCATATGGTGTGGAACTTCAAAAATCAACCCGATGAGATGATCTTGGAGGGAGCTTTATGCACGAAGGCTGCGTCGCAAGGCTTTGTAACCATTCTTCCCACACAGCAGTTGTCAGACTGCTTTTCACATTGTGAACAGCGCTGAAGGCCCCATTTTCGATTTTTAGATGGGGGATCATTCTGGGGGACAGTTTCCAGGGAGTCACATTCCCTGTTGTAATATGGTACCGAAGCAGCTTGGCTGGAACCCATTCCAATTCCACACCCTGGAGGCGTTTGATCTCTTCATAAACATGAAGGAAGTCATCCTCAGGCTCATCTATCCGGAGAATTCTTCCAGGATCAATGGCAGTCTCCCAAAGCTCGCCGCTCCTTAAATCCTTCTCCCAGGATAAGGTAGGCTCAGGTACCAGGATCCTCAAGCCGCCACTGGGGAGCCGAGGGAATGAGGTAGCATATTGAGTGGCATGAAAGAATCGCAATACGACCACCAAAATGTCGTTCTTTCCTTTGTTCAGGTACGGTGCAATGTCAATCTCATCGTAGAACCAGAGTTTTCATCACCCTTTACGGGCCCATACATAACAGATACACCATTAACATATAGTTTGTATCTCGTATCGGCAGTGATGTGCAAAGTCGTATACTTCGGCGTCTCTCCATCAATGTAGACACTCCTGCGGAATGGGACGAAAAGTCCGGCGGTGTCTTTTCTATCTTCTTTAAACTCCGGATGCCACATCCATGTGTCGTCTACCTCGAGGTTCGAAGTCATTGTGTAATGTACGGGAGGGTTCCGAGGTATGCGGCGCCAGAGAAAGACAAGGAAACCGCTGTAAAGTCAGTGACACGGCACCGTTTTGATCATGGGTCTCCATGAAACTGACGGGATACTTCGGAATATAAAAGTCCCGTGACAGGAATTCAGATCGGTCTGTCTTGGACCGAGGATCCACATCGGAGTATGTTTGCCCGCTGTGGAAATTCAAGCTTCGGTGTGCACCCCGCCATGATCCGATATCGAGAGCAATAAATTGAAAGGCTTCTTGCAATTACCTAATAGACGTACCTTAATGATATAGTTCGAAACTCCATCGAAACGCCAAGACTACAGGTGGCAGTCATGGAATATAGCATCATGCCATAGAGAGCAGGGTTCGGATTGGAGTTTCGTCACATCCCTCTATCTTCTAGGTGCGGTTAATCTTCCATGATGAAAAAGCTTCCCCTCGGAATGTGATTAATGTTTCTGATATCTGTAATAGAATCATTGTTTTGTGCCCCTAATCGACACTTCTTTTAAGAGTATGAACTATGTCAGCGATGAGCCGTCTGTTCGAGATACTTTGCTTGAAGCCAAAAGACGATCAACGACCTTGGCTCTCTCAATACTGCGACCGAGTACCAGTTTCTGGTCTTCGGTGAGCTGCTTCACCTCTTTTCCATACATACAGCTCATGTCCTGCTTTGATCCTCCCTTCTCCCACGTTCCGTCTATCATCCACACCTGAGGCACGTCGTACTCATCGGGTTTGGTTAGCTTGTTCTTCAACAAACCGCCGTTATACCATATCAGATTGTCATCGCCATCGACGTGTGCAATAACAAAACTGCAAACCCGCCCAGGGGCAGGTTTTCCTATACTCTCCCCTGGCCAGCCCAGTATAGCCCCATAGTGCGCTTCAAACTCGTATTCCGAGCCGGCCAGCTCCAGACCTAGCCACCAAGACTCCTTGTCCCCGTAGGTGATCTTGTATGTGATCTCTTCCCGGACTGCGTGTGTGTTCTGCCACGCAATGTGAAGAAGCCCCATCAGTACGTCTGGGCGTGACTTGTCCAGGACAACTACGCCCGAGTCGCACTCTTCAGCATAGTCTTCCGTCCAAACCAATGACTTTTCCATGGCGGGTGACGGCTCTTTGATCTGGTCCTTGAACCACGCATGTCGATCGGCAAAGGCGTGCTGCCATAGCAGTCTATCGTGGAAGAGGTAGGCTCCGTATTGTATGTACGGGTGCTGTTCGAAGAGCACGTCGGGCTTCTGCAGAAATACGGCATCGGAGTCTAGAAGAATAACCTGTTCCAAGTCGGAGCCCAAGGCGGCGAAAGCCTTAATGGCCCACCCCCCCTCGGCGAGCTTCAATGTAGAATCGTCGAATACGGAGAGGACGTCGAGAAAGGTAACATCTGTTGCGCCGTCGATCTGCAGTATTCTCTGCTTGTCGTTCTCGCTCAGGTCGCCGTCGCCCGCGTAGGCAATCTGGATGGGAAGCGTGCAGCCTAATACAACTCTCAGAGACGTGATCAGATGCCCTGCGTACCGAATCGCATTCTCGCTTCCTCCTACGGGAATGACGATTCCACGCGACCCTGGCCTGAAAGACTTCCGCAGTGCTGCTAATGGGTTGCTCTGTGAATAGGTACGCAGGAAAGGGAAAAGGCTGACGATGACTCTTTCTGCCGCGCCATGTAGTTTGTCTTTGTTTCGAGGCTTCTGTTCGATTTCCGACAGCCACTGGTTCACCTGTTTCAATCGCAGGCCAACCTCCCAAAACTGGGTCTTGTAGGGCTCCTGAATCGGTTTCGAATATTCCACAGCTTGTATTGTCGCATTGTCTAGTGTGTTGCCGAGGAACCAGGTCTGGTATTCTTCGGTCAGGTTGAACGGCAAGCCTTCGGACCTTCTAATGAAGACGACCACGCCTATCAGCCCAAGGGCGAGGATGAGTATTCGGACTGCCCCACGCCGAGTAAGGGCCAAGAAATTCCTAGTGATGCTCGCACATCGCTGCGGTATGGTTGACTCGCTAGCCAGTCGTGTTAGCTTATCCATGGTGCTACACAGAGCTACCAGAGTCTGTCTGGGCACCCAAGGATCGATTTCTTTGACTCGGGGGCCCGTACCTTGAGCATATTGGAGGGAATGGGAAAAATCGACGAGTGGCATATCGGGGGATAAGATACTAGAGGACCCCCAGGCTCACTCGACTCACCAGCCGGAAGGACCCCACATCTTCCGTTGGTATTGGCACGTACGTACTGCCGTAATGACGCGGTATCAGTGATCTACGAGCTGAAGAAACCGCCTTCCTAGCCGAGTGTGGGATTTGTAAATTTCAATAGGCGCTTGCTTGCGTGGTCAGTATGACAGTGGATCGGCGGTTAGTCCCCATCAGCCTTAGCCCGGGCTCGAGGCCGGGAGCGTAACCTTTACCGGTAATACGCATTGACATGGGTGAGCGTATACATGGGCAGCAAGCGTATAAACCAGGGTCTGTTGCATCAGAGGGAGGCAATGTGTTGGACGGCGATCAGTTGAGGGAGTCAACTCGTTTCTAGATCACGACCTCCATGGGTCGGAGATCTGAAATCACAGCATCGGCAAGTCACTTGCGATCGGATTTTAGTGGACTCGCAAGGATGGGATCATGGAACAGGCGAGAATGAAGCACATTGCCTAGTGTCTACGCGGCGTTGCTGCAAGTGGATTATTGAATGTGCCCATCTTACATGTCATGACGCGTCCGAGCTACAGCACCAACTAGCGATTTATCATCCCCGATATCCCCGGGCTAGTCGATGGAGATCCCGCGTCAGGCACGTGGTCGCTTTCCTAGGATGGCTTGTCATGACTCGTGAGAGAACTTGGTGAGGGCCAGACGGCTGGATCATTGTCAGAAGCTTAACCGTCAAACTTCTGTCCGTTTCAACGGTCAACCCAACAACGGGTCTACTAACAGACGGCAAACTAGGCTTCTTTGGTTTGTTTATTGGGGCTAAGAATCATCATTTGCCTGTGCAATAAGGTTCATGCTTCTACAAGGTTCGGTGATCATCTCGGGTACCCTCTCGGGTATCCTCGCCGGAGATCCTTGTTGGCCACCCTAGAGCTTGGCCAGAAACCTGGGGGTTACCACGAACAACAAGTCACGATTTACCACAGGCATCTATTTTCAAAGGGAACCATTATAGAGGAAAACATAAACATGATTCTTTCCACATTATTGCTAGCAGTCATGAGTAATCACCCATAGTGGGCAAACAATTAAGCACCATGTCTTGAAACCTTTCTCTGGCAGCCGTTGGTCTTAACTGTCCTCACATCGGGGAGCCCCTGGTTGAGATGATGCTTCATTTAAGGCCAATGCTAATTCCACGTCCCTTTACCAAGTTGTCACAGGCTTGGAGGATCGATTGGATGAATTCCGGACCTTTGTCCTGCCTCTTCAGCTCCTCGGTGGATGTCATTACTTTCCCTCGGCGAAAGAGATTTTCAGATCCCTAGGTCGAGGGCCGGTACAAATCTGCGTCTCTTGGACGAACCATTACATCATAATGGTCTATGCTATTTGGAGTGTTAGGCGCTAGCAATGCACATGAATGAAGCCTCTATTGAGCATGTACTTGATTGAGCTCAGGGTGACGGTGGGTGAGAGCAGGTAATGCACAATGACACGCAACGCATGCCAGCCAATTTTTGGCTTTTTAAGCTTGCTAGATTGCCTGATATAGTGACTCTTCGAGAAGCTTGATGATACAGCTTCTCAGATCTTCCCCCTCGTATTCTTTGGTGTAAGTTTCGAGTGAAGTCCGTATACTGGGCCGCCCCCCAAAGGAAGCATGGCCGGTGGGAGGATGAAACAAAGCCACATCGGCACGGTGGTAGTTTGTCCACACCCACAGGAATGGGTAGAGCCAAGACGTCGTAGCGTCTGGTTTTCAGCCCGTACAACTCCAAAGAGGGGTAATTAATAAATATTACATCGGTGACATACCGGAGGAATCGGTGTGCCTCTACAGCATGCATACCATCGACTGCCCCAGGCTTCGATGTCTGCTCCTCATGACGACGACGGCCTCTGCCACACAGATAATGCAATGTAGTCCACCAGCTCGTCTGGGTACGACTGTGAAAAGATATCGCCTGCATATGTCCGCCAATCCTCTTCGGCTTCTCCAATCCCGCCCTGCGAGAATTTGACGTACTCCCAATACTCCGGGTACCAGCCCGCCATCTCCCAGTCGATCAGACCCTGCACCTTGCCGTCCTTGACGATGATGTTGCTGAGAGACAGATCGCAGTGGGAGAGCACTATCCTATGCGTCGTCTTTAACCGGTTCTTGAACGCCTTGACAACGTGCGGAGGCGTTTGCTTCGGCACGACCGAGAGGAGGTACGAGTTGAACTCGTCCTCATCTGTGCACGCCGGAGCAAGCCGCGTTGCCAGGTCCCGCGAGTCTCTGATCTCCATGCCGTCGCATCCTCCTATCAGGTTCGGCGGCGACTGGACCGACCGCATTCTGTCGATTATCTGCCGTAGCTGCTGTGCGATGTTCTTCTTCTCCGCCCTCGTCATCTTGAGCCAGAGCTTGTCGAGCGTGTCGCCCTCGATGAAGTCCATGATGATGCAGTTCTTGCCGCTCACGTTCTTTGCTGTGTAGACGTGAGGTACCGGGAGGTGGATTTCCTCGGCCACCTGGAGCGCCGTGGCTTCGGACAGTAATACCCGGGTGCCAATCTTCTTGACGATGTTCCCCCGGTGGCGCGTTACTTTGCGCCCAAATATCCTCCAGAGAATTGTTGTTCCTGTCGTGGGTGCGTGTCAGTGATGAATGAACCGTCAGTGACGCAGTGAATTGACTTACCTTCTGGCTCAAAGTCTAGCCCTGAATCCAGTCCGGCGGATGACTTGGTCTGTCTGTGTCTCCTGCGAGCTTGCTCTAGCTTCTCGCGGTAATGCATTGGGAAATCCCTTGATGGTAGCGGCAGATATGGTAATTGGAGGTCGCCCACATGGTCTACCGTCGCCCTCATTACTTCCGGGTTCTCCATCTCTGTGTAGTCGGGTACCGGGCGAGTATCGAAAAAGAAGCCCAGTTGAAGCAATTGAAATACTCCAGCTGCGCAATATGCGTGGGGTCGCAGATTCACGTCGGCCGACTGTATGGACGTGGCATCGCGAACGGACCCCTTTTGGAGATCCGACCGCCCATGATATATGACTGACGGTCAATCGAAGGATTGGATCGTAGCCAATGGGCCGGGAATCGCGTCGACCCGCCAGATGCTGGTGCGACAACGGCAAGGTGACGCTACCCAATGGCCATCCATCCAGGATGCTACGGCACGCTCAGTCGCCTGCGCTCACTCCCCGATTGTCGCTCTGACGCTTGGCAACCGGCTCCAATCCCCCAATGCCAGCCCAGAGAATGATCCAAATATACATCCCCAGAGTTTCGAGTGCGGGCTTTTGTCTTGTTTCTGCCACGAATCCATGTCGTATCTTGTGATTTGGCCCGCTCGCCCTTGTCCAGAGAGCCCGTCCACCCAATCGGACGAAATTGGCGCCGGGGTTTCAGCCTCAGTCTCACCTCATATAGCCCCCTAAATGCTACCTCACATTACTGAAACCACGACGTTATGGGGCCGGATGGGCTCGTATTCACCCAGCACGTTTCAAAGTTTGCAGAAGCCCAAATAGCCTCTGATGGTTCTATGACCGAACCCCTGAGCGTTGTTACATCGCGCCTCTCTTCCCGCTCTAGATTTGGAAGTTTTCCTACAAAAGACAATGTTGTCCTTGCTCAATTGCTCCCGAAGGCTCCTCCACGCTGGCAAGGATCGGGAGAGTGGGTTGTATTGGTGGGTTGTGTAACATGCGGCTAGAGGTCTCCTGCTTCCGTGCTCTGGACGCGTTTGAAAGTCGCGATGGTTAGCATGGTTATCAATCATTTTGAATTTTCCAACCAGAGAACCATAAGCGGCCCGGGTGAGATCCATGTAGATATATATGCACGTCAATTGCAACCATGATTCCTGGTGTGGTCCAGAATGCCAGACGGATTCATCGCGCCCTTGGGATTAAGGGCGCGCCTCAGATCAACGCATCCTCCAGCAGCTCATCTTGTGGATAGAATAGCAGAGGCGATGCGCTCAGATGGCTTCGGGCTGACCCATATCAATAGTTTGTCGTCGGGCAGATGTTTAAGAGTTCTCCTTAGCCGGTGTCATTTGCTTTGCCGTCAGTAATAAATTGACAGAAATGCTAGCGTTCGTCGCTCTTTTCTCTAGTGTACTGATAGAATTTCCCGTCTCTTTGGATTGCCATTCCTGGGGTGGGCTTCACCAGGGATGTCATGGCGTGTCAGACATACATCACGTTGATGATAGCGAGCAGGCCTTGTGTAATAACTCCGAACAGTTTTACATGATACCACTACCCCGGACCGTCGACATGCTCGTCCAGCGCGCGTGCCGTTCTTCATTACCCGGCCTGACATGCATGGATGAATACCACATCTAAAAATAGGCAACTCCATGGATTTCTTGCGTGGACCTTGCAATCTGAACTGAGCGGACTTCTTTATCAGTAAAGAACATTATCACGGACAGCTTTCGTTTTCCTGTTACATCCAATCTAGATTGATTGTTTGGTGATCGGAGATGAACGTGCAGCGACATCTTGCCTGGCCTGCGCTTATTTACGTAGCCACACATTTACACCGCATGAACAGGCCAGTGCATGGAGAAGGCGGTTGTTTGCTCAATTGAGCCCCATGTCCAACTGCCGTGCTCTTTGGGGATCTATTATGATGATGCATAATCGTGGTGTGAATTCCATTTTCCCAGCCAGCACACAGAGGCAGGGGTGGATTCCAAAGGGGAAGTTCAAGACTGGGCAAACTCAATGGGATGCCATGTGAGCGATCTGAACTGGGGAATACCTCGCTAAGCCAGTCCTCGAATGCATCCTGCGGGGAAATAAAGGCAGAGAAGCAATATTGCACGTGGGCCTTGGCTCGATGGAACGATATGCCCATGTTCCGAACCACAATTCAATTCGGGATTTGTTGAATGCCCCGAACTGTGCAGGCAGCTAGTATTAGCAGAATGAGGATATGTCCGATTGTCCGATTGCCTATCCTTCTTGTCGCTATCATGGCCGGTTGGGTAGCTCCTATGGTATCATTGGGAGGAACTGGTCAAAGGTTTATCTAGCCTACATGTATCCAAACGATTTCCTGTCGATGGCCTCCAATTGACTATCCCGGTCTGGTCCTCAGTGCATAGCTTGCTGAACCACTGACATTGACAATCATGGGCATTATGACGAGCTCCCGTGAGGGCTTCACCCTCGACTTCGTTGCCCGTTCCCTAGCGACGACAGTCCTCCATCCTGTTCTGACTTCTACGCTGGCCATCATCGCCGGCAGCGACCTCCCAGCTCTGGCTCACGTTGCTGACAAGATCGCCTCCATCTTCCCTCACTACCGTCTGGCGCTCTACCTAACCGCAGGCACAGGGCTGGCCATTTGGGGGAACAGCATCCTGAACAAATGGTCCGCCAACAATTGGATTCGCGACTCAACCTGGGACTTCAACAAGGAGATTGTCCTCGTCACGGGTGGCAGCGGCGGCATCGGGGCAAGCATCATCAGCCATCTACTGGCCAAAAACATCACGACTACCATCGTAGTGGTCGACTACGTGCCTCTCAACTGGACCCCTCCCGACGGATCTCGTGTGCACTACTACCAATGCGACCTCAGCAACCAGGACCAAGTGCGCGATGTCTCAGCGCGCATCAAGAGCCAGGTCGGCCACCCGACCGTGCTCATCAACAATGCCGGCCTCATGCGCGGGAACACCCTCCTCGAGGGCAGCTACGAGGAAACCTCCCTCACGATCCGCACAAACCTCACAGCCCCCTTCCTCTTGCTGAAGGAGTTCCTCCCGGACATGGTCGCCAACAACCACGGCCACATCGTCAACGTCGGCTCGATAAGCGCCGAGGTGGCCTGGCCGCGCCTGGGCGACTACGCGGCGACAAAGGCCGGGCTGGCGACTCTGTCTGAGGCCCTGCGGTACGAGCTGAGGATATGTTACAAGGCGCCGCGGGTGCGCGTGTCGATTGCGCGGTTCAGCTTTGTGCGGACGGCGATGGTGCAGGGCGAGGTGGGGATGAACCACTTCCTCTTCCCGTTCCAGCACGTCGACAGTGTTGGGGAGAGGCTGGCGGATGTGGTGGCGAGCGGGTATGCGGAGAACGTGTATCTGCCTGGGACGATGAGATACGTGGCCTCGCTCGTGGTGAGTCTAACTTTTCATCCTTTATTTTGTTTCGCTACGGTTCGTCTAGGTCTAATTGATTACAGTCTGGAGGACCAGAATGGCTACAGCAATTCCTCATCGGTCGGTCAGCGCGGAAGGCGACCATTGTCCTCAAGTCGACGAACAGGCAGCAGATTGATCCGAAGACGGGGTTCTTGGCTAAATGAAGCAGATCTACAGACTGGGGATAAAGAGTGACAGTTAGTGCTATCTGGTCTGCGAGGGGCGTTGGCCGGCATGAAGCGAGCCTTGGGGCCGTTAGAGCGTAAAGACAGCTGAATGGCCGTACTTGGATAGCATCAATGGCGAAATGCAGACGGTGTTCAACGAAATGGTTGCCGCATGGGAATGAGCCCCATGACTTGGTGATAAGCGGACTCCCAGCTAATCATGTAGAACCATTATATTGGATCTTGCCCCGCAGCCGAGGGACCACGGGAAGGGTCTTTCAGACTATCCGTCTTCGGTGTTTTTCGCAGAATGTAACCAAGTTGTCGGTGTCCGTCGTCCAGGCCACGCTCGAACCCCGTCGCGGTCCTTGAGACCTGTGTACTATGGATGCCGCACAGGCATGTCACTCTGCTTTCTGAGCGGCAGTTCTTGCTGACGGACGGGTCCCCCATGTTTCCCAAGCCCAAAATCTCGGACTCTGACCAATCATATATGAGCGTTGTCCAGGGAGGGTGGTACGATGATTCCGATAATTTCTAGCGAGCCACCCAAAGCGCACCAAAGTCCAGTCCAAACTTTTCGACCATCCGGAGCCGAGGCAACCTGGCAAGCCCCCGACTAACTATCGCGACCGTGTGCTGTAACTATCGCGTATATAGTAGGTGAGAGTCAGACTCAGCGGGATGATAGGCCCTACTCCCAGGGATGATCCTACCGCGAATCCTTGAATCGCGACCGCCGTTGCCCGGCATTGGATTCTAGAAGCCGGCGAACTTCAACTGCGTTCCCTGTCCCTTCTTCCAAGTCTTTATTTAGATCCAGTTAGACTTTGCTTTCGATTTAAATTAAATAGAATCCTCCTTGCTCAACTCTAGCTGGTCAGAACACACCGTTGTTCGACAAAAGCAAGCAAGGGATCAATTGTACAGGGAGAGGGAGAAGAAAGAAAGAAAGACATCACATCGTAATGGCCGAGTCCAAGAAACCCATGGCCGAGCCCACATACAGCCAATTTGCCAGCATCGGCGGCGGATTCTCAGGCATCGGCCTGGGCGCGACGCTCCAGCGCTGGTACGGCATCACCGATGTCCGCATCTTCGAGCGCGACGAGTTCTACGGCGGGACCTGGTGGGCGAACAACTATCCCGGAGCGGCCTGCGACATCCCCTCGGCCCTCTACAGCCTCTCCTACGAGCCCAACGCCGACTGGAGCAAGCTGTGCCCGCCCCGCGACGAGCTGCTCCAGTACATCATCCGCGTCGTCAAGAAGTACAAGCTCGAGGACCGCATCAGCCTCAACTCGCGCGTGGACCGCTGCGAGTGGCGGGAGGAGTCGCGCAGATGGCGCCTCACCGTGCATAACCTCAAGACGGGCGAGACGTCGCTCCATGAGTGCCAGTTTCTCTTCACCTGCGCCGGCGGCCTCGTGACGTCCCAGGAGCTGGACATCCCCGGCGCCGAGTCCTTCAAGGGCCCCGTCTTCCACACGGCGCGCTGGCGCAAGGACGTCGATCTCACCGGCAAGAAGGTCATCGTCATCGGCAACGGCGCCACGGGCAACCAGCTGGTCCCGGCCATCCTGCCCAAGACGAAGCATCTGACCCATCTCGTCCGCTCCCAGCACTGGATCCTGCGGCCCAACGATACTGCGTTGGACCCGCTGCTGCGTTTCTCTCTCAAGTACATCCCGGGTGCCATGATCGCCCAGCGCCTGCTGGTCTTTCTCATCGCTGAGGAGGGGTTCCGCGGATTCTGCATGAGCCGTGACGGGCAGTGGGCTCGCAATCACCAGCGCAAGGGGGCCATTAAATATCTGAAGGAGACGGCGCCGGAAAAGTATCACGATCTCTTGGTGCCAGACTACGAACCCAACTGCAAGAGACGAGTGTTTGACGCTGGATACTTGAAGTGCTTGAACGAGGACAACATCACATTGACGACCGAGAAGCCCATTGAGGTGGTTCCCGAGGGCATTCGCACGGAGAAGGGTTTGATAGAGGCTGATGTCATCGTGCTTGCGAATGGATTCAAGACAGGCGACCCATTCAGCAACATCGAGATTGTCGGCAGTCATGGGAAGACGATCCAGGAGCATTGGGCCAGCAACGGGGGACCGGGCGCGTACAACTGCACGTCCATCAACGGATTCCCCAACTTCTTCATGATTCTGGGTGAGCCGATCTTCTTTTTCCTTGAATTGACCCTTCCGGAGGTTGTTTTGCTAACGATGTGTTTTTATCCAGGGCCGAACACGCTCACCGGTCACAGCTCGGCACTGCTGGCGTCCGAGAACGCCATCAACTACTCTCTGCGCCTCATCAAACCCATCTTGGACGGGGACGCTGCGACGGTAGATGTGCGCAGGGAGGCCGAGGCGCGTTACAAACGCAAGATCCAGGCCGCACTGCAAGATACCGTGTGGCTGTCTGGCGGGTGCTCCAACTGGTACACCGGCACACTCAACGGAAAGAAATACAACGCCGTCAGCTATCCTTGGTGGCAACCGCATTACTGGTACAGCTGCCTGTTCCCCAAATGGAGCGATTTTGAGTACACGGTAAGTCAGGTCCTTGCACAAGCCAGAGAGAGTAGGACTAACATGGATGTTCTTGGCAGGCAATTGGGAAACCGAGACGCCGGCACTCGGCATCGAGGGGCGCCAAGATCATTACGGCAGCTTTGGTTATCGCCGGTTTGGCATATCAGGTGAAGCAGGGAAAGACGCCGACAAGTCTGCGAGAGCTGGTTGCCTTGTGCTGGGCAAATCTCTTGGTTTCGCGTGACGTGATTCTGGCTCACGTCCCCGCGCTCAAGGGGTGATTTGTAGACAAGAGACGTGTTTATCTGAGGTTGTAACCTTCCTATTTTCTCTAGTATCTGTAGAACATGAGCAATATTGTGACCTTAGTTAGTCCAACCATCACCCAGAAGGCGATTTGGTTTCCAATGCCCCTCTGTGCCATGCTACCGTTCCCAGCAAGAGGCAATATCGCAGTGCCGTTCTTCCATTGCAGCGAGATGTCACACGACGAGTCCGATGCACGTTGGGTAGCTTCGCGATGATCTAGACCCTGCCGGCAACCGCCAGCTTATAAGAGGTCGCATGAAGAAGGCCCGCAGACTCTCAAGGTCGCCCAAATACGGTGGCCGCACCGTTCGAATTGACGTGTTCGATTGGCTGCCGGTGGTCAGTGCTGTCGAACCATCATGCGCGTGGCGCCATGAGAGCATGAGACTTATCACCATACATGAGATATTTGTGGATTGATCCGAGGCCACCTCCAGGCCAAACAAGGCACAGAGGGAGATCAGCATTCGCCCCTCACGCTCCCTTCTCGCTAGCCCCAGGACGGGAGCGTCGGCTGAATCGCCATGAGATCATTTGATCCTCTCCTTGGGGGCTAGCCTCCATCGACGTTCACACATAATGTCCGGGGTCGTCCAATGATGCAAACTCTAATGTCACCCCCCTCTTTGCCTCGCTTCCGGCATGGATTCTGTACCATCACGGTGACGACAGTAAAAGCCTTCATTCCTCGTCCGTTCTTCTCTGATCCTTAAGAAAATTCAATCCGCGTAGCACAACAACCACCACTCTCTACCAAGCTCTATCGTATTCATCTCTCAAGATGCCTCTGATACGCCTGGGGACTGCCTCACCAAGCACCCAGTCCACCACGGCCGAGACCCTCCGCCTCCTCTCCTCCATCGCCCGCCGCGCCTCCGCCCAGAGCATCGATATCCTCCTCCTCCCCGAGGCCTTCATCGGCGGCTACCCCCACGACCGCGTCAACAAGACCCGCGAGGCCTTCGCCGAGTACTTCGACCAGGCGGTCGACCTCGGGGACACGGCCGGGGGCGCGGGGGCCGGCGACGCCTGGGCCCACAGGGAGCTGGGCG